GCCGTCCATCTATTTAACGTGAAGGAAGAGGAAGTGACTGATGGGTAGATAGGTCGAGCGTTTTGTAACTAATTTCGCGAGTAAATTGTCCGTAACATTGGTTTGGTGATGTTCGAACGTAACTAAATATAAAACGACTAGCGCGAATCGAGGTTGCCAAACGGAGGAACGAGCCGACACGTGACGCGAAATCTCTGCCAGCCCCTGTCCGACCATCGAATCGACCACTCGCGACAGAACGATGAGACAAAAAATGCTGGTCTTTCTTCCCTCTTTATCATTCTGTCTCTCGCCAATTATTATTCGACGAAGAACAGCGAAGAGAGAGAAGCGTTTCTTAGGGAAACGCAAACATTCGCGAGCAACTGCGTGGCCACCCACTCGTGCGAGATTCGCCGTGACTCACTGCCAACTCTTGCTTGCTTGCAAGTGGCTCAACAGCAATGCCATACTCGTCCGAGGAATAGATATATACGTACGTACGTGTTATCTTGCTCTCTCTGTTTTCGAACGCGTCCCAATCTTCAACTACGTTAACACTAGAACTACCAGAATGACCAAATTGATCATTTTCGTTAGATATTTTGTTGATGTAAAACAGTGAATTTTCGGAGACGTGAATGACGTTAAATAAAAGCTTGTACTGTAAAGATTCTCTGTTTCTTTCACTTTAATGTCTCTGATGGAAATTTTATGCTTTAGTCGTCGGTAGTTTTAGCGTTAATTCAGATTTCCCAAGATTCCTCGATCTTGTACCTACAGGGTGTCCCGTTTCAATCTACGAATGCAATAAAACGCGGCGTTTAACACTAGAACTACCAAAGTGACTAATTTATGATTTTATATATTCATAACAGTGTATTTTTAGATGCTCGAATAATTTTTAATAAAATAGGAATTTTAATCAATGGAAGCTTGTATTTTTTGTTGTATTATTAATTCTTTCTTGTACCTTGCACTTTAATCTTTTTTTATAATACAGATATTATAATTTTTCTAGCTCTGTTTAACAATTCTAAATGCATTTTTCTCTGTTTCGAAAGTACAGCAATTTGATGCACTTAGTTTGTCTCTAAAAAAAAACATGTGTAGAAAATACGAAGATCGCTGCTACTTTTTTAATTATCTAATTTTTTTTCACGTCAATCAATGTAGCAGAAAATCGTCATTTTCTGTAAAAAAGAAAAAAAAATATTAACTTATGTAGATATATCGATAAAGCTATTAGCTCAGAAGATATTTTAACTTTAATTTTATAAAATCTATCTATGAAAGGAACCAATGATGGCGAACCTATAATCTGCGGGTCAGACACACGTAGGCTTTCTAAATGACCCACGCGTTGATTTTTATAAACTTATCATCGTATATACACAAGAATTTTAATTATTTTTTGAACCCCTCTTTTCAAAAAATGTTAAGAAAATTACAAGTGTTCAGTTAGAGCTTAAAAGTGAGAAATAAATGCATAATTGTGTTTTATGGAGGATTTACCACTTGGTTATGTATACATATAGGTATTTTAAGTCTTAAATGTTATACGAGTTAATTGTGTCCAAAAAATTTTATATAGCGCTTACGATTAAACAGATGTAATAAACACAGTAAAAAACACACTAGATCCCATTCTCAGGGATGGGTAGCTTTGCTAGTTTTTTATATAATAAAAGAGAGAACAGACAATAAAAAATATTAAGAAATAAAGTATATATATCCAATGTATAGTGCAGGGGTGACTGGGCATGATGTCATCCCTTTTATATCAATTTTTTGACGTCGACATTTTTTTTTTACTCTTCACTTGCAAAAGTAAAAGTTGTAAAAGAAAACGGAAACGCAAACTTTCTAGATAATTATAAAAGTGAGAACCAAAAAAAAAATAGTTTTTAACCATCCTCCCCTCCCCCTTTTTTGTCTCAAAAATAACGCCACTGACTTAGCGACCCACGAGCTAGTACTAAAAAAAATAACGAACAAAATTTAACCTACTTCTCTCAAAAAGGTTCGCCGTCACTGTCCTAAACTATGATTTTAGACACAGTAGATAGGCTAATACTTTTTTTGCAGAGAACGACCTGCAAACTCGATCGATGCAAGAAAAATTACATGGTTCATACTTGAAAAAAACAGTAGTGACCTTCGCGTCTGCTACACGCGTTTGTCTAGTGACCAACTGATTGCAAGTGTACCAAATTACCTACCACACTTTCAAAATAAAAGAAAAAAAGAAAAAAAAAAAAAAGAAAACTGCATTTGAGACAGATTTTTCAAATGACGAATAGTTTCGGAGACAACTGCATTCAGAGATTAAAATGGGATACCCTATATAGATACATACAAGCAAGATATGTATGTTATACATAGTTATTGCACTTGGCGGAGGGATCGCGTTGAGAAATGTTGCGAGCAATCGATTCGGTAACGTTAAACGCGTGAGAGAGTTTCCCTCCGAGCAAACAGCCGTATTGTCCGCATATTTCACCACGGCCATCTTCCACTCCGATGTCAATTACGTTTGTTTTCTGCTGGAACACGGAGCAAAATAATCGGTGGAACGATAATCATGCGCAGAGCTGAAACGAAGGGCGGTGAACCGTGGAAATGGTTCGTCCGGTGCCTCGTCGCCGGGATGCCCTTTCTGCCTGACCACGATAATCGTGGATTTCCGTCCGCTTATTATCTTACGCGCGTCACAATACGTTTAGATTGCGTTCCGGTGACGGCTAATTAGAAACGTACCAGTTGATATATATACACACTCCCGTCCATAAGTCACCGGACACTTGCTTAGTTTGATCAAAACAGTTACTAGAGCACAGATATACTTTTCCGGATTAATTTTATTACGCAATCTGTCATATTCTAAATGTCAAACTGTTTATATGTCAAAAATATTGCCAAGTTGTATATAACGTATTATATCTTATATCTTTGTGCAAATATGAAGGCCAGAAGTAACGGTGGCATACCTCCGTTTAATTTTAACAATATCTCGGAATGAATTTCTTTCCACGCTTCTTCTAATTTCTTCCACAAGCCTTTTTTTCGATTTTGGACACATTAATCAGTTTTGTTTTCAAGTAATATTCAAGTATTATTATAAAATAGAGTAAATAAGTCTTTCTTTTGAGTTTGGACACATCTCTGGACGCTTCTGTCCAATTCATCCCAAAATACATCGATTCGATTTTTTTTAAATGTATATACATATTTTTCATACACTTTGAAATATTTATTCAGACCATGTACGTTAAATATCAGTTTTATTTTCAAGTATTATTATAAAATAGAGTAAATAAGTCTTTCTTTTGATTTTGGACACATCTCTGAACGCTTCTGTCCAATTCATCCCAAAATACATCGATTCGATTTCTTTAAATATATATACATATTTTTGATACACTTTGAAATATTTATTCAGACTATATACATGAAATATCAGTTTTGTTTCCAAGCATTATTATAAAATAGAGTAAATAAGTCTTTCTTTTGATTTTGGACACATCTCTGAACGCTTCTGTCCAATTCATCTCAAAATACATCGATTCGATTTCTTTAAATAAATATATATACATATTTTTGATATACTTTGAAATATTTATTCAGACCATGTACGTTAAATATCAGTTTTGTTTTCAAGTATTATTATAAAATAGAGTAAATAGAGTACATATAAGAAGATTGTGTAATAAAATTAATCGAGAAAAGTAACTGTTTAGATTAAAATAAACAAGTGTCCGATGACTTATAGACGGGAGTGTATATATATATATATACGTCTGCTTTTTGCTACGCTCCAACCATTTTCTTCTCTCCTCTCTCTTTCTCTCTCTCTCTCTCTCTTTGCTCCTTTTTTCAAAATTAAACTGTAGAACCCAACGAAAATGAAACGGCCAGACGCACGATACTAATTTGCAACCAGGGGTGGCCGCGGACGGTCAAACGATCGACGCGTGTAAATTTCGCTTACCAAAACTCGGTATCGGTAACGGTACGAGGGGGAACCGGTTTCTCTAAGGAGAACCAGGCGCAACGCGCGTGTCTATTCCCGTCATCGCGGATAGAAAAAGCCAGGAATTGATTCGCGCTTGACAAACTCGGAGGAAAAAAATCGACTCGGTGTTCCGATCGGTGTTGATCGAGATATCTCGAGATACGTCCTCGGAGGTATGTACGCAGCTTACGCGATTTCGATTTTCGAGGGGCCGAAATTTCGTTTCAACGCCACGATTTCAATCGCCTGTCGCTGCTATCGCGCGCTATTTGATCGTTCGAAATTCCTTCGAAAGATCGATCGATTGCGTTACGCCGATTGCCTCGCGATCGATCGGCACAAAGCACGCAGCTACGATTGTCCGATCGGATCGAACAAATCAACGTACATTGTGGTATGGTACGCATTTATGTAAATACAGAGGTGTATGGAGCCGAAGAGAGACGAAGGTCGGAGCAAAGAGATGGAGGGAGGTAGGGAGTCCCGGTATACAGTCATCGAGTGTGTTGGTCGGTAAGGTGGAAAGGCGCGCGGCGGCGTGCGACGCGTGTCCCAGACGGACGACGGCGTATCAAAGGATATTTACCCTGTCAACAATGTGCCCGGCTTTATGTGGAAACACACGCCGCGCCGCGTCTAAAAAGGAAAAACGATTACTCGGGCCAAGATAATAGTAATGGCCGTTATTACTTGGCTCTATTATTTTACGATCTGACGCTGGCTCGACATCGATACGCTATCTCTCGCTATACTCCTTCTCCGACACGATCGATCCGCAAACACGCGCCAGACCACATATCCTTCTACTCTGTCCTTCTGCTCTCGTTCGTAATTTTCTTTTCTTGTCTTTCTTTTCTCTCGTTCCTCTTTGTTATCTACCTCTTTGTTATCTGTCAAACGGATGATTAACTTTGCGGGGGCAACGCAGAGCGATGGGAGACGGACGGAAAGGAGAAGAGAGGCAAAAGAAGAAGAAGAAGAAGAAGAAGAAGAAGAATAGTCTCACCTGCATCTGCAACCAGGAGTAATCGATGTAGGTGGTGGTGGTGGTGGTGGTGATGGTGTTGTTGTTGGTGGTGGCGGCGGCAGCGGCAGCGACGGCGGCAGCGGTGACAGCACCGACGACGTTCGAGGCGGAGGAGATCTGCTGCCAGTTGTCCTGACCGGTACAACCGAGTATCGGCAATCCGTCGGGTTGACCCCGATCCGGTACTATCTGATCGGCATATTGATAGGATGGCTGAATCGTCGGCTGTCCGCCGGAAGACAAGCTCGTCGGATGAGGGTGCTGGGCCCCCGAGCCGGCACTGGCGGGCAAGCAGCACACGCTCACGTCCATTCGTACCGGCGGAAAATCGTAGAAACGTTGCTGCTGCTGCTGCTGCTGCTGCTGCTTCGGCTCTAACTTTGTTTCTTCCTCTAACTTTGGTCCTGTCCCCGCTTTTACTTTCGCCTCTAACTCCGATTCTGATCCCGGCTCTCCTTCTCGATCTCGTTTCAACGCTGTCTGCTCCCAAATTGACCACCCAACGTTCGACTCCCGTCGAACCATCCAACGTCTCACGGTCAACGTCTTTTACCTCGACGACTTCCTTTCTTTTCTTTCCTTTCCTTTTCTTTTTTTTTTTTTCTCTCTCCTCTTTGCAATACCTTCCGCACTTGAGAAATCTCTGTTTTATTCTTTTACGCTTACGACTGTCCGCGTTTTCAAATCGGCTCGCTGCCGCTCCGAATCGACCGATCTCTCGTTCGGCGCAGCTCAATCACGCGACTTTGCGCCCCGATTCCATCCAACGTAGGGAGAGACAGCGATCGGAACAGAACTACAACTATATGCTAAATGTGCCTACGTCGAATATCCTTGCTTCCCCTGGTCTCCTCGTTTCTCGCTCTTCGTCCGCTAACGAAACAACGATCAGCGAATCGACGTTTCTTCTTGCAACTTCTGAAATCTGTCGGCTCGGCGTCTTTCTCGCGGACGAGCATGCTCCGTCGATTAATTTCCCATCGACTACCGGGAGTTTCTTTTCTCCACTCCCCTGCCCTTGTCTCGGTCACGATTCACGCGTGAATGAATCGCCGATTTACCTCACGATGCACCACGTTTCTCACAACGAGTACGATCCGCGTCCGTCTCTCACCGTGAATCCGACGATTGCCCGATCGTTTCCACCAGCTGCGATCATTTCTCTGTCGTTTCTTCCCTCCGCCGAGCGTCCACTCGAACAACGTCTTTAACCTTCTTTAACTCGCGAGAAAAAGAAGAAAAAAAAAGGAGAAAAGAGAGAGAGAGAGAGAGAGAAGGCAGCGAGACTGTCGATTCTATTTGATTCGAGAGTAGAGGGGAAAAGTGGCGCGTTCCAGCAACAACGAGCGATCGTGCCGAGTAGTCCAAATGAATTCCATGTTTTCGACGATCACTTTCTTCTTCTCTCGCCGATCGGCCAAAACCAACTACACCGGCTACAACCAACTTCTTCCTCTCTTTCTCTTTCTCCGTGCGTTTCTGCTCGCGTTTCTCCGGTGTGTCTGTACGCTAGATACGCGGCGCTACGTCGACGAATCGATTCGCTCCGTAATTCCGCGGCTGGCTTCTGCGTAATATCGCGTCATGCTTTCCGAAGGGAGCTCGAAGGGAAACAACGTCGACCTGCCGCTGCTTTTTCCAACGTTGAGGTACAGCGGCAGGTTTCGCGACGGTCACAAGACATCGAAAATGCCCACGGGCGCACGGCGTTGATCCGTCGACTAACTGATATCGCTGATATTCCTACGACCGATCCGTAAACGGCGTGTCGCGTCTGCATCGAAGCATCGATCGACACGAAGGAGATCCTTTCCTTTTCGATCGAGATGCAATCGCAGTCGCAGTCTCACAGTCACGGCCCCGGTCACCATACATCAACGACCAAGTCTTTCTTCCTTTTCGAATTTCCCCTCTTCCTTTTCCATACCACCACTCTTTCGTTTCAGTCCTCCAATTGCTCCGATCGGTATCGCCGTGACGGCGTGAGCCGAAGAAAATTCAAAAACGTACGGACGATTGGACGAGAGGTTCGCACGGCATGATGATGGATGATAGACCATCGACGTCGCGTCGTCTGAAGGACGAATTGTTCACACTTGTTCACCAGTCGATCGACATTGCTCGTGCTGAACTTGTCGGCAGGAATCCTCCTCGAGGGAACTCGAAGTTACCAACAGCGAAGTATCACTGAAATTCGAACAAGTCGATGCGAAAGAAAAAAAAAAACAAACAAACAGAGTTTCGACGCAAGAAACGAAAACTGTCGGCGAGTCGATCGCGAGTTATCGACGAGAACCGTTTCCCCGATGTACGGTCGCGCCTTATCAAAACCACCGTCGACGCATGACAGTCAGCCCGCTCGTAGTAACGATACGGGGAATCGCGCAGAAGGAACAGGAAGAGGTGGAGAATGCGATAGCACAGGAGAGGGAAAATCGGCGAGAGGAGGAAATGGAGGTGGAGATGAAGCGCGTGGAGGTGGTAGCAGTGGAGGTGGCGGAGGTGGAAATGGTGGAGGTGACGCAAGTGGTGGTGGTGGTGGTGGTGGTGGTGGTTGTGGTGGTGACGATGACGATGGTGGTGGTGATGATTGTGACGATGGTGGTGGTGACGGAGTCGGAGAAGGAGAAAAGAGTGAAATGGTGAAATCCAAGGTCGAGCTATGCGATCACCGGAAAGTAGAGGCTAATCTCGAAATAGAATAGTAGCATTCAAACTTTTCAAAGAAAACACAACGACAATTGTGTCGATGGTGTCGCGACACAATGTCTAAGCGACGCATAGACGCACGCGTTTCTCCATTCGAAACATAATGTAGCATAATATCGTTAATGCGGGATGTTTTCCTTTTGAATAATATATCTCGGTGTTTGCGTAAATGTACGGTAATATTAAATTTGCAAAGAAATGAAGGACGACGTTGAAAGAAATTGTAAACAATAAATTCGCGAGATGGATCATTGGGTAAAACGATTACGAAATATGCGAATGACAACTGTGGTAAAATAATAGACTGGGAAGCAATGGTAACAACATCAAAGGCGGTGACGTTTAACGCGATAGTAATGATGATTATGAGAATGGTGTGTGATGTTGATGGTAGATATTAGCGATATTGGTGGTGGTGGTGAACGACAGCGCTAACAATGACAGCGAGGGAGAGGACGATGGCAGCGAGCAGGATAATGAACAATAGTTGCGACTGTGATTGCGAGACACCAGCAAGGCAGTGGTAGCGACGACGACGATGGTTCCACCGGGCGGTAACAGTTGAGGTGGAGAAACGTTTGCAATAGCAACGAAGGTGAGGGTGGCGAACGCAACTGGTGCTGTTGATGACGCGACGTGATGCACCCGTGGCGTTGCATACGCGCATGCGCGGATGCGTGTCGTCAAGGCAACGGTTGCGGAGTAACTGCCCGGTGAACGCAGCCCTCCACAGACCACAGACCATGCTCCTGGTTCTCTCCTCCTCTCGCTCTCGGCTCTTTTCTCTATCTCTACCCTACCCCGCTCCTGCATCAACGTCGCTCGATCTCTGTTTTTGTCGTCAACTCACTCGCTCGTTTTCCCTGTTTCTTTACCCTCGTATCAACTTCTGCCTTTTGCTTATGACTGGCTCACACCCAAGGCGCGACCGATTCCAGCTGTCTAGGTGACCATCAACTAACCCTCTTCGCCCCGCCTCTCTCTCACTCTCTCTCTCTCTCTCTCTCCCCTCCTCTCACTGCCATCTATCTATCTATACATATCTATCTATACATCTATTTATCTATTTGGTCATTCATCTTCGCCGTACTCGATTGACAATAACCTCTATACAAGTATTTATATATATTCTTACATGCACCCACCCTGCATTTCATTCTTCGGTTCGGTTGCATCTCGTTCTGCATTTTACCTTCAACGATTTTCAATATTTTGACTTCTTCCTGAGTACGTATGTTGCTCCTTCGATAACGAACATCTATTTTCTACCAACGCGAAAAGAAAAAAGAGAAATCTTCTCTTGACAGTTTTATAATTATTTGGCACTGGCAATTCGTTTGTATCAGTACGTATGGCAATTCTGATCTTTTACCATAGATCGCAAATCATCTCTCGTTCCTATCTTCTTCGAACGCGACTTCGATTTCAAACTTCGTTGGGAACAATGCTAGGATCCTTCGTTGAACACGGGTGCATCGCAAAGAAATTGCTCTTTTATTTGTTCGAGTCCCGTTGCGCTGGTACTCGCGCGATCTTTCGTCGTCTTCATCTCCTTCTCTCGATCTTCCTCGTTAGAGAACGGGAACGGCCATAGCCATTCCGCCAACGCTCGTCTGACGTCATCCTACTACGACTACTAACGTGACGCGCCGCGTCTTGTCTCTTGTTTCATACATGTATTATTATATATATCACATATTACGTATGTATGCACATAGGTATAATTATCCACGGATGATTTTTGCAAGCTCCATCTCGCAAAAAATAGGTAAACGCACACGTTTCCGATGTATGTACTTACAACCATACTTAGTTACAACGGAACTAAGAAACGTCGTTCTTTCTCCGTCGATTGTTCGAAATAGAATTAAAAAAGAAATTCTCGGCAATAACAAGAGAAACATCGATCGATCGAAGCATGCGGCGTTTTTCAAACAGGGAAACGTTTGATAAAAGAAAAACCTGCAATACCAACGATTTTGGTAAGGAAGACAAGACGGGATATACATGTATGTATAAGGATTTACATGTATGTATAAGACAGGTAATACATACATACGTACATGCAACAGCAGGCATCTCGAATCTCTCCCCTCCCACGGAACCAGAGATTCCCTTTCTCTTTAGATTGTGAAACGATTTTCTATCGTGGTGCTTTAGCTTTGCGGATTTATTATATATGCAACAGGTTACGCAAATTACGACAAAGTGCAAATATTTCACATGACCTGCACCTGCATGACTCCCCTTTCTACGCGCGATCATTTAAACTGAGCGGACACGTGAATCACAACCGGCATCTCACACGATGGATCTTTACCTTTTCGCTTCTTGTTTCGTACTGTTTTATATTTGTTCCTTTTGTTTTGTTTTTACATTGGAACACAATTAAACCTCGAAATCGAATCGAGGTGATTCTGTATTTACCAATTTCAAATTCTCCTTATCCACGTTGTTTCTTTTCCAATAAATACCTAAGTAAATAGACACGTATCTAAATACAGTCGACCGATTCCCGTACATTCGTGTTAATCACGAATTAAAGATCAACTTTCGTCTCAAAATGATTACTCGTATTATCTTCTTCGATTCTCGGCAATATAGGCACATCCTATAGATAGAATACAACTATGTTGATGCAGCGCGTAGATCGAAACTAGCACTATACGCGCAAACTGAAATGTGAGATAATATCAAAGATAATCGAACAACTGTCTCAAAGATCGTAAAAGTATTTTCCAATACCCTTTTTCTAACATCCTGTCACACTGTTCACATCGCTTGAGCTACCAACAATTTTTTGAGCTACCAATTTTTTTCAACATATCGTAACATAGTTTCGTCGAAAATAAAATAGCCAAATCGTAACGAAAGTTGCTGCAGGTACGACAAAGTAAGTATTTGGATAGGTTAGTAGATATTTATCAATGCGACAGTGGAAAAAGTTTGAGCGGCAAATAAAAAACAACGCGTGTCCCTCTATAGAGACCGAGAGAAGGTAAAGAAAATGCGGTAGGATAAAGGAGCGAGCGTGTCGACAATCACGAGTCGAGAGTCGAGAATCGAGAGTCGAGAGTCGAGAATCGAGAGTCGGGAGGCGAGAGTCAAGGGTTAGTCCGCAGAATCATGGAAGTCGCTACTTCCATGTACATATGCATCTGTATATACTGTATACGTACATATGTATGTAACTAGGATTCGTGTTGCATCACAGACAAGACCCCCTACTATCAGGACGGAAGCGACGCTACTTATGAATGAGAGTACTCGCCCATTGGTCGTCTTCGATAGCCAATGGCTGGCTTTACACGCGGCCCTATGCGCGATTCCCCGTGAGTTCGTAACTGTGTGCATCTCTGTCACCGCACCCTGTAAACTCTCAATCGGATTAACGCGATTCGTGACTACCGATTAACGTAACGAACGATTCTCTTCCATTGATCCTCATCTAATAACGTCTTACGCTTTATACCTGAAGTCACGTAAAACGACAAATGAAGAAAGAAGACCACTCGCATCTTCTACGCGTATACTAGTAGAATGAATAGAATACACATAAGTGTAAAAACATTCATGAGTGAAAATCTAGCTTCTCACTTTCGTGAAAAGTAAATATCTTGAGCGATAATAAATTTTCATTTTTTATATTATGCTATGTTTTACATTTTATCTCGTATTACGTTTCAACTTTATATGTACATACCAACCTATGTTATATCTGTATATTATGTATTTATATATTGTGTTATACCTATAATATATTGTACATTTTCTACTCTTGTTTGCAAACGTATCTTTCTCTTTTTTCTTTGCAATTGTCGTATCTAGGGCGTTTAATGGTAACGTGCAGTAATATGCATATTTAGTTTCTCTCAATTTACAAATTTATTGTTCTTCACTTCTTTTTTGCTTCGTAATGTAAATACATACGTAGGTAAGTTACATTGCCCCCCAAGAATGAAAATGAAAATTTTTTAATTTGTTTCTTCGATCGATTCCTTATTAGTTATCCGATAATGTACTTACACACATTATTGCTAGAATACGTAGCTTGCTGTAGTTTGTATGTTTAACAATAAAAAAAAAATAGATATTACTATTAACATAAATTTGTCTATACATTAAAAGTTGTGCTCGCATAGATTCCTCCACGATCATCATTACGTGTTATTCCTACTATTGTACATTTAACGTTCATAATATGACCTTCAAACAACCTTATACTCGATAGTTTTTGTGAAATAGATCTTGATATTTCTTGCCTATTTATACATATATACGTAACTTATTGTCCTCACATATAAAACTTATCTAAAAAATTCTCATCTACAAACATGGGAAAATTTATTAATATACGCGCTTTTTGCCAAGTAATGTTTGTACAATATTCTTTTCGAAAAATGTATGAAGATTATTTCTAGACTGAGCGATATTTAAAGAGTAATAGCATTCTTAAAATTTCTGTACATTACACTCATTTTAGTTATATTTTATCTTCGTATTCAATGATCACTTTCTGGCACAAAAAACTTTCACCAACGTTCATCATAGCAATACAATAACAAGTATAAATACAGTTGAAATACAAATACAACTGAACGTTCGCTGTTCGTTCTTTCTTTATTTTCGCAAAAAAAAAAAAAAAAGGAAATGATATAAGACAGAAAGCCGCAAGTGAACAAGTGATATATAACAAATAATATCTCCAAGTCGTAAAATTACGACTGTAAATATGTATATAATTTTTATTTTAACCATACATTTAAACGTATAACTTTTTTTTGCACTAAAATTAATTATTAAGTGTCTAACATGAAATACGAAAATATTCGACTTGAAATACAGTAATATATATTAACTTTCCGATCATGTACATATATATTCGTTCGTAACATTCGAACTAATACATGTAATGAAAAGAAGCATTCGCAGCAAAGAATGCTGGTTAGACATTCTCAATACCAAAAAGTAAATTAGTACATATTAAATATGCGAAAATATATTAACAACGATCAAATAAGAATATAAGAAGATTGCTCTCCTCAAGAATTTGCGTTAAACATTTTTCTATCTCCATCACATTCATGTTTTATATCAACATAAGTATACTTCTTATACAGTATGATATATGTAAAGTATACTTTTGTACAGATATTATCACATCGTGATTTAACCAAATTAAAGTATTATCAGTATTTCAGATTTGCAATGCCATATTTGTTTCTCTCTCAATGCCATATATGATCACTTTATATTTTCATAAGATGTTTGCCTGATGTTTATCTTGATTCCATACATCACTTTCATATATCCACAAAAAAGAAAAGAAGAGAGAAAATATCTATAACACAAAGAAACACTAGCATTTTAAAATTTTCAACATTGGTTTATTGCTATTTTTATTACTATTGTTATTGTGCGATAATTATATACAATTGTATCGCATATGAATTCAAAAATACACCTCTTGATTTCAATTCCACGTATCTTTCTCAAATTCCGTTTCAGTTGATTCTTTTGGAAGTCTTTTCTGTTGTCTTTTAAATGACTCTCTCTTTTCAGCATTCAAAGAATAATTGTGATCCAAATCTGTACGTAACCTAATCAAAATTTAAGAGCCATTAAAAAACAAAAATTTATTTTTCTCAATAATTGTTCAAATATTAATTTATACTTCTGTATACTATTCTTCATTTGTTGCTCTCTATGCTGTATCCACAAATCATCATATGTCACGCGCGCCTTTTCCTGCGGCTCATTTCTTAGTTCTTGTTGTAAATTGTTGTCATTCGTATCATTAAATTCATCCACTTGAAATATAATGCATAGATTTAACCATCAAAAGATTATCAATTACGCCATTAACAAACTTACAACTGTTCTCAAATCTGGTATCAAAGCTATCCCACACTGGTTTCTCCTCCTCCAAATTATCACCAGGAGATACTAAATATTTACTCTGCTGTTCTTGCTGATCAAAATCACCAAACTGGCCTAACTGTTTTCTAAATATGTTTCAATTTAACTTTATTAATTAATTATTAAATATCAATATTATACGATTGTACATAGACAATGAATAATACGTACTTTTCAATACTCAACGCTTTTTGATAACACATTGGACCACAGAATGCCCTTGCAACTGCAGACATTAGCGTACCTACAAGAATTGCTGAACATTTTTTCATGATTCCTGATGGTATAGGAGCCATAAAATACATTGCTATTCCAGATACAAGTCCACAAGGAATTCCACAACGATAGACAGCATCGGTTTTCATACATAATTGAAAATTTCTTATTGTCTCTGGTGAGGCATTAGGCAACTACAATTTATAGATAAATTTAAAGATTCTAAGCATTTCTTTTAATATGAAGTCTTTTGATATATAAACGTTATTCTTAAATGGTATATATAAAAGATATTATTAATTAAAAGTATAATATAATGACTAATAGACTTTCAAAAATGATTACTTACCAATTGTTGTAACATTTTTAACTCTTCCTCGTTGTAAGACATTATTGTAAATTATACTGAAGAACAATGAATTATTACGATATACTTTCCTTATAACCTAAATGCAAAGTCGAAAAAAAAATATGCGGTGGATTAAATCCGTAGAAAATGTACAAAAACTTTCATATATTACTTTTACTTAAAACATCTTCAACAGTGGTTTAATATAATGAAATAACAATAAGCTATTTTCGAACATTACATATCATTTCTTGCATGTACTTGTTGTAAGGCTAATATTTTTTTCCGGTAAATTGAACACAATATACTTTCATTTTAGTATATCTCAAACAGCGGGCAATTTTAAATGATACTTTTCCAAATTTATTAAACATTTACAACAGTGTGATATTTTTAGAAAAATTGCATAGAAATAGATTTAAATTACAATAATAATTATCTGATTTCTATGTAATTTCAAGTATCCAATTTACTTATGTAACAATAACTTTTTCACATTTTACATTTCTTTTATCTATTGTAAATTAATCGATTAGTCCAATAAATTCAAACACTAAACGCTTAATAAAATTATACATGAACGTTTAGTTATCACACAAAAACTTATGTTCTTTTTTATGTATTTATGTATTCTTTTTTAATGTATTTTCATGTATTTCTATTTCAAAAGTACTTGCATTACTTGTTAAAAAATTAAAACACATTCAAAATAAATGTAATACGAAATATATATATCGACTTCTTCACTGGCGAATGTTATATATATATATATATATATATCATTACATGTAATACTTTTTGCATGACAAAAAGAACTATAAAAATGTGTAATATTACAAAATATTATATATTATTTATGTAAATAGTTATTAAATTTGTATTTTTGTTATGCTTTGATATTTTTTTTTAAAACAAAATTTGATATATTTTTCAAATTCTAAATAATGTTGATTATATCGAGTAACTATATGTTTATTATCATTCATATTCTAATATAAAAGTAAATTCATTGTTAGTTTAACTATTAACTAAACTAGCAATTAAATCCATAATAAAATAAATATTGAAAATTCCACTTTAGTTCTGTATTTAATTACTTTTAGGCATTAGTTCTTTGACAATTCAAATATGTATCTATAATATGCATCGCATGAAGTACTTTATTTGCATTCAAGTGTTAATTTAATAAGCATGGAAACTTATATCACATTGCAACTTGCAGAAAAAATATTCCACACATTTAGTTCTATTTATATGTACTAATATTTGTCTAATATAATTATAAGTGAAAAATAATCTTTTTCAATATGACATGAAGAAGATAATAATTGAATTAATGAATAAATGAAATAAGATTATATATATATATATATATATATATATATACATATTCACATAAAAAATTTGTAACTAATGTTTAATCTTTGTACTTAAGGATCAAATTAAATTATCATAATTGATAGTTTATGTATGCATTATTCTTATAATCTATACTGTAAAGTAGATATAAAAATAGATGTAAATGTAGCTGTAAAATAGTTATAAAAATTTTAAAAATTATAAAGTAATTAAGTATAAAGCATACCCACAGTTTATTTCTTAATGTACAAACACTAAATATTTCTTATATTCCACGAGCATCTTATACATATATGATTCAAGTACATCATTTGCAAGGAGTTTTGTCTCACAAATTTTCCACTCCTATTTATGAACAAGATGAAAATATATATAATGACATATCACACAGTTATGAGTTGAGAAGAGGGAGTGGTGCTAACTAGGTTTTGACATCCACTATAAAAGTTCTTGCTCGAAATTAAACAAAGTTACTGTTGAAAATGTTGTGTAACAGTGAAACTGACCGAGATTCTAAAACCTTTCAAATATTATATTTAACATTGTTCTTATTTTGTACATTTATACAATTAAGCATAGCATTATCTGTGTCTGATACGAATTATAATACAACATTAACAAACAATACATCAAATAATTCAACTGGTGATGATTTGTAAGAATATTTTATAATCTTTGCAAACATTTATTTCATATATATAGTTTGTACTTTTTCTTCCTTTATTTTTATATTATAGATATGTCATAAAAGCAATGGTGTATGAAATTGGAATATTAACAGATGCAGATAATGCAACTAACGATACTACTGAGAGGTAATATCATATCTTAAAAGACATGTAACATCTCAAACTTTGAGAATTGATACAAGATACAATTATTTTATATTAATTTTGTGTATTAATTTTAATTTTAAATTACATGCATGTGTAATATATTTTATTAATTTTATTATTTTGTTTACAGACAAGAAGTCAAACTCTCATTTTACAATCCTCCTACTGAGGACAATGGATCATAGAAAGACGTTATCTTTTACTGGTAAAGTTATCTATTGTTGTATATGATTTGATTAATTTCATACATTTCAAAGTTGTAAAATTGATACCATATGAAAATTTGAATAAAATTTGTACAAAAAGAATGTAATTGTTTGCCGTAGGAAATTTTATTTATTAATTAAAATCTTGATATCTGTAACGATATGCAATAAAAATAAATACTTTTAAATAAATTCCATTCAATCCGTAATTGATTTCACATACAACACATTTTCCTTCTGAAACCGGCGTCAGCTAATTTAAGTATGTGTGAATTTAGTGGTAACTAGGGAAGGAAGAATTTGGCTGCGATCGTCAGAACCTAATCAGTATGGAGAGGACTATTATATAATCGTAGACGAAGAAGGAAAGGAGGAGACGAATGTTTCGTATACTAGCGAACAGAATAAAGAACTATTTGCCCGTTAGATGTCTCTGCATGCCTAAAGAAACCACGTGTATTTATATTATACATTGTCTTGCAATGAATTCGTGAATGTATATATGTAATTTTACATTAAATCGAACGTAATAAATAAAACATCATAAATAAAGAAAAAATTAAGTAAAATAAAAATAGGATATAAAATTTTGAAAATACCGAATATTGAGATTATCTAAATGTTTAAAGAGTTATATTGCATACTAATTAAATTCAAAATTTTCACTTATAAATCTTGATATTGGTAATTCAATAATGTATTTTGTACAGTATGTATCCTTATTCTTAATAAATGCAAATCTCAAATTTTAAGATGAATGTAATACAAAATACTAGATGACATAACCTTTTTTTTCTATTAAGAGAAACATTTAGTAAGTAGTTATTTTTGTATGCTTAAAATGTTCAAGTTATTGTTGCGTATTTGTGCCAGAAAAAAACGATATGTTACACATTACAATAATAAGCATTGTTTGCATACAAAAATTGAGGAGTCTGAAATGTTGATTGTATCTGTCTCACATTTAAAACAACTTCTCAAGCAACAATGTTCAAATGTTATCGAAGGATACACGTGCATTATAACAGATTGCCCTATATGTACTAATGAAAAAAAGAAATCAAAGCTTTATGTAAATAAAACAACAGGTATATGAATTTCAAGGTTGTAAAATTAATTTTATTTTGTAAAATCCCAGATAGTTACAGAATTTTGATTGTAGGATTTTTTATGTGTGATAAATGCAAGTCTACAGGTTCTTGGGATATGTTAAATAAATTTTTATCGAAGAAGCCAAATGAAAATCTTGAAGAACTTGATATGTTGAAAAAGAAATGTCGCTTAAAAGACAATTTTGAAAAAACCTGGGAATGCATGACACGTGATTGTCAAAGCATCAAGGATCTATCTGTTGAAGAATATGAAATTCTGCTCAATAATTTTTCACTTCCTGTAATAAGATAAAATGAATTGACAAATATCTCTAACTGTAACGATATTTTAAATAATTTTTTTACAGAATGTTTCGCAACAAGATATGTCTCAACTAAATTGTTTCTACAACAAAACCAAGAATGTCTTGTATTTTCCATTAGTAGGATTGAACAATTCTATAGTTGGATATAAATCACTTTTAACTAATCCACAAAGAGAACAAACAGTTCCTGTCTCTGACGTTAGTGGATGTATTGAATATAAGCGCTCTCATAGCAAAACTGATAATACTGCCATAGTCGTGGGAATGATAGATGATTTGTTAGCTGTAATATCGAAGAAATGTACAAATCTAATTATATGTCTTCCATACAACTTGAAACAACTACCACAACAATTGTTACCATACATGGAATCCTTCAAGAAATTAATTTTATGGTTTGGGAATGATGAAACAAGTTGGTATACTGCTAAGAATTTTGCAAAAAAATTTAATGAAAAACGTTGTTACTTTGTTAGACCAATAGACTCACAACCTCGACCAAAGTTTGCTGTTGAAAAGAATTATAACTTTAATACTATTCTTGAAAATGCTCAACCTGTATGGCATAAAAGTATAATTACTTTTCAAGAACTTAGAGAAGAAGTATTAAGTGATTTACAAAATAATGATAAAGTACAAGGAATAAAATGGAAACGATATCCAGCTTTAAATCGTATATTGAAAGGTCATAGGAGAGGTGAACTTACTATATTGACTGGACCAACTGGTAGTACATGTATAATGCAATATTTATAAATGTTAACGATAATATATTCTGTGAGTAAATCTCCTATTTTTATCAGGATGTGGTAAAACAACTTTTGTGAGCGATTATTCCTTAGATTTAGCAATGCAAGATGTAAATACCTTATGGGGTAGCTTTGAAATAAGAAACACACGATTAGCAAGAACAATGCTGCAACAAATGGCAGGTGTACCTTTGGATGAAAATCTTGAAAAGTTTAATTCATATGCAAGTGCTTTTGAAAAGTTGCCAATTTATTTTATGACATTTCATGGCCAACAAAGTATTAAAATAGTGATGGACGTGAGTACAAATACAACTGCATAAATTAGTTTCCTTTTGTTCAAATTCAAAAGTATTTTCTGTTGTAGGCAGTTGAACATGCAACATACGTACACGACATAGCACATGTCATAATTGATAATGTTCAATTTATGATGGGAACAAGTAGTGATTCAAGAAATGTAGATAGGTATTATAGAATAGCATCTATATCAAGTATGTTTTTCATTCAGTTAGAATAATAAGATTTTGGAAATCTAGATTTTGGAAACAAGATCAAATAATAGCGAAATTTAGGAATTTTGCTACCATGTACAATTGTCACGTAACCATGATAATACATCCACGAAAAGAACGTACTGAAGAACTAACAACTCAATCAATTTTCGGAAGTGCAAAAGCAACCCAGGAGGCAGATAATGTCCTGATTATTCAGGATATGAGACTCACCAGTATTCGGGGCAAAAAATATTTGCAAGTATGTGAATAGAAGCAAAATATATCTAGCTAAACTAGATATTAATTGTCTAAAAATGTATATTTGTAGATAGCTAAAAACAGGTATAGCGGTGACTTAGGTATTATGACGTTAGAGTTTGATAACTCAAGTCTTAGTTATGCATCACGGCCAAAAGGTAAAGAAAAAAGCAAAAAAACAGGATCCTTAGAAAAAGAAAAGGATGAGTAATGAAATAATTTGATAAAAAAGGGGATATATTTTTCAAAATATTTTCACGCCAAAATATTTCACTCATGATTCGGCTCTTGAAACTATTGAAAATGTTTCTATTGTTTTCAACGACATGGAAAACTATTAAGGAAAACATTACTTGTAAGTATTGATTTTATATCAATTATGCCAATATTATTTCATTATAAAGAAAAAGAGAAGTATATAAGTAGAAAAGAGAAAGTATGATATAAATAAACTTTTCGAATTTTTGTATTTTTATTTTCGAGTTCTTACTCCAAGTATTGCTCTTTACTCTTTAGTATTGTTTGAACGTTTATATCTCCTGCAAAGATACCAATATCTGTGTATAGAAAATGAAGGCAGTTTACCACTTTACCGACTATGTGCTTCTCACGTGGGCACAGATGTGGGTGGCAAAAACTGATAATAAATATCATGGTGAATGCAGAAGGCAAACGTATATACAACGCTCTTAATAATTGTATTTCTTATTGTATTTTTTATCGCGAATAACTAAATGATTAAGGATAGAAGGAAATACTAACGAATATAGAAACGAAGATGAAATTAGTAGTTTTTGTTTGCGTTATCTTGATATCTTCTACCGTGTTTTTTGAAATTTCCGGAGAAGATTTTAAAAAGCCGACAATTTTAATAACAATTTTAGTACGTAACAAAGCACACACATTACCATATTTCTTAACTTTTTTGGAGCAACTAATTTATCCAAAAGAACGAATACATCTTTGGTAAGTATACATATCTTAACCTTATTTTTCTTGTGAAATTATTCAATGAAAACTAAACGAGAACTATGTTCTTCACTGATTGAATGAACAAAATTTAAAATAAAGATACAATTTTACGACATCAGGAAAATAATAAAAAATAATTTTCATTTTTACAAAAGAATAAATTTATGTTTCCTATATTATGTTTGAATAAAGTATTTCACTTGGATTGAACGTTGAACTTTTAAATGTTAGAAATATGATCGAACTTCGATAAATCGAATCTCAAGGGTAGAGAAAAGATTTTCGAGTTGATCTTCTCATTCTTAACGATTATTTTTTATGAATATCTCGAAAATTGTTCGTTTTGAGCGACCCAAAATACCTCCGAAATAAAACAAATTTTGTTTTAGAAATTTTGCTTCTCGGAGACTATAGTAAACTTTTGAATTCTTTTTAAACATTATAAATACAGAGTGTACCAGCTAAGTAGGATCACCTAAATACCTCCACTATTTTTCTGTTATACAAAAAAAGAAAAACTTTCGAGAACAAAGTTGCACTATTTTTAGAGACAGATGTAATGCTGGAAATATTTTTTTTCCGGTGATCGTTTACTTAAGAAATCTCGAGATCATCGTTAATTTTTTCGCGATTAACCTATACTTATTTTTGGATATTCTTGTTATTTAGGCGATACTTGTACTACACTTGTACTTGTACACTTTGCTCACTTTTATAGATATACATATGTTTTTCAACTTAATTATTTTAACTTTTAGAGAACTGGTGAAATCCCTTTCAGAAACTTTCATTTTTGTACAAATCTTCAAATTTTGCACGATGTATATTCTGTAATCTATGTAATAATGGTTTTTTTTTAAAATATTCAGTTCTCTAAATATTAAAGTTATGACAACGAAAATTATGTGTTCTGTTAAAGGATATATAGTGATAACAATATTGACAATTCAATCGAAATATTAACACTATGGTTGAATAATGAAAGTAGCAAGTATCACGGAGTTGAAGTAAATTTTGACGAAGCATCCAGTGGATTTAAAGACGAAAATGGAATTGCTCATTGGTCGACACAAAGATTCTTGCATATGATAAATTTACGCGAAAAAGCACTCGACGCGGGGAGAAATATCTGGGCAGACTTTGTTTGGGTAAAAATGTCTTTTTAAATTTTCATTTATAACATAAGATAACATAAGAAATCTTGACAATGTTTTACAATTTTCAATTCAGTTAAACAACGATTGTTCTACGAGTGGATCGGGAAGTTTTGCCTTCGCTTAAATAAAAAATAAACGGGAAGGCCACGACAATTTGTTCTTTATTTTTAAACCTATATAATTATTTTTTCATATAGTTATCGCCTACATTGTTGGTGGTAATTATGTGGATAAATATTTTAAAAATAAAGAATAAAAGTTTATTTTTATTATTGTTTCGTTTTCTCTTCTTTTTTTTTTTTTTATTTAAATGAAGACAAAACTTTTCAGTCCACTTTCGTGGACTGGATCTGTCACGCTCTCTTCATCTCCCTTTCTCTCTCTGTCTTTCTTTATATTCAATTCTAGATGCTTGATGCAGATGTTTTCCTAACAAACCCGAATATCCTTAACGAATTGATCTCGAAAAATGAAACTGTAGTTGCTCCATTGTTAAAGTCTGATGGCTTGTATAGTAATTTTTGGGCCGGGATGACCGATGATTTCTACTATTTAAGAACAGAAAAGTACGAACCGATCTTATTTCGGGAAGTAAAGGGATGTTTCAACGTGCCTATGATTCATAGTGCCGTTCTTATAGATTTAAGAAAACATACCTCAAATAATCTGACATACGATCCAAAAAACTTGAATCAGTACAATGGTCCTACCGACGACATTATAACTTTTGCCGTCAGTGCTAATAATTCTGGTAAACTGATGCTAAAGTTTTTACAAAATTTTTTAAAAATTTTACGCTCCTTCCATTAATAGTCTTCCCTTTCTCCTATTCATGCTAGATGTACCGCTATTTATTTGTAACGATAATATTTATGGGTTCATCATGGTTCCATTGGAGGAAGAAGAAACTATTACCGAAGATTTACAAAGACTGACTAATATTAAAGTAGAAATATTATGTAAGTTAAACCAATCATGAAAAACAAAGGAAATTAAATTTAAATTATAGAATAACAATAGTTTTTTTTTTTATAAATACATAGAAATAATAGTGGAATTTTCATTTTTTCTTAGCTGACAATAATTATCTTCCATTATCAATGCATCTTGACCAATTTGTACAATATCCTATCCAGGATACATTGCAAGTAGATAAAATTTATATGATAAATCTTTTGAGAAGACCAGAAAGACGCAACAGAATGCACAAAATTTTTAAAGAACTTGAAATTCGAGCAGAAACTATTGATGCTGTTGATGGTAGGTAAGTCGTAGATATGAGAGTAAATCTATATTTGTAATCTGTATATTTCGTTTGTTTTTATGTTAAAATATTTTTATTTTATCAGACATTTATAATTATTTGTATAATGAATGATTGAAAACTGTTAATTTTTCACTACCATTAACTTGATGCTATAATTTATATATTTAACTATTCAGCACATTAAGCCTGGAGGATCTGAAGACATTGGAAATAGAAATAATGCCAGAATATATTGATCCTTATCATAATCGGTAGGTACAGCGAAAAATAAAATATCAAAAATATTTTAAAAATAATATGAGCAACTAACTAATGAGAAAGACAATATTACAGACCAATGACTATGGGTGAAATCGGATGTTTCTTAAGCCATTATATTGTCTGGAATAAGGTAACTACATGAAATTTGTATAATGAAGTTAAAGCTCGCTAAAATTATATCAAACAACATTAAACGATTAAAAAATTATGTTAGGTGGTCAAAAACGGTTTTAAAAATATTATTGTCTTAGAAGATGACGTTCGTTTCGAACCGTTCTTCAATCAAAAAGTAAACTACATTTTAAAAGAATTGGAAAATCTCCAGCTTAAATGGGATTTGATGTAAGTATTTAACATTCAGGAAATTTCTTTAATAGCAAACTGTTTGCACTAATTTTACTGAAAGAAAAAAAAGATTATATAAAGTTCAATATTACTATATGTTAGTTATTTGGGAAGAAAAAGATTAACAGAAAATGCTGAACCTTGGATCAGTGGATCGAAATATTTGGTACGAGCTAGCTATAGTTATTGGACGTTAGGATACATCCTGTCTGCAAGTGGTGCAAAAAAACTACTAGATGCAATGCCATTAAAACAATTAATTCCTGTCGATGAATATCTTCCTATATTATCTGATGTTCATCCTAGGTAAAAGAAAAAAACTTAAAATATTCCGTAATAATCTAGTAATCAGTTTATTTTATTTGTTAATTTTAATGTATGTTTTGTACACTAAAACCATTCTTTTTACGCAGGGATGATTGGAAAGTGTACTATCCAAATCGAAATTTAATAATGCTTTCCGCACATCCTTTGTTAATTTATCCGACTCATTACACCGGTGAACAAGGATATGTCAGTGATACAGAAAACTCTACAATTGCATTTAACGATCAAAATATAGACAAACCGGAACGCGAAGATCTATGAGTGCCATAAAGACTGTTGTAAATAAGTGGATGTAAAGAATACTCAAGTAGTCTTTTTTTTTTTTTGCTTTGGCAAAAGCATTTAACTTTCCATGACAAGATGTATTATCATTTGCATTTATATTGTACGAATATTACTCGTGCAGGAAATGATACATAAAAACATAAGATTTAAACAATGTTTTGTACTTTTGTAATGGGAATTTAAAAGTTTAAAAATCCAGAATCGTCATTGTCCACAATCGTGTTTTCAAACAGGTTTACTTGATCTATAATTCTTCGCAAATTACGTTCAAAACTTGGATCAAAATTAAATATAAACATAACAAAAAAAGAGAACGCTAGGTAATTGTCATAACGACGCAAAACCATTCAATTTATCAAGTAAAATTTCTAAATTATTATTTTAAATTAGTTAACACATAAAAGTTAAGAAATCGGGCTTCTTAATTAGCTTTTTTATTCATTTAATTAATACATAATGACAGACAAAAAAAAATCGTGGGGTGGTTTATCTTTACCGGAGTCGTCAAATCGATGAGGAAGCGTGGAAAAAGATTTTTTAGGAAAATCAATACAAATAAATACGTGCAAAGAACCATTAATAAAACTATATATTTACAACTACAAAAATATATTCATTCGCCTTTTTGTACGCCCTTTTACACCGAATTCTCATACTTAACATTTGAATGAACTTCCAAAACGACGTACTTTCTACGAGGATCCTGGATTAACCTGGAGACTTTGTCGGAGCGGCTTTTCATGCGGAATCGCCACAGACACAAACCAGATCCTCTCTAGATCTGTCTAGAGTCTCATTTTAATCAAACTCAATAATTCCACCGTTTCACCGCTACGTGATGATGTAACGCCCATAAGTTACATTTTTATTACTAAAGAAAATAATTAAGAGACTCGATATATCAATCTTTACAATTGTTTCTTCCAAATTAGACCTTTGATTTTCTTTCTACATTTCATTTAATCTAAAAAATGCATAAATGAGGATTTACAAATTGTATATCGATAAAGCAAAACATTCGTTCGAATAATATTTAGTTTTTCACAATTCCTGCATTTGGACCAAAATTGTTCCCGAATATAATTAGAAATGTGCATAATAAATTTTTGATATTCCAGGTCCGCGATATACTACATTATAGATACACATACGTACATGTTTCTCTACAAACTGTCCCGAATTTAAATGTCAAAACTGTGGCAACGTGTAAGGGACTAGTAAATAATATTAAATTTTAATTTTTCTTTTCATAATTTTTTCTGAACGGGACAAAAACGAGTGAATCTCTAAGAAACTTCTCACCTTAGTTTATCATTCTCTACACGCTTTCGAAATGTACAGTTTGAGACAACATTAACATACATCATTTGGTTGACAATAATTACAAAAAGTTTTTTTTTTTAATTATTATAGTCGATTGATTCTGTAAGACAAATTTTTATGAAGCATACAATAAATAACGAGACAGAGCTTGGTACTAAATTACTGTTGAAGAATTTTCGTTGTAAATGTCATGATTATCCTTTTTACGAGAGTTTCGCTCAAATGGATACGCCGCTTAAAGTGCGCTCTGCTTTATCTTCGAAACGAGGTGTGGTTAATTGATACGGATGAATATTACATTTATATTATAGTGAAAATATATTTCTTTTTGATAAAAGACCGGTCGAAACAAAAAGGGCACGATGCTTGGTCGTCTTCCTGCTTGTGTAATTGACGTGGGTACGGGGTATGTAATTAAAAAAAAAAAATTAATCTCGACTATAATAAATAAGCCGAAGCGTGATCTAATGACACATGTCATTCCGCATATTAGAATATATTTCGAGTAATGTAACTTTATCAATTCCTTTTTCTTTTATTTCATTTGTTGTTATTTAACTGTTACACGCATAATTGTTAATTTTTAATAAACAATTAATTTGTATTAGCGCAACTACCAAAATTTGAGTTTAATACATATACAATATATAATATATGTATATATACATATGTGTATAACTATAATAATAATAATAATAATAATTATATGTATTCTTGTTGCTTATTTGTTCTATCAAACGAGAAAGTACTTATTATTATTTATGACTTTACAGATATACAAAGCTAGGTTTCGCGGGTAATAAGGAACCACAGCTTATAATTCCATCTGCAATTGCAATTAAAGAAACTGCTAAGGTTGGAGATAATAATGCTAGAAGGATTACTAAAGGAGTCGAAGATTTGGACGCATACATCGGAGATGAAGCTTTCGAAGCTACGGGTTATTCCGTAAAAGTATATAGACACTTCAGTATTTATTTATATTCATATCACAGTGTACAATATTTTTCAAATTGCCTTATGATTTATACTTAATTTTATTTAGTATCCAGTTCGACACGGATTAGTGGAAGACTGGGATTTAATGGAGAAATTCCTGCAACAATGTATTTTCAAATATCTGAGGGCAGAACCTGAAGATCATTACTTTTTACTCACGGAACCGCCATTAAATACCCCTGAGAATCGTGAATACACTGCTGAGATAATGTTTGAATCATTTAACGTGCCGGGTCTTTATATTGCTGTTCAGGCGGTATTAGCATTAGCCGCCTCTTGGACAGCTAAAACAATAGAGGATAGAACATTAACAGGTGTTGTTGTTGACAGTGGAGATGGAGTGACTCATGTAATACCAGTGGTAAGTGATTGAGAGAAAACTGAAATTTACAATTACATTTTAAGAATATTTTGCAATTAACAAATTTATTTTAGGCAGAAGGTTTTGTTATAGGAAGTTGTATAAAACATATTCCTATTGCCGGCCGCGATATCACATATTTCATTCAAAGTTTATTACGAGAACGTGAAATTGGAATACCACCTGAACAATCATTAGAGACAGCTAAAGCAATAAAAGAAAAATATTGTTACATATGTCCTGACATTTCGAAAGAATTTGCTAAATATGACAGTGATCCAACTAAAATCAAGAAATACGAAGGTGTCAATAGCATTACAAAACAACCATTCATGGTAGATGTTGGATATGAAAGGTTTCTTGGGCCAGAGATATTCTTTCATCCTGAAGTATGTTTATTTGAAATCAATTATACAATTATGATTATAAAAAAGAAAAAAATTTATTATGTGTACATTTCATTTTCTCATTGCATATTTAGTTCTCTAATCCAGATTTCACGACACCATTAAGTGAAATAGTAGACGATGTAATTCAAAATTGTCCAATAGATGTTAGAAGGCCGTTATATAGCAACATTGTATTATCAGGTGGTTCTACAATGTTCAAGGATTTTGGTAGACGATTGCAACGTGACATAAAACGAATTGTCGACGCACGTCTCAAACTTAGCGAAACATTAAGTGGTAGTCTTATTACGGTAATATATACTCTTATATGTTTTAGTATGAGAAAGAAAGAAAAATACCAATATTTATGTTTTAATTTTATTTCAGCCAAAACCTATAGATGTTCATGTTATATCGCATCACAAACAACGTTGGGCAGTATGGTATGGGGGTGCTTTATTAGCTAGCGATCCAGAATTTTATACAGTTTGTCATACCAAAAAGGCTTATCAGGAATATGGTCCCGGCATTTGTCGTTATAATCCCGTATTCCATAGTATGGTATAAAATTAATAAGGATACAAGTGGTATTAAAAAAATTACATTATTACGGACCAATGGTCTCTTGATACTAAATGCTCTATTAATAATTTGTTCAATCTCTAATTTGTCTTTTATCTCAAGTGATGATGTATTTGATTAAATGGAATGGGTGTTTTTATTACATACTGCTAATTGAAATAATTACAAAGGAACGCCCAGTATTACACTAGTAAACGCACACGAAAAGATTTTTATGCTCATCGATTATTATGATACATGTAATAAAGATACAGGGAAAATTACTCAAAAGAGTAAAGATTCTCTGCATGAGAAACAATGTTCAAGAATAGTTGATACAAAATGATAACACAAGATGATTGTATAGATCTGTACATAATATAAGACAATTTGAAAATAATAATTCTTTTCTAATGAATCACATCATGGAATATATATTTTACATCCTGTATTATTAATACATCCTGTATTAGTATTTTTTTGGCATTAAGACTTCAACAAAATGTAAATAATAATAAACAAATAACACTTTAATACAAGTAATAACACAAATAACTTTGTAATATTGTTTATTTATTAATGTACACGTACCATATATACACATAGTATACATATATGTATGTCTTGGTGTTTCACCCAACTTGCACACTTTAAATAACTTCAAAATTATACGTCCAATGAAAAATTGATGTATACAAAAGTTGAAATCAGACGCGTAATTAAAGTTATTTAAACTGTACAAGTTAGGTGAAACATCCTGTATGTATGTATTTTTACATACATGTATATGAAGTCATATATATATGTATATATAAATTTCTCTCTTTTTAGGTATTTACAACTTTTCAAAATAGGTGTATAATACCCTTATATCGGCATGTATATACGAATATAATCAGAGTATATCAAGTTTCAAATACGTGAAACTATTATACAATTACAATGATGATAGTAGTAATAATAATGTTACTAATAATAATAACAATAAAAAAGGACAAAGAAAATTTTATGTTCACTATTAAATATTAGATACCTAATATGAAATGTATGTCATTTTCATAAAAATAGCTGTTGTTTGAAAAATATTTATGCACATGTAACTTCACTTTAGTATTACTCAGTTGAAAACAAACTTCCTGTACTCTGATTTGTCATTCTACGTTGGAATAACTGGAACCAATCTTATGTTTCTTCATTGTTAACATAGCTAAAAATTTCATACGATATTATATGTTGTAATAATTATCCGCTTATTAATTTAAATATTATCATCATTATTGTTATCGATGTTGTTGTTGTTACTTCTATTACTATTGCCACTATTAAAACTGTAATTATTAAATACTCACAATAGATTTAACCCTTCAAGGGCATCCGCAACATCACCACTAATATCCGTGAATAAAGAGGAGAAGAAGAGAGATAAAAGATTAGAGCTAGCTCTACTTGTGCTCGTAAGTGTAGTAGATCGTTTGTAAATATCAATACTATCCACAGGTGGTAAAGGATCGTACGAAAGAACAGAGCCATCATTTTGTACCTAGTATTTCACACAAGAATGTTACAGAAATAAGGAAATTAATAATATAAAGATAATACAAAATTACTTATACCTCTTGGACGCTCACGGTAATATCTTTTATATCGGATAATATAATATGCCGCAAAATATTCTTTGGTAGTTTCCCTTGGTAACGTTTACTTCGTTTTATCTCACAATATTTTACATAATCATCTTTCGAATCAACACGATTTAATACAGTGTGTACGTTTTCGCGTAACCAGGGCAAAAAATTTGCTTCTTTCCACAGAAGAAAGTTACGTACAACGTACAAATTTTGTAGCTTCTCTAGAGCTGGTGAAGTTGAAATTATTGCCTTAGTGTTAAAATAATCATGAGACTGTACCTGCAGAATAATTTCGTGCAATAGTTAATCTTTTTTTAATTCGAGGAAAACATTTTTCTGGAACACTGTAATAAAATTTAAAGTACCATTTCATCGGATTGTATACCACATTTTTCCAATAACGACATCAATACGCCCGGAAACATTATTAAAGCATTTTGTAAAAGTTCATTGGCGAGAGTTACATTGCCTAAATGAAAGTGGGCTAAAGCTAAACTGAACGCTATATTTGGCAGCTGCGTTAAATTCCTTGTACTATCCCAAAAATTGCAAAATTCGATGAACCATTTATATTCTTTTGCTTTTAAAGCATAGAAATCGAGACAAAGAATTACAGCTAATGGATCGCCTTCTGGATCAAGTGACAAAAGTAATTTACAAAACTCCAAACTCGTTCTGAAATGTAAATAAGTTTGAAAGGAATTGAAGAAAGTACTAAGATCATGTTTTTTTACCTGTAACATGCACGTCCACCAACAAAATTGAGATGTTTAAATAAAGTTATGAATAAAGCACGATTTTGTTGTTTTCTATAATCTAATCTGCACAGACCAGTCGTAATATTAAACAGCGGGTGAAAAGAACATTCTAAGCAGTACAGAGCTCGTTCTGTGAATTCTGCCGCCAATGCTAGATCTTCGTTGAGTTTACATAGTTCAGCTAGTTGTAATAACGCATCGATGTGATAAGAATGGATATTGATTATATTCTGAAACAAAATATTTGTTTATAAATTTACTATAATTTTTTGTACTTAAATATAATGTTTAAATTGAAACACAACGTACCACAATATTTTCGGGATTTAAACTTTCGACAGCTTGCAAAAATTTTAACTGTACTTGTCTGTATGACGGACTGTGATCGTACACAAAGTATTGAACTTTATTGGTAAACTGCATTGTATGATCGAAGGACATTGAAAGACCAAATTTAGTAATCGGTGGCCAATTATCTCTGGCAGAAACCAACCAGGTTTTCTTCAAATGACGAAAACGACTATTTCTATTTCTTCTATTGCTGTTGAAATTAATTGACTGTGGCATAAGGTTAATTACACTATGTCATACATTTATTTACTTAACAGTTTTGAAAAACCTACTTTTGCTCAGCCTTCACTGTTTTGCTACCAAAAATTCTTTTGAGTTCGTTGTATGGATTCAAGTGTTTATGCTGCACTAGTAAAATATCTTCCTTGGACTTTTGTTCCATCTGTAAATTCTCTGCATTTTGAAAGCTACAACCTGGAAGTGGTTCCCCAAGTAACTTGTTCACTTCCTTCAACGTCCTTTCAATTTCATCCACGTCCTCCTCTTTGGCATCGACAACTTGTGCTCTAGAGTTCTCTATCTTTCTCCGTCTCTTCTTTCTTTTCTTACGCTTAGCTTTATCAGTGTTATTCTCATTTGCTGCTCCTTCTCCTTCTTCTCCTTCCTCTTCATATTCAGTTTCTTTCTCTTCATTAGTATCAGAATTCTGATTTAGCTAAAAGAAATGAAACGAAAAAGATGGTACATTGATAACAAATATTAGACATTATAACAAGGGACATTATCGTTGCAACTTATCGTTTAAACGTTAATCATACGAAACGAAAAGTTGCAAATGAGGAGATTAAATGAAAATACTCGAGGCACATACTACGTCGAACAGGTTGAACGCCTTTGACTTAACGTTGCCGATTAACGAACTTTCTAGTGCGCTCTCATTTTCGCTGTCCGTCTCGGTCAGCACATCGCCGCCGTACACTTTTTTTATATACCGTGTAGACATTCTCAGTGAAATTAAACTTTCAATTTAAGCGCGAACGAATCGAGACGAAAACAATTGAATCCAGACCAGGAGTTTGAGCGCGTTGAGTGAATCGTTGATCTCCTGACTGCCAGATACTTCCTTCGAAGTCGAAGTCTGCTTTCACTCGATTCTCTCCCTCAAACGTACAAACGAAACTACTGTAAATTGTATAGATATGGATTCATTGTCACTGCGTGTAGGCTCGCTACTTGTTAGACACCTCACGTCACGTTATGTCGCTACGATTGTACGCTACAATCGCCAATCAAGTCCTACCAACAGCCGCGCGATTTACAAAGTTGCTAAACTGTCAAACGATAAGGTCGTGGCAAGTTTACATTGGTTTACGTTAGCCACGTGCGTGTGTCGTTTGTGTACAAGAATTTTGCTCACCGTTAATACGAATTTCGTTTCGAGAAATTAAACGTTACCGTTACCAGCATAACCTCTTTTGGACTTTACAACTTTACAATATGTTCTCGGCTAGAAGGTGACGCCACAAAAAGCCACGAGTTCTGTATTTCACAATTCCATTTCTCCGGTTAACGTTTTCCCGTTGTCGAAATGAATCTGAAGAAAGTTAAAAACAGACTGAAAGACAAGAAACTAGACCTCAGCCTATGCGACCTGAAAGAAGTGCCTGTTCGAGAAATCGTATGTGCAAGAATTTATACGTATTTTGTCTGATCTGTCAACACTATTTACATTTAATTTTACTGAATATGATTTAGAACGTTGAATGTATTCTTATATCATCGTACACCATCGCATTGTAAATGCCAGATTGAATCACTAAAATGTAGGTTTTGTGTTTCTCTAGGCAACTATTAAGAAAGCAACAGATTTGGATTTATCAAACAACCTCTTAACTTCTTTGCCTGTAAGTTTCTTAAGTTCTGTTACTGCTTGATGCAACGCTGTAGATAATTTTACAGGCAATTAATTTCAGAATACTTTTGTCAACCTGAAGCAAATAATCGTATTAGATCTTAGTAGGAACATGTTGACGGAAATCCCTGAGAACTTCGGGGAACTGACACAGTTGAAACATTTGGATCTTTATGCAAATCAGGTCAATCTTTATGAAAAATATTATGTATATCATTCTTAAAGTAAAATTCTCGTGTAGATAACGATAGAGTGATTTTACAGATAAGTAGATTGCCACTTAGTTTGGGCGAATTGAAGAATTTGAGATGGTTAGATTTAAAGGAAAATCCCTTAACTCCTGCTGTGGCTAGCATTGCTGGCCCTTGTAGTAATTTAAGTGAGTGTCAGTCTTGCGCTCGTGATGTTGTTAATTATTTGTCGCAAGTAAAAATCACTATCGAAATAGAGAAATCACGAAGAGTCAACGCCATTACAGGTATCTTTAAAATTCGATGTGCAATGGCTTTTATATATTAAACATTGGTAAAATTTTTATTTATAGCAGATACAGAAACAAGTACTATATCGATCAAAAAAGGAGGTAAAAAAAAAAGGAAGAAGGCAGCAGATAAGAATAATAAACAAAATTTAGATAAAAATGAATCTGATTTGTCAGATAAAATGATAGAAATAGATGAAGACAAAATGGAACCTCTGATATCTTATAACAAAAATCCTGAAGTTAAAGGTAATGCATCAAGATTTGTTCTACCAAATTACTTGGAAATGCGAATGGTATTGGTATAATAATTTAATTAATTACTGTTTTAGGAAAACGATTTTTTATGTCTACGATTTTGTGGCTTTTTTTGTTAGGTTTATTATTTGCACTGATAGTTTTGAGTCCTCCATTGCATTTGAAAGAGTTGGAATTGTTTATAAGTCGTATGGAAATCAACACATTAAGTGATAAATTATGTTTAAAGGAATTTCAGAAATATTGTACCGATATACTCGACTCTTTCATGCAAGCGGTGATTAATATTTGCCACAATTTGTATCATGCATACGAGAGATATTTTGAAACGAAGACAGACATTCCACTGGAAAAATAAGCATTTTATAAGACAAAACGATCCAATTTATTGGACACGACTGTTTTTCTGACTCTGAAGCTCAGTTTACGATTAACGAATGAAACTTATCATTATTGAAATTTGTAAGTACGGTCATGTATATATCGCGAATATTTACGACGTGTCATATCGAAATTACATACACAAGTCAAAGAATGTTGTTTATTTAAAAAAGCAAAATAATACTCTTTATTAATACATGTCTATTGAAATATATTATACTACTTCTTTGGTTACATACATTTAAATATGCGCAGACGCACGTTTCTTTCTGAATGTTATCCACTGTTCGTGAGATTCGCTTTATTTAAATTTAATATCGAAGACGTTGTCCTGGAGGATGCCTTGCCGAGAGAACTTTCCATTCTACTGATCAATTTCTGAAAGGTGTTCATTCGCAAGGAATTGTGTTGTTCGTTAAGCTCGTCCGACGAGCCCTCCGTCCCCTGTGAAACTCGGCCATTCCCTTCGGCAATCGACGAGTCGATTGCTTTCGATCTTCTCCCTCCAACAAACCGATTCCACGGCTTCTTTTCCGGACTGGTTTGCAACTTTGTCGTCCCTTCGTTATCCTTCTCTCTGCTACTTAGAATTTCCTTTTGTCGTGTCGTAAACTCCGCAAGTATAGCAACGTCGTCGTACAAGTCGTTCGTTTGATGATCAACGGGATGACATTTGGGATAATGCGAATCCGGCCGTGGCGTTTTATAATGCTCGTCGTCTTCGAACGTTTGCTGCGAACGATCCACGTTTTCACAGAAAGCTGGCCGATCGGTATTCGTGAGACTCGGCCTCTTTGTAGTTTGCTGAAAATTCATAAAAATAATAAGGGGGAAGAGATAAAGCGATAAAATGACACGAGACGGCAGACGATTCTTACTTGATACGATTTGTCAATATCAGATTTATCGCGACACGCGATGTCGTCGTAAAATTCATCCGCATCGATTGTGTTCTCGGTCATCGGCGGTTTCGCGTAGATCGGCCTAGGCGGTGGTGGACAAGTATACTCCGATTGCTGTTCCTCGAAACGGTTCGCTTGTTGCTCGACGTTTGTCAGACCGGACACATCGTCGTAGTAAGTCGATGATTCGTGATTGTTTGCCAACGGTTGCGGCGGTAGCGGCGGCGGCAGCGGCGGCAATCGCGACGGAGAGCCGATGGTTTTACACTTGGCCTTTTTCTCAATTTTCTTCGGTGATTCCTTCTTACTTCTCACTCTGTCCAAGAAGGACCTCTTTTGCGGTGACTTTGTCAATTCCTCCGTTTTCCTCGTTGTTCGTACCTTGTTCGACTTTGAATTGATGACACTCTGTGTACGAAAGATGCACAACATGAAACGTAGCGTAAAAGAAATAGAGTGAAATAAAGTTGAATAAAAAGAATAATTACCTCGACATCGTCGTACGAGGAGAACTTGTCCTGTTCATCTGTGACTTTATTATCTTTCAACGTTGTACCAGTGTCGTCGTATGTCAGTTCGTCTCGCGACACAATTGATTTCCCCTTACTTTTTTCGTCAAATTTATCTTTCTTTTTGACGCTCGCTTGGATGTCGTCGTAAGTTGCGGATGATTCTTTGTCCGATCGGTCGTCGTTCATCTTAATTTGAGATGCCTCGCTGACGTTCCCGTATCGCACCGTGTCCCTAAAGTCTTCGATCTTGTGGTAAATGTCGTCCTCCTCTTCGTCAGGAAATTCCTGAGGCGAATGTTGAAGAGAGGGGATCGGTAGCCTTTGAGGAATTCGAGCTGGCAACGGAGGAGGAATCGGCGAATGTGATTGAGAAGAAGCAGAAACAGAAACGTTGCTCGACTCGTGAGACTCTTCGTTAGTAACGGTTGGCTCGATTGGAGATTTATCGGGAAGTTCGGTATCGGTGCTTGGCGACACATCCTGATATCGTTCATTTTTGGGATTCGGATCTTCTTGGTCATTTGGCTGCTTGATAGTGCCGTTTGCCACGATATTTACGTCCATCTCTCGCGTTGCCTCTTTCTCTTTACAGTCGTTTTTCTCGTCGCCCAATTCGCAGATCTTCGTCACCCATTGCTCCATATCTTGCCGAGTCTTCGCAAAAAACTGAAACAACGTTTCACTTTACTCTCGCATGCCAATCGTCTCGTCTGTTTCCTCCTCTATGTTTACGGTGTAATATAATACTATGTAATACAATACGGTGTAATATAATACAATGTTATACAATGTAATAAATTTGAGTACCTGGAAAGTTCTGCTACCAGGGCGAAAAATCTCAAAGGCAGACTCGCTTCTACGCTGATCCCGAGTTACCGCGTTTGGAGCAGCTCGGGCCATGTAACCGTGAATCGGCAGTATCGTGCACGGACGATTGTCACGATCGTTTCCATAAATCAACAGATGCAGTCCAACCAAACCTATATCGCATTTGCACGGAGAAATTGCCACGTTTAGTTCCACGTAGTAAACTCGCATCGACGTTCGAGTTCAACTTACCAACCCAGCAACCTCGGTACTGTTCGAAAACGAACAATTTGTGTCTGTCTTTTCTGTAAAGGGGGCCACACATTTCACACTTACTTTTCGTCTCCGCCGCCGAGAAATTCGCGTAAATGTCTGTCGGTGTATTTTCAGTTTCTTCTTTACTTTCGATGTTATCCGTCGTTTCGCGAATCGGAGATGTAACGTTATTCGCCGATTCAATTCCCTGAAAGGTCTCGTAATAATCTTGCTGTTGTTGTTGTTGTTGCTGCTGCTGCTGCTGCTGTTCATCTGCTCCCACGTATTCTTGAAGCTCGGTTTCCGTTTTCACTGTCGTCGCCAACAGACCTTTCGATCCGGCTGCATTCATGTTCAAGTATGGCTCCGGGGAGGCAGACCTCCCGATTCTCTCTATCATGAACATCGTTAGCGAATCCTTCGAACGAACCAACAGATTGTCTCGAATGCTCTCCAACGTGAGTGGAAGTTTCACGTCGCGCAAACATTCCAGAAACTGCACCACATCTGTCACGAGGGAAAGTAGAATTTCACATCGATTCGGTCGACTCTGATTGAAACGAATCAACGTTTAGCAACACGTACATATACAGAGTGTCCAAAAAGGTTGGGACCAAATTTGGACTACGTGTTACCGAGGTCAAATAGATGAAACAAGTTCGTATAAACTTACGTCCGAAAATGCTTCATTGAAAAGATATAAGCGTTCAAAGATTTATGGACAAAATTCGTTGTACAGAGTCGTACACGTATTACAAATTCTCAATAAAATTATTGCAAAACAATCTTCACGATATGGTGCACGACGTCTCATTGGAAACACGCTATCAAATGTGGTTTCAACATGATGGTGCCCCGCCACATTTTGGACGGAATGTACGTGAATTTCTTAATAGACAATTGCCCTCAACGTTGGATCAGTCGCGGCGAACCAATCAGTTGGCCTCCTATGTCACCCGATACTTTGGGAATGTATTCAAGATGCATTTACTATTATTTCCAATGCAAATGGAATATTTGAAAGAGTTGGACAATCACTAATTCGACGAGTGGAAGCCTGCACTCTTGCAGAAGGAGGAATTTTCGAACAATTCTTACAACTGTCACAATAAATCGTAAATATCTTTAAAAGCTCGTATCTTTTCAATAAAGCGTTTTCGGACATAAGTTTACACAAACTTTTTTCACCTATTTGACCTCGGTAACACGTAGTTTGGCCCCAACCTTTTTTGGACACCCTGTATAGTGACAACTTATTGTTAGTTTTGAAACTAAGGAAGTAACAATTGTGCGTTATCATCTCATTTACCTCGAAGTATGGCAGTAACGTCGGCGTCGAGTCCCATGATCGAGTCGTTTTCTGCTCGATTCCTTGTCAACCTTTGATTTCTCGGGCACGAAGATACCTTATCTGTGCGTGTGTGTTTCTTAGCGACGATTACGAATACGCACGTAGCTACCGAACTGTCACTTTGGCTGAAATTCACCAGGAAATGTGATTAAACAGACAAGCGATAAGAAACGATCCTACGAACGTTGCTAAACATTCACAGCTTGTTCCAACGTTCCTAAATAAAATACAAGCGATCGAAATGAAATTTCGATCAGTGGTGCAGAAATCTCACCTGCAGTCTCCTATTCCTGCGTCTATGCTTATCTATCTTAAATCGTCACATCAGTAAATATTACTTCATACTTCATTTCATTTTCCGCAAACACATTTTCACGTACAATTTTACTCGCTGTTTAGCTATATTTAACTATCTTTTCTAAATGGAACTTTCTCAAAGAATGTCACTCCAATGGGGAGATTTTGTGCGTACAATTGCCTCTCGATGTTAACTTGTTAAGATTCAACGAGCTGAACTGCACGTGGGAGAAAACCAAAGGCGGCTCCCGCAAAGACAGACTGTCTTGCTGTCGCTACTCGTTGGCATCTTTCGCTTTTACTTCTCTCCTTCTTTCTCTCTCTCCCTTCCTCCCTCTCACTCGCTCTTCTTTTACTCTTCTTCTGCTGTCATATACATATACGTTCGTATACATATACAATGTTCCTACGAACGATTGACTCACTCTTCTCCAACCGTTGTTCCCTTTTGCTGTAATAATCTTCCGTCTCTCTCGCGTTCGTTCTCCTCGCTTCGTGCTCTCCTCTTCTCGATCGCGAATTGACGCGGCGCGACATGTTTTAATTGATCATTCCAATTGACGGAGTAAGAAAACTACCAAGAAGCAAACATTGCCACTCGCATAGCACACGCTCTGCGACGTGTTCTTCTTTCTCTCTCCACGAGTCTTGTGCAATTTCTTTTTGTTTTTTCTTTTCTCTCGATCGAATTACCGATGCATTTTAGTGTTGACCGTAAAACGCTTGGAATAAATATTAATTTATTTTACCAACGAACGCAAGACTGCGAGTACAAAGAAAGAAATTCGCTATTTTGTTGTTTTCTTTTTCAATAAATTTCCCAAGGTGCTTTGCCGCGTACTTTTTCCAACGGTTTCACGTAAATGTCCGTCGCGATCTCCGACATCTCCGGATACGAATCGGCTTTAGCTTGCTCCACTTCGTCGTCCACTACTTTGTACGTACTCTGCCTCAACTCCTAATAAAAAGAAGGATGCAGTCTCGAGATGAAGGGAGAGAGCGAGAAGAAGAGGAAAGGAGGCAAAAGAAATTGTTACAAGAATTTCCGCTTCGGTTTTCACGCCGTTCTCTACGAGCAGTTTGCTCAGTAACTCTATAGGGTCTCGCTCGGTCTGTGTCGTTTTCACTTCCTCTCGCGAACGATACGAGATGCCAGGATCGCTCATGCTGTGCCCGTAGTAACGATAGGTGACCATCTCGAGGAGAATCGGGCCGTTTCGTAGAGCGTAGTCCCTCGCGAATTTCATAGCCTCGCGAACGTCCATCACTCTCATGCCATCTACCTGAAACGAAAGAGATACACAGGCTGTCCATAAAGTCTCTTTACAATTTCAAGAATTTATTACAAAGGCAAATGAAAAGACAGATAAGTGGAAATTATTACAAAATGAGACGTATATATTTAAGTTTTTTTTGCCTCGTTTAATACTAATCTAAAGCAGAGAATCACCGATGCCATTGCCACCATTGACGAGAGTATGTTATAGCGAACATGGCAAAAATTCGAGTACCGTTTTGATGTACTTCGTGCAACTAATGGTGCTCATAGAGAGGTGTATTAAACGAGGAAAAAAAACTTAAATATATACGTCTCATTTTGTAATAATTTCCACTTATCTGTCTTTTCATTTGCCTTTGTAATAAATTTTTGAAATTGTAAAGAGACTTTATGGACACCCTATACAGGGAACGAGAGAATAATCGTTTTCAAATGACCTGCACTCGTCTACGATTTTCTCTGTTTCTCACCCTCACTCCTGGAATTAGATCTCCCCGAGTGTACAAGTTGGTGTTGGCCGAGTGCCTCTCCACCGAGGTCCCCATCGCGTATTTGTTATTCTCGCATATGTACACCACCGGCAGGTTCCACAATTTCGACATGTTATACGCCTCGTGGACCTGACCCTGGTTCGCAGCGCCGTCTCCGTAAAACGTCCAAGAAACTCCGCCCGTGCCCTTGTACTTCTGAGCCAATCCAAGTCCGGTGCCGATCGGTACCTGTTCGTATCGAACAACTTTCATCCCCAATCGCGTTATTTTACGACAGATCCGGATGTTTTGAAACATTTTCAAATAAAAATTATTTTTAAGTTACTCTTTAAAGTTATTTTAGAAAGAATCTATCTGTAAAATAGCGAAATTATATTATTCGGTACTTCGTATAAAAATTAAATTAATTTGAAATCTATTATTCGCCAAATACTGAAGAACAGTTGTTTCAAAAACTTATTTACAAATTATTATTCGAAGTAAATTTCGCCCAGGTCTATCTTACCATCTTTTGGCTACTCCAATCGCGAGAGGGAAAAAAAATGGCTCGCGCCGGGCCATATTTATGTTTATATTTAATATAATTAAATTTATATTTAATCTATATTTCTCTACCTGACCGCCAACGATCCCTTCGCCACCGTAAAATTGATTCGCGTACATGTGCATGGAGCCGCCTTTCCCTCTCGAGGCTCCAGTCTTGCGACCCATCAGCTCCGCGAAAACGTTTCGTGCCGGTACACCGAATACCACCGCGAAACCGTGACATCGGTAAGCCGAGATCACACAGTCCTTTTCCAATATCGACATCTTCGTACCAACGGCTATTGCTTCCTGCGCAAACACACATGATTCTTTTCTCTCTCTCCTCCTTTCTTTCTGTTATCGTCGACCTCGCGACGTCCGGTTAATCAGACCATATGATCGTAAATTCTACCTGACCAGCATACAAATGAAGGAAACCGTTGATCAAGCGCATTCTGTATAATTCCGCCGCCTTGCTTTCCATTCGCCTGATGTAGAACATCGTTCTCAGCGCGTAAATCGCCTCCTCTTCGTTTATTGTCACCTTCTCCGACGGGCCGCTCTCCAACCGATACAAATCGTATTTCTGAGTAAAAAAAAACATGAGAAAAACATGTTCATTTTAACATCCCTTTTTCTTCGATTAACCACTTGTGCTGGCAACTGATTGCGAACCATAACGAGTAACCAAAACCGTATACAATATTCGTCGCTTTCTTTTTGAACTCGTCGGTATATCACTGGATAGAAATTATTAAGAAGTAATAAACTTATTATTTGTTTTGCCTGGGTTACACTTAAATATACTTAAAACTGAGAAAATGTTGCAATTTGGGACAAAAAATTGTCGACGTGCGTGGCACGTCATTCCAGCGCTACGTAAGAGGTTAACCTCTTGCGCTAGCAACTGATTGCGGACCATAACGAGTGACCAAACCGTATACAATATATTCGTCGCTTTCTTTTCGAACTCGTCGGTATGATATCACTGGATAGAAATTATCGAGAAGTAGTAAATTTATTACTTGTTTTGCCTATTTTGTTTTACTTGAATATACTTAAAACTGAAAAAATATTGCAATTTTGGAACAAAAAGTTCTTGACGTGCGTGGCACGTCATTCCAGCGCAAAAGGTTAAAGACAGTAGTGTGGACTTAAGCTACTCATCAATTCTTAGAATTGAATTGGGACTATCTCTGCACTACTTTACCATACGATGTATCTAACGCCGTGTGAAACATAACACTTGCACAATACAAAGCAAGTGATACCTGCTATCGATATTTCGGCACAATTTGTAGAATATACCTCCCCACTTAAGCGTCCGTTTTTGGTTCCCGACTGCGGACGCTTAAATGAACACTACTGTAAACGAATCGATATATCCAAAATATCCAAATATATCAAAGAGCACGTAAAAACAGCAAACATTTTTACGCAATTTTTACGTAAGATAAAACTAACGCTGGTGCTCGACAATCAAGGCACAAGAATCTGATCATTCCCTTACGAACGTATTATTTTGATACTTCAATAATGTACAAAATTAATAAATAATTATCACAGGAGATTTAGAAAACGGAAAGGTCTTAACAATATCACCAAATTATTCAAATTCCTTGGTCGTTGTTGTTTCTATTCAAGAGCGTAAAAACTACAAATAGCGAGAGTTTTACCGCCTCGGACACCACATTTTTGGCTACTTCTCTTCGTGGAGAGAAGAAAAGACGTGGACTCAGTCGATTTCGTAATAATCTCAAAAAATACATTTTTTTTTTACAACATTTCGTTATCGAAGGTTCAATTCGAATTCTTCATATCTGTTACTCGTCAATTTACATTAAGCTTGCTGTTCGTTTCAACATTGATAAGTTTTAAATGAGAATTTCGATTCGAAGGTTATACAAATGATTTTCATGCAATCGCAGATTGCGGAAGGTCGGAAACAAATTCGAAATGTAATTGAACTTTCCTCTTCTGTTTCAGTTTCACTTCTTAAAGTTTTCTAGGTTACTTGCAAAATTATATTTTTGGTATAATTATCTTTTTATTTGACAACAATTCGCTTATAACAATATATTTCACTCGTACATATATTACATAAATACATGGCGCATCCTATAGTCTATGTGCATATATATCTGTACATATGTATGTGTGCATATAATGTTTCTTTTCTGTATATTCGATGGATCCAAATAAGAACGCATGTACGCATAAACTTTTATTGTTAGCCTGCAGACCTTGAGTGAAGGTAAAAATGAAATTTTATACCCAATCAATTTTTTCTTTTCTTTGGATGTTCTCCCAACTTTTTTTTTTTATTTCTACACCTAATCTTATACTATCCCAATTGTTTTATTTTATTTCTATACCTAACATTTTATTTTTATTATTACTGTTCCCAATTTTTTTATATTCCAGACTAATTTTTTTCTTTACTACACTCCATGTAGAGAATCTCTAAAGGAATTATTGTCACTGATGAAAATAACCGAGAGCTACTGTCACGATTTTATTAAACACATTCCTACTAGCAACATTTCCCACTTGATTTTATTTCTCTGTACAATTTTGACTTCAAGTAGCTAGATAACTGATAGAAGATGGAAAATGCGGTCTCAAACGATGTCAAGAAGCGAATTGCACGCGTTCGGTGATCTGACAGGATGCAAAAGTCGGGACGTTTTCCTCGATCGAGCCCAATGTTGACGCCCAATCTTTGACTGTGCCCGCTTTTCCTCTTCTTCGTAATCCTCGATGTCAATCGAATTCTCCAGCGGGATGAGACGCACCGCTCTGGCAAGAATCGGCGACGTCAAAATCGTACTCGAAGTGGCACGGACCCGTTCCTGACTATGCATCGACGAGACAATTTCATGAAAATGACACAATTTACGAGAATGAAGATGAGAAAAGATAATAAAATAAGATATAAAAATATATAATAAATAAGAATTACCGTGGCAGGGATTCGAGCAAATTGTCCAACGTAGACAAAGATTTTTCTCTCGTCGGTTCCGTGTGTAACGTGGACGGTTCGAATTCTGACCGCGGCCAATCGAACATCGAGCGTATCGCTTGCAATTCCTGCACGTTTCAAAATAGCAGTAAAATTAGCAATTACTCGTATTAATATCACTTTCTGTAACTTGCCTTTTTTCGCGACGAAACTGAGCAGATAGGTTGAGTCGCACTTTTCTTGTGCTTTCGCCATTCTTTAACATCGAACTTGACATTTTCAAATATCTGTATAGAATATATATATTTGTATACATAGAATGTATGTATAGAATATCTAATAGTTAGAATATCCAATAGTATATTTGTATATATATGTAATGCTCGATTTTCTAAAGAAAAAAGAAATCAACGGAATCAGTATTGTTATACATTGTCTGAATATCGAAAAATTTCAATTTCAATCTTCTTTTTTTTAACTAATTGCGATTAAAATTTTGATTAATATTGAAAAACAACTTTTCGATATTGATCAACTCGACTCAAACGCGAATGTAAGCGTTTCTATTCGTCGTTGTGGCTGTCTGGAGTATCCATTTCCTTTACCTGCAATCTAGTCGTTTCCTCCCAACTGCATCGTTTGTGCCGCGGACAAACTTGATTTTCTTGCATGCTTTTCGACAACGAGGAGTACGTGTGTGCCATTATTCGGTCGATCTCCATCTGATAGCAGGTGGAAGAAAAAAACAAAAGTTAAAGTACTAAAGCTCTTCAAACTCAATTATCACTTTCGTTAAATTTAATTTTCATTAAAATTTTTCTTTAATTTTTAGTTAGTAATTTTCATATCTTCATGGATATACTATACAGGATGTCCTTATGTTGGTAGTACAAGCAAAGAAGGATTCTACATGAAAAAATAAAAGTAAAAAATAAAAAGTAAAATTTTTTGCATCCCCTCTCTTTCCTTCTGTCAATTCGCAGAATACTCTTCTTCCCTAGTTAAACGTCCGCTTTCTACTGCATTCATAGCCGATTCATCTATTATGTATTGCATATTTATGTACGATCATATTTATTTATGTAATGGAAATTCTTGAAACGTGCAAGAGTAACTGAGGAACACAAAGGATCGATACTACTCGGAATGGGAAACAAACCTTGGCGCGCTTCGATCGTTTCCGCGCGCTCGTCTGCGAGGATTGTCTGATCGAACGATCGACGACGGACTCGTGCTTCGATTGGCGTTGTACCTTGTTCGGGTCGCCGAACAAACCCTTCGATTCTGCTACCTTGATCATGAACAGCGAGTCGAATTGCACGATCTCCTTTCGCTTTATCACCGCGAGGAAGCATCCTGGATCCAACATGCGGCTAACGTTTTCCCCGTAAATGTCGTCGATGCTGCCCACTTCGAAGAGATCACTGTCTGGAATCTTATGTATTTCGTTATTTTCTTTTTTTTAAATTTCTTAACAAACTTATCAAAGAAATCGCGAATGCAATTTCTATCGTAGCACACGTAGAGGAAAGTCGCCTAATGTGGGGAGGTTTTTAGAAGCTCGTAGATTCAGTCTAAATAGAGGAATCGTGAAACTTTTTGTATACTGTTTCTAAATGTTACATGTCAGATTGTGTTGCGATACATTTCCGTTTATTTTACCACTAGTTCTTTACCAATTGTCAAATTGATAAAAACATGTCATCTCCCCATATTATTAAGATACAAGGGGAGTCCCTAATATATAGGGAGGTAGGTGTTCTTAATATGGGACAATGTTTTATAATGGTAAAAACGTCAATTATAATTATATTCTTCTATTCTTTTTTACGTGAAAATTAATAAAATACAATAGCATTATTTTAAACTTAAACTTAAAGTTATAAATTAAACATAAATACCTCGTGATTCCGATTGTACCTTAAATGAAATAACAATAAAAAAAAAGAAAATTTTCAAACACTCGTTAAAAAAAAACGTATAAATGAATAAAAAAGCAATGTAATGTTTATTTATATTTAAAACAAATAACATTACAATCCTAATCCAGTCACGTTCCTAATATAGAGAGTCCCATATTAGGAACAGATTATCTCCCCCATAATAGGCATAAACATTTCACACAAAAGTTGTTTTATTCTTATACTTAAACTTGACTCTAGACTTTAGAAGAATCACGATAATCAAATACAATTACAGCACTTGTAATTTCAAAGATATAATTCATAAATTATACAATTACTTACCTTTCGAAAGATACAATAAAACATAGAAACTAACGGCTGTTTTAACTAATCGACTCGCAATGCTTACTGGTTACCGACACATGCTTAATTCTTCGTATGTATAGAAATTGCAGTAATTACAACGTTCGTGGATAAAAAGCACCTCTTACTTTGTTAAGTTTTAGATTTTCCCATATTGAGAACCTTCGCAGCATTAGGCGACTCTACTTTATATTAAATTGGCATAAATCTTACGGTAACATTTGCGAGAAGTGTCGAGGCCTGATCATCATTTTGCGATTCTTCGTCCACTTTTATCGATTTCGACGATTCTTTCGGAGTTTTTCTCTTTGACAAATAAGAGAAACAATATCGAGATTACAATCGACACGAACTAGCGAGTTAACCTCTTGCGCTGGAATGACGTGCTACATCGAGAATCTTTTATTCCAAAATTGCAATGTTTTCTCAGTTTTCAGTATATTTAAGTACAACCCAGGCAAAACAAATAATAAATTTGTTACTTCTTAGTAATTTCTATCCAGTGACATCATACCGACGAGGTCAAAAAGAAAACGACGAACTATTTGCAGTATACGGTTTGGTCACTCGTTACGGTCCGCGAACCAGTTGCCAGCGCAAGGTGTTAAGGGAGTAAATTTATCGGCACCTTACCGGATGTTCGCGAATGTATTTTTCAACAGCCATTCGATTCACGCAGTCGACCACCTCTCGAATCATCTCTGTCGTCTCTGATGGTAAAATAGTGTGCACCTCATACACAACAAACTGTACATTCGGCCTGGTCAAAGTGTATTTCAAAGTGGACATTTGATCGGTCAAGAAGGAACGCCACTGCTCGTGGTCGTAACTTTTTCGGTGGTTGCTTTTTTGGTTATTATTGTCATTGTCATTGTCATTGTCACTGTCGTCGTAAACGCTGTTGGCGTAGCTATCTGTTAATGATTCGAGAAGATCCATGTCTCCTCCCCGCGCCACTGCGAGATCGACGATATCTCGAACGCCTGTATAAGTGCACGAGGGCATTGCCAACACTACAGTGGCCCTCTCGGATTCACTCGTCGCCGGATGAGACACGTACCTGTAACGAAATACTCATAATTGGTTCAAAAGTTTCACTTGTTCTCAATCAAAAATGAAATATCGACTCTACGAATCAGCGAACTGTCTAATTGTAAGTGAGACACGTGTATGCACGAAAGAGATGGAGAAATGGAAATGAACGTTATACTTTTGAGAAGAAACGCGACACCGTTGCAACGTAACGCCAAGGTCTTTCAGGTAGGTCTCGTACTCGCAAAGACGGTCGCCAGCCCCGTAAACCAAAAGTTTCCCAGCGTGCTCGATATCAGCCAGAAGACCAGCCAGATATCCAGTGTGTCGAGGCGCGAGCGAGTGAGTTAGAATGACCGGGCCGTAAAATCTACCGACGCGAATCGCCTGGACCAAGGCTGCCGCGCCCATACACAACGACTTCTCCTGTCCGACAAATCGTCATTGATCATTAGTCGATCATCTCCTCCTTTCATCTCTCCTTCTACTTACTAGAAACACGAAACGATGATCGCGAATGAGAGCGGATGTAGCCAGCGTTTCCCGCATGCCCTCGTGTAAATGAACCACCTTCGGGCAAATCGGATCGAACGTAAACTCGTGCTCTTCAAGTTCGATCGTTTGATTCGCTCCGCATTCGCGATGGATCAACTTCAGTTTCGACATCTCCTCCAGGAACTCTTTCCTGCCGACGACTCTCGTGGTGTTTATCCATCCGGTAGCGATCCTGGCTCGCGCGCCCCAAGCAACTCCTTCGATGACGCGCAAACGACCCGGCAGCAGCTCGTCTTTCGGATTTGGAAGGTAAGCACCAACGTAAGCATACATACGTACGGCATTGGTTTTTTTTTTTTCATTTTCGTTTGCTAAATACACGGTCTCTACCGAAGGTCTCTATCACACGTCGGAGAAAAAATATTCACCGAGGTTGAGGGCAGAGCCGCCAATGCGCAGCCTGGAAATACTCGCGGCCAGGTGAGTCTTCACGTCCAGGAGTGCATTCTCGATGTCCGTCAACCCAGCTTCCTAACAGACAGACGCTGTTTTTCAAACGTTGAATGATGTATTAAATTATGTATTAAATTTAAAATAGTTTATTTTAACAAACTATCAATTGATTTCTTAATAACTATTTATTTTGTAAATAAAATGTTAAGATGTTAAATTTCTTTACAATCGAATTGACGTTCATTCCCACTCTTTCTTTCAGTGCTAATTCGCAGAATACATCTCCCGATTTAAGCGTCCGCACTATTGTACAGTGTGTCCATAAAGTCTCTTTACAATTTCAAAAATTTATTACAAAGGAAAATGAAAAGACAGATAAGTAGAAATTATTACAAAATGAGACGTATATATTTAAGTTTTTTTCTGCCTCATTTAATACACCTCTATATAGGCATCAATCTGAAGCAGAGGATCACTGATGCCATTGCCACCATTGATGAGGATATGCTACAGCGAACATGGCAAGAAATAGAGTACCGTCTTGATGTGCTTCGTGCAACTAATGGTGCCCATAGAGAGGCATCGCTTATTTTGTGTGTGTGCTCACAAGTTTCGTGTTTTACACGGCCGCATGGTAAGATAGCGTAGAATGGGGATAGTCCCAATTCCATTGGACATTGAATTGGTGGGAACACCGACGGACGCTTAAATGAGGACTACTAGTAAGCTTACCTCAAACATTCTCTCACGTTCTTCCAGATTGGCAATCTCGGTCGCAAATTTCCTTCCCTGCATGTCGTACAACAGCAACCAAACGATCTTCTCTTGGTTCTTGATGGCGGCGTTACGTCGCCAGAATCCTGTATCCTCCAAAGCACGGATGAATATCTTCTTGTCTGGATAATTCGGTGGAGAAACGCGATGAGAAGAAAACAATTGCAGAGTCCAAGAACGGTGTTGTTCGACTTACACCGAAGAACGTCGTAAACTAGCCCGAACACACGACGCATCTCGGCCTCGTCCGAATACTCGGAGGCAGGTTGAACCCTGCGGAGAACCACCGCGGCCAACAGGATATCATTGACGCGCCAGCCTGGTTCAACGCACGTTTCTATCATCGAACCGCCGATCCTACCGACGCTCATCAACGATCCCCTCGGTTCCTCGTTCTGACATTTTCTCGGCTTAGCCTTCAAATCGTGTCCTTGCCTTTTCGGCTCCCATTCCCAATCGTTCTTCTTCTTTCGTTCCACTTGCGGCCTCGTTTCCGTTTCCGTTTCTTTTCCCGATCCAGTCTCCTCGACGTCCCTTCGGGTTTCATTACATTCATCGAATTACGATCCATTTCGATTCGCGAAACGCGTCTTACTTACTTCTTCATCTCATTCGCGTCACGCGCAATATATCGTTTTATAGTTTTCGTTTGTTTGCCAAACGATTGAAACGTACTATCGAAAACTGATCAATTCGCTGTGATTTCGCGTGAATGAACGAGATAACGATGAAAAAGTGAGATCGAGCTGGACGCAGTTGACAAAATACGATAACTGATCGATCGGTACTGAACGGTGTTCAAGTTGCAAACTTTTTTTTTTCATTTACGCTATAAAACCCTCTACAGGGTTATTAACAACATGCACATTGTAAATTCAATACACACTGACTACGTTCGTAATGAATGCTCAAAAAGACTAAATATCCTTAAATTTATTAGTGGCATAAAATGGGGAGCTGAATCTTCGACACTGATTACTTTATAAAAAAGTTGCAAACTTAATTAACACTAAAAGTACTAAAATGGTAAAAATGACCAATTTATAACTTGTTAGAAAATTTTTACAGATTAACGATTAAATCTGTTTGAATGATTTTTCGTTAAATACATACACAAATGAAAGCTCCTGCAAGTTATTGTTACCGTAAAGCTTTTCTATTCTTTTTTTCACTTTAACATCTTTGATGGAAATTTAATGCGTCCCGATCGCGTCGGTAGTTCTAGCTATTAAATTACAATTTTACAAACGAGAATTACGTTTGCATTTCACAGCATAGAAAAATTTTAAATTAGTAAATAATTTCTATGTGCGCGCGTTTCTACTATGTTTCGAATGAAAACTCGAACAGTTTACCTTCTTTTTGCGGAATTGACATCGTATTCTCTTTGCAGTTGGACAAGTCGGTAATAGATTCGATAACGCCAGTCTTCGTTGCTCGGCAATGTCAAATCTTCGAAGTTTTCGCAGAATTCGTCGTTACAGAGTCGATTGTAGTTTTCTCTCCAACTTGCCAGTAAGGCACGAAAAATCTTGGCATAGTCCTCGAACGTGCTCCTTTTGCGAGCAGAGACGCTTGGTTTTGTCATGGTCTTTAAACACCTCGTAATCATCTTTATTATTACATCGTCGTGGTCGTCATTGTATCTCGTTAGAAACAATCTTGAATGAAATCTTAAATCTTAAATTTTTCAAATGTAAAAAAATATTTGTATTTCGTTCTATTCGTGTGTATATATATATGTATAACATTATTTATATATTTTATTATTCGCCGATTTCAGTGTGACAAATTAAGGAAGAGATTGGAGCAATGGAGAATTAAGCCAACTTGAGGAGAATGATAATTGAGAAAGAAAAAAAAAGAGAAACAAATAAGTACCCGTAAGGTAACGTAATTGGCAATATCGAGAAACAGAATTAACAACAGTAACAACGATGTTAATTAACTTACCGAAAGATGGGAAAATGTCAAGCGGAAGGGAGCAGAAAATGTAGATTCAGAGTATGGCTTGGTGGGCGCGCGGTCGAATACCAAAGACCTTAAAGGGGAGAATAAAGTGAACAGAGGAAACGCGCCGCAACGTTGCGTGTTTCGGTAATATCTTTCTCGATATCGCGTCTATCAGTTTACACGAGCATAAACGAAAATTCGCAACGAGCCGATCACGATAAGCCGACCTTCTTGGGTAATTTTTCTCAGTGGGCTTTGTGTCTCTTTCGTGCATCACCCCATTTATTTCCTCGTGTTCTCTGTGCATGATACTTATATATGCTACATGATATGTAGTATATATGTACATGCATAAGTAATTGAACGCTGAACGAAATAACTGGGGAACGTCGTACAATGTGTCACAACGCGAAACGATATATGTCAAAACGAGTACGTACTTGGTACGAGCTTGAACTAATTCTCCCAAAATTTTTACGATAATCATAAAAGGTGAGATTTGTTGTCATTGTGTAAAAAAAGAGTAGTTCTCTTTTTAATAAATTTACTATTATTATGTAAGAAGTAATATTTTTCTGTATGAATGCACAAATACCAATCCCTAAAACAAATTATATATTTGAATAACGATCGATCGATACATGTATTATGCTATTTTGCTCCATCATTACGAAATAATCGATAACTTATTCTTTTACTCTGATAAATTGCACGGAATTGATCCACAAATATTTCATCCAATAATTCATTTCTTTATTCTTCTGTATAAAGCGCAGCTGAATTACAAGCAACCTTATAAACGTGTGTCGAAACTTCCAAAGATTTTTAAGAATCGTTTGTTCGTATGAGCATCGATAACAACAGAAAGGAAGGGAAAAAAGGAAAATACGATAACTTATTACATTCCACTATAAATTAAAATTTCATATTAGTCATCAATAGAGAATAATTTATCAAGGACAAAAGAGAAAAATATCAAACAGATTCAACAAGTGAAAATTTTTATATATTAATTCTTGTTAAGAATATATAAAATTTGTACAGTTACATTTGATTTGAATCGTCAAGTAATATTAGATTAAATGATATTAGATGTAACAATATCCCTTTCATTTCGTTTCTGTTTCTTCTACTACTCTCTTTTATACACTACCCATTGCCATCATGTATCCATATACATACGCAAAGGCACTGGTCGCATACCAATTATAAAAACCACATTCTTTGATTAGTAACGTTAGTAACATTAGCAATGTTAATCAACTGTCGTTCGTTTATCGAATATTATAATATTCGTTCGCCTTTATCAACTTAATTCATGCCTTTGTACTTCGTGAACAAATTGTACAATACTCGTAGAGTTGATTTTAGATCTAAATTTACAATATCTGTAAACAAAAAATGTACAGTTACATCTATTTGGCTTCGATATTTCATAATTATCAGAGTTACAAACAGTTGCTAACCTTCTGGGCGAGCTTTGGGCTTTGGTAGACCAATATCTTGCATAATATCAAACGCAAACGAAACGTTATGCACCTTCTGGTCGTGTGTTTTAGGGGTCAAATGAAAACTACCTAAAGGCACGAAAAAGCCTTCAAGTAGCCCAAGCAGCAGCGTTAAAAAGACTCCATCGTGAAATTGCGTGTCCAAGTCTGTCACTTCCAAATGAACTTTACTCAAGTGTTTATTAACGAAAGAAATCAACGACTGGAAAATATAATTGTATATTGCATTATAAATTGCGTGTAGACCCCTACGATTTAAACAAATAGTAATTACCTTCTTAACTACGGCTAATTTATCAACCGCGTCATCGAAAAGACTGTCGAAAGCATCTCTTTCGCAACGCATTCCCAAATCGTCGTACGTCGATGTAATTTCCTCTCTGACTGTTCTGTGTATTAATTGGCCGTCTTTTTTACGCACGACGACTACCTGTGCGGCTACTCTTTCAGGCAATCTAACGGGCGCTCGAAATTGCCTTGCCAAACCAACCAATAAATGTAAAATCGCAACAATATTCTTCGAATGGACAGCTTCAACATTCCACTTGTAAGGAGGATAACGACCCAGTACTCGATTAGCGGTTGACAGCACAACTGCTAATTTTTGTTTTTGACCTTCCTCTGACTGCGTTACTTCAGGAACATCTAATTTCTCTCCTGTCAACTTTTCTAAAATTCATACAAAAACATATTAGTCTACTTAGAGTTCGTATATTATAAAAATTCAGTTCGGCTACGATATCCGAGCAACAAAATTTTTGAGGGTATTGTAATTTGAGTCGCAAAAATTTGTCGGTACTAGTCAGTGAATATTTTACCCACGTACATGCAACTGTGACAGCCACAAATATAGTCGATACGTACAGTCTCTTAAATCTAATATCTAAATAATATAAATATAATTATTATAATTAGATATTGACAAAATTTAATGTAATGATACTAACAATTTTTCATGAATATCTTGAAAACTATAAAAATTTCCTTGTTTTCACAATGATTTTTATTGATTTTTGGTTTCAGCGATTCAAAATGTACGATGATATTTAATCAAAAATTTTGCTGCCTGGATACTGTACTTTCCCCAAAAATTCTATTTAATTTCGCTATTATATACAACATACCCAACAGTTTCTGTAGTACCTGCCCATCGTACAAATCTTCTGCAATATCTTTCACAATAATACGCTGGTTGGCTAATTCATCATTGATCCATTCGATCAAAACAAATATTAATTCTTTTAGTTTGGAATCTTCCAAAGACCTAGGCTCTATCATTGAACGCTCCTCATTTTCATCCAATGCATACTCCTCTGGAGGCATCTCTGGACTGGCCGCAAATCCTGGTGAATCAATTGCATATTTCCCCTCTTCTTGTACCTCTTGCACTACATCAAATTTAAAATAAATATCAGAAATCAAAAATCAAGCGTGCATGAATAATAATTTCAAAAAAACGTTTTCTTATAGTAATTAATAATTTCAAAAACGCTTTCCTAGTGAAATGTTTAAAATGACAGTTGAGTGTAGAAATATTATTTATGTAAAACCATTATGGCTCATTATACAAGTTTTATAAATAAGCATACAATTTTATTATTTTAACACTATTATTTTAACAATCGAACCTGTAAATTTGAAACTTTTGTTTTTTACAACTGCTTAAAATATACAAGTATTGTCAAAATTAATATTAATTTCTGTTTCAACAGAAACATAATTCTATAAATCTATTTATTTTAATTATCATATAAATTATAATGATTTATATGTAGAATATTCTGATAGTTGTTCTAGTGTTAATAGAGTTATTTATTTATTTATTTATTTGTATTGATATTTTTGGACACCTACATACATTGGCCCATTGCGGTATTTAAAACATGATATACTTATAATGAAAATGGACACAGAATCTCCAGAATAATATTTTTTAATTTCTATATGTATGATACATACATGTATGGTACATATGAGGATTATGTGTATTAACTTCATTAAAATCAAACAACATGCATTTAAGAGAAAAAATAATTTTATTACAATGAATACAAAATCATAAATTACAAATGGGTATTAAAAATCTATGTGAATTCTTTGTATCAACTACAATTCGAGTAACCACAAAACAAATATTAAACAAAAATTTCTCATTTCATATGCAATTAGCCTGTTGTAAAGGCATTGTAGTATTTATATCACGTTATAATTCTTCTGAAATAAAATGCTCACAAAATGAATGATGCTCATAAATATTCTATGGTGTTGAGTTCAAAACTTCTGTAATTTCTATTTCCATTGTAACTGTATCATATTTTAAATACTTTCGTGAGCCGGTGTATATGATACCAACTGTGAAAGTGTTAAGAATACGAATCGAATATGAGTGTTATCAACATCATTCTTTGAAGTTTGTAACTACTCGTACTATATAAGGACATACATTCTGCAAATTCTTGTAAAAGAATAAACTAGGCTAACTTGTTATAATGTAAGATGAATCCAATGCGATACCTTCTTTGATACGTTTTTTTCGACCTAACGTCCCAATCTTATCCCAAAAGCTTTCTTCTTTCTCATCCTTTTTCGATGAAACAGGAGGTCGCGGAGACTTTGGACGTGGAGACGACATTATTCAACACTACATTCATAAATGAAAAAGAAAAGATGAAAGATGTCATCTCTCGAAATACGAACTTTCGATCTCGTTTACAATCGTCGATACACATACATTGTACATTTCGAATCTTTTTTTAATAATCTATATCGAGATGAATTTTTCAAGTATCAGTTTCTAAGAATCTCTTTTTTTTTTGTTGTTGTTGTTGCTTACGTAGATTCGAAGCTATCAACTTCTGTAATATTTCATTATTTTACACATATCTTATTTTAAGTACAACACAAATACATCTTGAATCTTAAAAATTTAATAATACATACATTTCAAATCGCGATTTTCTTTAAAAATGTTTTAATAGAAAAAAATATAATACAAAGAACGAGCTATTTGCTAGAGTAAAATTTGCACAAAAAGTTCACTTATATTTGTTTAAATAGATTTTGTATCCAAAACTGAATAAAAAAAAATAAAACTGAATTTTCATCTAATGTTATAATATTATATTGTAATAACATTTGAAAAAATGTGTATAATGTATATATGGGATTGAATCATTTAGTAACTAGGCCTCATCGTTGTGTTTGTGAAATGTGATTTTGAGGTTATTAACGAAACATCGGGAAATAATAGTTAAAATGTTGTCAATAATACGACGTTATAAAGTCATTAATACAATAGGAACATTAAAAATTACGAAATTATCGTCTTCTACGAGTACTGATGATGATATAGGTATTAAATGTTATGTTTCCTTATTATATAAACAAATATATCTTCCTATATATATGTGCTCATTTGTAGAATTTCGAGTATTGCAATTGATGCCACCGGAAAGGAAAATTGTAAGCAAAAGGCAACAAACAGTCACAGAAGAAAGTATACTAACAAAATTGAGAAATGAAATACCCAATCAAGACTGGCAGACGATTTGGCCCGCTGCACGATCATTTCACCCTGATATCGTGCCGTTTCCTTTACAACAAGGATACAAAAATAAAGAAGGCGTACATCCTGGCAAACACGGGAATGCAGAGCTATTGAAAATCCCAAACTTTTTACACCTTACTCCACCGATAGTAAAGAGACATTGCGAAGCATTAAAGAAGTTTTGCACCAAATGGCCAAAACAATTGGAAACGGATGAAGCATGTGTAAAGCACTTTCCCGTTGAAGTAATTACATCAGATTACTGTTACTCTTCACCTACGATAAGGGAACCTCTCGCTAGAATAGTTAGTTTGAGAGTAAAATTATCTTCTTTACATTTGGACACTCACGCCAAAGATAAAATACTTAGGTTACTGGGTGATAGATATAATCCTGAAACAGGTATAATAACGATAATTGCAGACAGATGTCCAACTAGAAAACAGAATTTAGATTATGCAAAATACCTTTTAACTGCGTTATATCATGTGTCTTGGGTAAGTCATTTTCTACTGCTTCCATTAATTTTCTAATAGCATACAAATGAAACGAATCAAACAGAAATTGTTTGAAACGAATTATTTTAGCGTTTTGAACCATGGGAAATGGAGAAGTCTGCAGTAGATATGGAATATTATGACTGGGATAAAAGTAAAAGCAGAGAATCTTTAACATCTATGTACAGTTGGCCAAGTACGCCAGCTGACTCTAGCTATGAATACATCCCACATGCAACGGAATATAAAATTGCAGTTTCTGATTTAATAAATAAAGGAGAAGATCTTGTTTCACTTAACAAATATAAACAAGCTGTTAAAAGTGTATTAAATCTGAAATTTGACGAGACTATGGAATAAATAAATAAATGTAAACAACAAGAGTGTAATACTCGTTATTATTGTTGCTGAATATTCATGTAAAAAAACGTGAAATTGCGACAATGTGATATACATAACACAGATACATGTAAAGAATAATAGACAGCATTATGCATTATGCATTATTAAGAAAAAAAAAAGAAATTTAGGGTAAATAATAATTTTTCATTTTCAAGTTTAATTTATCTTTTTATATTAAAGATACTTTTACATCTTCAATAATTTAAAAAGCGATCTAGTCTATAAGTTAAAAATATAATAATAAATTTGAATGTATATATATATCTCAATTGAGATCTATGTTAATCATATATTGAAGACGTAAAAACTGACAGAGACAAAATGATTTTCATTCATAATATTTATCGACTTTTAACAATACATTTCTATTCAACTATATCATCAATTTCTCACCTGACTGTTTTCAATTTCTACACTACAGTACAAAACATCGAATAAATATGTTAGATAAATGTGAATCGATGTTTTATTTTCTAACATTTTTTTTTTATAGTCAGTCTTCAAATGATGATTTGTAAAAATGTCATTGAAGAGCAACATATTACAATTCACAGATATTAAAAGCATATAATTAAGGATACATTTACATTATTATAAGATTGCTTAATTTTATGACTTCAATTATCAAATTAACACCATCAATGTTTTGTAGTTATAATTTTTCTTATTCCAACGTCATTTTTATACATTTATGATAATGTTATTTTACGCTATAAATTTTTTGCATTTATATTATATTAATAGAAATATAAAATGTTTAATCAGATTTCTATCATTTTTCTTGCACTAGCATACACGTTTCATTTATTATTAAGTTCTATCTCGTATTGTTACCGTTATTTTGATGGAATTTGTGGCGAAGGTAAGGTTGAGTAGGATCTGCAACAATTTAACAATTTTTATTTCAAATGAGAAATATTGAGAAACTACTTATAAGAATTTAAAACCTATAACAACTCATTTTTTTTAATGACTTTAGAAAAAAAATTTATTTCATTTTAATAAATGTCATTTTACTTCAATTAAAAAATACCATTAATAATATTATAATTTATCAACGACTATACTTACTTTTGTTTTCCATTTGGCTTTTGATAGGGATGTGTTGCCATTAATCTTCTTCTTTCTTTTTCCCTTACTATTTTCAATACTCCATCTGATACATTCATATCAAGATTTTCTTTTTTAAGTTTATCTGCTTTTAATTTATTTAATATGGCTATACTTTTAGCGCTCATGGTTACATGTGATTTTTGCATATGTTTTTTATTTTCTTTGTCTTTGGTTCCTATTGTACAGATTGTAATATTTTTACGTTTTGGAGATATCTTTCTTACTTGTTTAGTAAAAGCGTTTGTTATATTTATATTATTTTTATCTGAAAGAACACGCTTTTTAACTTTCTCTTGTGTACAATTTGTATTATTATGTTCCTCTTTCATACTTTCTTCCACTTTTATATTTGTGTTACGTTCCACAGCCGAATCTTCTTCTAATGTGATAGTTGTATTATGCGCACCAACCACTTCTTCTTCCTCGGAACCAGCTGCACTGAAAGTTGCATTCAATGCATCTTGATCATTTAAAGGTTGTAACACATACATAGGTATCTTACTATTAAGAGGATCCATTAAGTGAGTTACACTAAGACATGTTAGGCTATAAAAACACTCTTCATGATTGACTGTTTGCATATCTGACCATTTTATATTTCTTACTCCTTCCAATAATTTAATCAGCTGTCTGAAATCTTCTTTCATTATATCTGTCAGGCTTCCAGATCCTCTCATCATGTTGTAATAATTTTGTAATGTTGTACTCATCATTTTAATCATTGAATAATGAGACTCGATTTCACATTGTTGAAGATTGCTCACTTTCTTTGTATGTTCATATTGTTGTTGCAATCTGGACTTTTCTATTTCACTAGTTTGTAGTGCAATAGTATTTTCCAATTTTTCAAGTTTCTTTGCTTCTGTGTACAGTTTCTGTATTTCTGTCTCTACTGAACACAGTTCTTCCCATGTTGCTTTCATCTGTATTTTCAAGGAATCTCTTTGTCGTTCAAAATAATTCAATGATTTATTAACTCTTGACTTACCACTTGCATTTTGTTCTTCGAGCGTCAAAGTATCAACAGCTGCTGTTAAATTATGCAATCTCTCATCTGCTGCTTTCTTATATTGAATCCTACAGCATAATATCTTGTCTGCACTTTCTAACGAAAGAATCTTTTCATTAAGAACTTTCTTCCTCTGAAATAGTTCAATCAATTTATTACTGTTGATTAATACATCTTCATCTACTTCTTTATTACTCTCTTGACTCTGTAATGTATGCACTGATTTATTTTCAAATGTCAATAACTTCTGTTTCAGATAATTTATTTCTTTCTTTTGTTCTTCAACCATTTTTATATACGCAGTTACATGCATCTCGCAGGATAAAATATTTTTCTTTATATGAGTTTTGATCTTCTTTGCTCTGTTCGCATATCTCAAGGTATTGTACGTGTCTTCGTAACTAAAGCTGGAAGAGGTAATATTAGCTATCATAACTGTCTGACAATTTCCACCTAGTGAATCTTTTAAGAGACGGGTCAACTTAGAATCTCTATACGTTATATGTTTTGCACCATCCGCCAACTTGTTAATGCAATTGCCTAGAGCTAATAAAGATTTATTAATATTTGCACCCTCCTTGAACCTTGCTCCTTTACAACCCGTAGCAGAAGCTCTTTCGGATCCAGCCAGATCGATCATAGACAATTTAACTTGTCGTACTTGTCCATCCAGTCTATTGGTGATATTGATATAAACTTGGAAAACAGCATGACTTCTGCTACTCTCCTCGTTCGCATCAGTAGGATGTTGCGTGCGGTTTTTATTACCTTTTGCTAAAAGCGTCAGCAATTCTTCGGCATTCTGAATGGTGATTATTTTAAGCCCAGCAACAATCACTCCACACCTACCATCGTCCCTCAGATGCAAAGGTCCAGACTTATGCAAAAGATCCTGTACATTCTCATTATAGATTTCCAAATACGTTACACCTAAATTAAATTCGCGTTGTTCGCTCTGTTTCTCTATCTCTGAGAATAACTCTGCCACTGTTCTGTACGTGATACCAGGATCGTCACCATTACCAAGCATAGTATGAGTTTTTCCAGCGCCAGTTGCACCATATGCGAATACAGAGCAGTTATAACCATCCAAAAGATTACAAATCAAATCTTTGGTACTTCCTTCGAACACGTCATTGTTATCCGACGTCACGTCGAATATTTTGTCAAAGATGAACTGCAGTTCTTTATTTTGTTTCTTGAGCAGATCGCGACCTTTCTGAGCGACACCGTGATAGAAAAACGGATTTTGTTCCTCCTTTGGATCAAAAATTAGCATTTTATCGTCAACGACCTTCACGACAGTTTTATAATTGCTTTGCATTTCATTCTGATTTTGCGGCCGTATTCTTACGATTACTTTGATGCTCGTCTGAGAGCCAGCAGATTCTGTTTTCACTGATAAACCTGTGTCCTCGCTCATATTTGGTTTTATCCCATTGCTCGATAGCCGTTTCTTCGGCAACTTTTTAATCTTATTCGGCGAAAATGCTTTCGCCAGATTTTTCTTATTAAACACCATAGTAAACTCCGATTAATTTACACATAGGTACACATCGTCGACCGTTGAATGTAAACTAAGCTTTCAAATTTAAATTCTGGATCTCTTTAAAAGCAGTTTCGACAATGGTAAACACGTTTTAGTGACATTCTAGGGAATTTTCGCGTGCTTATTCAACATTGAATTAACATTTACAAATGTTTCCACTTTCATGCATTTATTACATGTATTTTGTATCACATCAGCAAATGCATCGCTCATTTATTATTATTACGTTATTGCATGTTGCAACGTATCTTCAACTTGCAACTATTTGCAGTCATTTTCTTCAAAATATCTTTTTTTCTAGTTTTTCAATGTGACTGCAACGGAACTACTTTATCTCAATAAGAGTTAATTTATGTTAAAATTATTAATTAAAATTAATATAGAAAAAATGATAAAAAATTCATTGCTCTATTTATTAATTACTATATAATATTACTATATAATATTACTATATAATATTATACTATCAAGTAAAATTTCATTTAGTTGAAACGAATCATTTGTATTTATTAAACCACTACTATACTAGAAATGTCACTTATATCTTAGTTTCTAAATAGCCAAAAAGAGCAATTATATTTTATAATATGACATAGTATTTGTAATTAAGGAGGATGACAATTTATACAAGGAAAGGGACAACTTGGGACTATAAACATATGACTGTTCAATGTTTTGAATTTTATATTTCTCTTTCTCTCTCTCTCTCTCTTTCTCCCTCCTACAATGTTAGAATAGAAATATTATCGTTATTATTATTACATGTAATTTTATTTGCTACAGCAATATTATCGTCACAAAGAAATATTCTTCACTGTCTCTCCTTTTCCTTTCATGCGCGCACGCATGTATCATATATTGGACTATAACTGACAATAAGATCTATTATTCTTAAAAAGACATTGTAAAAGATAGGCACTTGACATAACCTGCAAAGTAGACAAAATGTGTTACAAGAGTAAAAGCACGAAAATGCGCTAATACGAATATATTGCAAAATCTGTAGAAATAGAATGGTCTTGCAAAACGTTGGCAGCAATTTAATTAAAACTGTCAGTAATGTATGCATTAGACAAAATGAATGGAGTAGTAACAAATGTGCTCAAAGATTATACATGGCATTACCCCGGCTCACACCACAGGAGGTAACATAGGTCAACAAACTTTCTTTCAAATTCTCCTCTTTACAATCGTGTTACAGGTTACAGCAGTTTTGCAAGCCAATGAATATACCAAAGAATTTGATGAGGAGAGCTCTGTAAAATATTATGATTCAAATCAGCTGGCGTCTAATAATCCTATAGAGGATACTCGATCAGAAGCTCAATGTTTACTTACAAAAGGTACAAAAGCTACAAAAGCTACTTAAAACACAGAAAACAGTACATGTATAAAATATTCCATATATTCTTAGTGACATGTCATTTCATGTTATGTATAACTTTAACTGAGACACAAATTTATTTTAGGCATATTGTTAGGTGTGTTTGATGGTCATGGAGGTCGTACATGTGCACAAGTCGTCTCAAAGAGACTTTTTCATTATATATCAGCATGTTTGTTGCCTACAAGATTGCTAAAACAATATCTTAACACAGTCAATTCCAATGATAAATTGGAACTTCTTCAAATATTCAATGATAAAGTGGAATTTATTTCTGAAATTAGAGATCTCTATCAAGCAAGTTTTTTAACTTTTGTTAAAGACTTGATAGGAATGGAATGTACAAAAGAATTTCAAATGGAAACGACTTTAGAAAATGCATTTCTCAGGTTAGATAATGATTTGTCAAATGAAGCACTTTCAAATTTAGATAAAAGCAGTGCTGCTACGACTCTTGCTGTTGCAATGTCTGGTGCAGTAGCAGCTGTTGCACATATAGATGGTCCACATCTTCATGTCACTGGATTGGGTGATTGTCAAGCAGTACTCGGCATACTTTCTGGTATGAATTACAATCATCAAATTTTGCAACTTTATCAAAAATTTTCTCCTCACTGTCGTGATTGTTGTTAGTATTATCTTAAATTATAGAAAATGATGATTGGTCTGCAAAATTAATGACCGTTGAACACAATGCCGACAATCGTGCAGAAGTCGAAAGAATTCTATCGGAGCATCCATTGAGCGAAAAATCGACTGTAATTAAAATGGAGCGGTTACTTGGTCAATTAGCCCCGCTTCGTTCGTTAGGTGATTTTCGTTATAAATGGAATAAACAGATCTTAAAGGACATAGTGGTACCATACTTTGGGGAAGCAGCAATTCCACCAAATTATCATACTCCTCCATACTTGACAGCGAAACCGGAGGTCAAATACCATAGATTAACACCTAGAGATAAATTTCTTATAATAGCTAGCGACGGTCTATGGGATTTAATGTCACCCTTACAAGCTGTACGTTTAGTGGGCGAGCATATGAGCGGAAAAGTAACATTGAGTCCATTGAGGCTACCTCGTAAAAATATGAAATTATCAGATATAAATAAAATGTTGTTGCAACGTAAAGAGGGTTTGAAAAAGAAACCCCTGGATAGCAATGCAGCGACACATTTATTGAGAAACGCGCTTGGTGGTACGGAATACGGTATAGATCACGTTAAATTGTCGCAATTATTAACGTTACCAAGAGAAGTGGTACGAATATTTCGTGACGATATTACAATAACAGTAGTTTATATGAACTCTGAATTTTTAAGACACTGCCCCCCGTGAAACTCTGTAGAGAAATTTGTTACATTTATAAAGTTCTCATTGTTTCAAAGCATTGTCTCGAAGAAATTGACGTTTTATTGTATACAGCTTGTTATTTATTTAATTAACAATAAAAACAATTTACATGGAAAGGATATTTCACTTATTTGCAATACGTACACATATATTACATACTACGTATAATCGCGTTCGTATAATTCAATGAATCGTTTCAAATTGATTATCAGTAATTTATACTTATCAGGAAAAATGAATGCAAATGTCACAGACAACGTGTCGTTAAGCAAGATCAAACTTATAAAACGTACAAATAAATTGCTAATCTACAATCATAAACAGTTCAGAAATACTTATTAATTCTATATATCATACAATTAATTTGTTAGGTACAAGTATAGCAATAATTATATAAGTTAAAAACGCACAGAATTTGTTATATATTACGTTATGGATTACGTAGCATTTTAACTTTTTCTCGCGTTTCTGAATAAAAAATAGTCTATTGTTTTTTCGCAGATTAAAATGTAACAAATTTTCATCATAAAATATATATTGTTCATTCTGTGATCTTTATATTAGTTTCGACAGTGTTTGTAAATAAGTATTAAGCTTGTAATGTTGTCATTGCTATTGTGTAGTGGCTATTGAAGGAGAAAGAAAATTTGAAAATAAAAGTCCGAGTCAAAGTGATTGAAATTTTTGTATAAATACTACATGTAGCAATGTCGAAAATCAAACAAGATACGAGGCAAGTGCGTGTATAACAAAAAGATACTTTTGGAAGTATATAGCAACTTCATTAAAAAGGTTTAAGTATCAACCTTCTTGACCAAAATCTTCTTTAAATTTCTCTAATTTAGTCATATCCTCCTCGTTCACTGTAGGACGTGTAGTTGCTAATGATTTCAACATATCTTTCTAAATAGGAAAAGTAGATTACAATTAGAATAAGATAAAATTGAAATAATTGAATTGAAATAAAAGAAAATCTTATATTTACCATAGTTACAGGTGGTTCGTACAATTTGTCACCCTCGACTTCCATCCAGTTCATTTCAATAGCGGCTGGATCTCCTGGTGAACATGGTGTCAACAAATCATCCACAATGATAGAAGGATCTTTTGGTGATGGCCCTCTTACACGTTTAAAATGTGTCGCAGTCTGAACCTGTCTAACTGGCTGCATAAGAGCATCTCGCACAATAATACTTATATCAGCGCCAGAGTAACCATCAGTGGCAGCTGCTAATTTTTTAAAATCTTCCTCCGTTAAATAATGAGAAGTATTTCCTAAATGAAGTTTGAACATTACAGCTCGTGCTTGTTCATCCGGCAAAGGAATGTAAATCCTCTTCTCAAATCTTCTTCTAATAGCAGGGTCTAATACCCATGGTATATTAGTAGCTCCCAATACTAGTATACCGTCGTTGTCTGATCCGACACCTAACACATCGATTTGCGTTGATATATTTTACATACGTACATGTACACGCGTATCCAGAGAAATTACACAAATCAGTATCTTCCTCACCTTGCATTTGTACTAAAAATTCCGTTTTTATTCTTCTCGCAGATTCTGATTCATTGTCGGAACGTGACGAGCAGAGTGAATCCACCTCATCGATAAATATGATACTTGGCTTGTGTTGACGAGCTAATTCAAACAAACTTCTGACAAGTTTTTCAGACTCTCCAAGCCATTTGCTTACCAAGTCCGAAGACGATACAGAAAAGAATGTTGAATTATTAGCTTCAGTTGCAACAGCCTTTGCCAGATAAGATTTACCAGTGCCTGGTGGCTGAAAATATCTTAAAATTACTTGAAAAGTACTTGGACAAAATTATTCTTCTATTCCAAGTCACTTTCTAGAGTTATATATTTAATTATTTAAAAGTTACCCCAAATAACAAGATGCCCTTCCATGGTATCCGTTTTCCAGTAAAAAGATGGGGAAAACGTATTGGTAAAATAACTGCTTCCTTTAAAGCTTCCTTGGCTCCATCAAGACCAGCGACATCGCTCCACTTAATGTCTGGCTTTTCAATGATTATCGCACCTTCCAATTTACTTTGAAGTTTCTTCTTTGTTGGATCACTGTCTGTGTCGCTATCTCCACTGTCGCTCTTCTTATCCTCAGTTTTCGAATTATCTTCACCCGCTTTTACAGGTTTCTTCTTACTTTTCTTCAAATATGCTTTTAGCTTCTCAGCTCTTTCCAAGTATTGTGTACACTTTGCCCTTATACTTTCCTTAGCTCTATCGCCTTGTGCTTCATCTAAGAAGTAAAACCAATAACACAGCTCAAATTCTTTTCTTATTATAATAAGATTATCATAAAAAAAAAGAGAAAAAATAAAAAAAGAAGCGATGTTACAAAGGAAACCTGTTAATAGTCATACATTTAATAGAGTGCAGGAAATATTCAACAGCATGTTCATACAACCTAAGGGCCTCCTCGTAATTTTTATTACGATCTTCTTCAGTAGCTCTGGTAACCAGATCTATAGCTTTCTACGACACGCAAAAAAATATTTTTAATTTTTAACAATTGCGCGTTCTCAGTCGTGAAGCAGAAACGACGAAAGTTATATGCACGAGTGGCTCACCTGCAATATTGTACCTGAAGCCATTCTATTATTACTTTAAGTTGCATCTAACCTTTACTGCACGGTAGTTCACCGTCACCGATGGGACGCAGCGTCTCGAGAGAGTGAAAATGAATAGCGATCGAGACGGCGACCTACCGCATCAAAATGATACTCTATGTCGCTTGATAACCTTCAAAATTCGGCTGACCAACGTCACCGCTTGACATATCACAGATCACACTAATACATTTTTAAACAAACTGCTGAAGGCAGTCTATCCACATTGTTTGTCGCGTTCTCAACGATGCGGTCATCAAGTTATGTCCAGTTTACAATACAGTTGAGAATCTGTATGAGAGAGCACGCACTCACGTGAGATTGTGATTTAACGCACGAGTTGATAATAAAATAAACTTTGATCATTTAAAAGTATGTAAAATATGCAAATACTGGAAATACATGAAAAGCATGTGTGTAAAATACATACTTGAAAACTCTCATACATATCGTGTATATGCAGTATCTCAATATGTATTATATATAAATAAAATATACATAAAATATTTCATTACATTATTATTATACATATAAATAAATACTGGAAACTATTATAAATATTTTCGTTAAAATTAACTAACTAACGATATTTTAATATAAAATTAACTAACGATAGATAAAGAAATAGTAGTAATCAAAAATATATATTGTAAACAATAACGTCTTCTCTTTGTAATTTTAATGATTAAAGAATATAATTATTCATAAATAGGTATATTTATATATTATATACTATTTATACATTCATATATATATATATACTTTGATTATCAAAATTACAAAGAAAAGATAACAAACCCTTATCTTCTCTTTGTAGCTTTAATGATCAAAGAATATAATCATTCATAAATAAATATATTTATGTTATATATTATTTGTATATTCATAAATATATATATATTTGCGAATAATTATATTCTTCGATGATCAAAATTACAAAGAGAAGATAAGAGTTTTTTTTTCTCAGGCTTACCTTAATTATTCGAGTTTCCTACATTCATGAGAAACTATGGTACAGTTCATACGCACGAATAAATCGCAAGGTATCAATGAGATGAATACGCGGCTTATGAACGGGAACGCATGTGCAACAGCTACCTGTCTACGAAGCACCGAGCCCGAACAGATAAAAACTTCGGGGGGCTATCAAGAGTTGCCGATGGATCTGTTTCTGTGTTTATATCTGTTACTTATTTTTGTTTCCACATACGCGTTGGCCTAAATCACTGATCGGAAAGTCAACTTCATCCTATTCTAACCTAACAAAAATACCGACATACCGAAAAATGCGTACCGCCACCATATGATAGAAACAGCAATCGAGAAACGGAGAAGACTTGGATCGTCACCGCGCGCGTGTAGTAGTTTTACAATAAGGAACTCGCCGAGGGGAAACGTTCGATCTAAGTATGAATTTGTTGTTCAACCGTGGCTTTCTGTTTTATTCGCTTACCTCGTGCGATAATCCCGTGGAAATTAAGGGTGTGGCTAACCGGTCCTTCCTTTTTATTATTCTAGGCTATGTTCCAAGTCTGACTTAGTTTAGGATTCATCTGAGGTTAGGAGTTTTGCATATTACTTTTTTTTTTCCCTGCTCCTGTTCGTGAACACGACTAGTGATAGTGAATCGCTGTTTGACACTTTGTTAAAAAATTTCTCGAGTTCGAAATCTCGCGAGAACAACATTGAAACGCTAATTCAACGTGTTTTGTTCGATTTACCAGTCTTCAAATTTCACTTGCATCGAGAAGAATTGATAACACACAAGATACAATACAACAAACGTCTGGAACAATCATCTTTTATTATCAAAATTAATCAATTTTCAGGTTGCTCAGATTAATAGATCGCGATCTATTGAGTGGAAATACGTAACATAATTTCTCGTATATATGTATATGTATATGCACAAAGTTTTAGAAACATAATTTGAGAAACAAGTACATCATTTTCAATGAGAACGCAAGTATTGGGAATTTTGAGTTCAGCAAAGTTTTATGTTATACGTAAATCATTTTGAGAAACTGTTATACATGTACGTTGAAAATGATAAAACTACTTCTATATCTGTTTCTATTTATTTCCTAATTATTTCTAGGAGAGAAGATAAAAAGCAATATTTTCTTTTATATTCAGGTAATATTATATATTGGACATAAGCCAAGTGATGTCTGTCCCTTCATCATCGTCTAATAAGATAACTGATAAACCAGGTGGCACAAGTCCAAGTCCTGTTGAAGGGATTGAAGGTGTTCCAGGACCTAGTTCTTTAGAACCTATGCATTCCTTGTTAACGCAGGATGAGGAATCAGAAGATTATGGGGAGGATGGCGAAGAGGAAGAAGAAGATGACAGTAGTGAAGAAGATAGTGAAGCTAGTATCATTTCTATACGATCTATTATTTTATAAACATTACACTTGTAAACATTTACTCTTTGATACAGCGAGGACAATTTAATTTCAGATCAGTGATACCGGAATATTTTGCGATGCAGAATGTGAACCTGACCTTGATAGTAATACATGTTCACTTTCATCATCGCAGCCACAGTCGTTTTCGCAGCGAGTACACAGTCCTGTTTTACATACATGCGTACCCTTGGACGTCGTTCAGCCACAAAGGAAGCGTAAAAATGAAACTGAATCGAATTTACCTTCTAAAAAGCTTAACCCGGAAGACAAATCCCACTCAATGTGAGTGTGATTTAAAAAAAATATGATCGAAAAGATTTGATTGGATTTTCCGAAAACAGAGCTTGTAACGCTTGAATTATATATTTTTAGGATCATTAAGAAATTGGATGATAAAAGCAAACATACGAGATGCGTTATCCCAACGAAAGATAATCCTCCACCAGAAATGAATAATTGGCTTCTTCAGTTTCAGGTATAAGAAACTTAAGTCGTTTGAAAATTCACCTATTTACTTTTAATTATATAATCACTAAAGGTATTGCTTCTAATTCTAGAGATGGTCAAATGCAGAAAGAATGCTAGCTATAGACGAATTAATTGAACGATGTGAACCAACACAAGTACGACATATGATGCAGGTTATTGAGCCTCAGTTTCAAAGAGACTTTATATCGTTGTTGCCAAAAGAGTTGGCTTTGTCGGTATTAGCTTTCCTCGAACCTAGGGATCTTTTACGTGCTGCCCAAACATGCCGAAATTGGCGATTTCTTGCTGACGACAATTTGTTGTGGAAAGAAAAGTGCAGAGCAGCAGGTATAGAAGATTTAAAGGACCTGCCTCCGACAAAACGTAAGAATTGTAGGAATTCTGGTAACTGTTCGTCCCCGTGGAAGCAGGCATATATGAGACAACACAACATAAAGATGAACTGGAGAACAAAACCTATTCGTACACCAAAAGTTTTAAAAGGGCACGATGATCACGTTATCACTTGTCTCCAATTCTCTGGTAATCGTATAGTAAGCGGTTCTGATGACAATACTCTTAAAGTGTGGTCCGCCGTTACAGGCAAGGTAAATTAAATGACATAACTGTGGAAACGTGATGTAGGATTTTCTTTTCTTTTTTTTTTTATAATTTAATGTCTTTTTTAATGTAATTTTGTAATTTAATTCAATGCTTTTATATTTATTTTATACCCCAGCAATTTACATTTTTTTCACAGTGTTTAAGAACATTAGTTGGACATACTGGTGGTGTATGGTCCTCTCAAATGTCTGGCACTACTGTAATCAGTGGTAGTACAGATCGCACCTTGAAAGTCTGGAATGCTGAGACTGGTCAATGCATTCATACTTTATATGGACATACATCAACGGTCAGATGTATGCATCTACATGGTAACAAAGTAGTCAGTGGTAGTAGAGATGCAACTTTAAGGGTATGGCAAGTGGATACTGGTGAATGTTTACATGTGCTTGTGGGCCATTTGGCAGCTGTTAGATGTGTGCAATATGATGGAAAATTAGTAGTTAGCGGCGCCTACGATTATATGGTTAAGGTTTGGAATCCGGAACGCGAGGAGTGCCTTCATACTTTACAAGGACATACAAATCGTGTTTATTCTCTGCAAGTAAGCGTTAATTGAGTTGTATATATTAAGTGTGCAAAATTAATATACCGATTAATCTGATATACAGGATGTCTGCTGTTTAGGTGATCAAACTTCGTGCATTCTGCGAATAGAAATAAGAAAAAAATGTTATATAAGCATAGGTTCTCAAACATTACAAACTTGATATTTATTCAAATTCCATATATTTGTTATAACTTTTTTATAAAGCGTTTGCAGATCTATGTTTACATAACATTTTTATCCTTATTTTTATCTGTAAAACACATAGGCGAAGTTTGATCACCCTGTGTAATATATATTGAGGAAAATATTATGTAATTTATAATTTTTTCCAACTGATGTTGTTCACAATTGGACAGTACTTTTTAACGAAATTGACTGGAAAAACACACTTCTATAAGATACAAAATCTAGAATTGTTCAAGAGACTTATCTTGGACAGCATTAAGTTCGTTTATACATAAATATTATTAATATGTCAAGAAATATTAATACAGTCTCTTCTTTCTCCTCGTCAGTTTGACGGTGTACATGTTGTTAGCGGTTCTCTGGATACAAGCATAAGAGTATGGGAAGTTGAAACCGGTGCATGTAGACATACATTAATGGGACATCAGTCGCTCACTTCTGGAATGGAACTGCGTAACAATATCCTGGTATCTGGAAACGCAGATTCAACAGTTAAAGTATGGGATATTGTTAGTGGACACTGCCTTCAAACCTTGTCTGGTCCAAATAAGCATCAGTCTGCTGTCACTTGTCTTCAATTTAACAGTCATTTTGTAATTACTTCATCCGACGATGGTACAGTTAAATTGTGGGATGTTAAAACTGGTGTGTCTTCCTTTGCTGTATTACTGGTTTCTCCTCTTTTCTTCTCCCTGAATATTAAAGTTTTTTCGTGTGTTTAGGTGATTTTATAAGGAACTTGGTTGCTCTCGAAAGCGGCGGAAGTGGTGGTGTTGTGTGGAGGATACGTGCAAGTGATACAAAACTGGTGTGTGCAGTAGGTAGCCGTAATGGCACAGAGGAGACCAAACTTCTTGTTCTCGATTTTGACGTAGAGGTAAAATAGTGTACTCTTTTGTGGATGGAACTGCCCTCTTCTATGACCTCTGTACATATACTGATTAGATAGCGTAACTGATCAACTGTACAATTACATATTACATACGTGGTGTGTTTGTGATAAGAATGTATGTGGAAAATTTAAAGAGAGATCGCAGAAAGTCAAACGCTGAATCGGTAGTTGTTGTAAATGATCTCCAAAGTGGTAGAACATTTAAACCGAAGGCATTAATTATATTAATTACGAAGTGTATCAATCGTGGTGTACAAATATGAGATTTCAAAGACTCAACAAATTACGGAGAACGAGGAGCTTATAAGTGTATTATTGTATTACTGCTGTTATGAAATTTAAAAGAAATCGCTAGTAATTTAAATGAAAGATAGCCCTCTATGAATATTAACTCTATGTAACGATTTGTATGGGCGTTTAGGAAAGTATTTTTAAATTACGGAAAAAGAAAGATTTCGTACCATATTTGTCAAGCTTATAGATAAAAATATCGCTTAAAGAATCTCACATTTTGAAAACAAAAAAAAAAAGAAGAAAAAATAAATAACATCAAAAGGAATGAAAAGTTAAGAAAAAAAGAAAAGAAAATAATCACAAAAATATTCTTTGTATTATAAGTTCTTCTTTATTGCACTTTATATAGCTTATTTAAATTTTTCATTTGTTAATTAAATTAATTATTATGGGAATTGTGCATAATTTATTGGATGATATAATCAATATTTAATGACTTTTTAATGAAATGAACGCTGTTGTTTTTTTATTTACTTTGTTTTATTTACATCAATTTTTATTATATCATCTAAATCTGTTTATTCAGATATTCATAAAAAATATCATACAATTATAGAACTGATTTTTTTTTATTCTATGATACGTTTTGGAAAAGTGATTTACTAGTATTTTACTAGAATTTGGATATTTTCTTGCTCTTATATTGTTAATCAAAATATTAGTGAACGTGTTACGTAGAGGAAACAGCTATACATATGTCGTAACTTCAAATACAAAAGATAAGTTCAGTAACTTTGTCTTTTCTATCTGTTAATTTATGATATACGCATAAACATGTGTTTATCATAATTAGTTACGTTATATTAATTTTAAATTGCAAAATAGAATTTTTCAAAATATAGAACAATATTTTCTCTCTTTCTCTCTCTTGAATTTAGTTATAAATATAATTACATATATTGCAAAAGGAAAATAATATACAATTTATTTATAATGTACAAAGAATACATACAAGATCAAGTTATATTGTATAAATAATATTTTATTAAACATTTTTTAGTTTTTCTATATTGTATCGAAATGTGTTTTATTATTTTTATAATCATCGTATAAATGATTACAAAGAGCGATTTACCTCGATTATACCTCGCGACAGGAAAATTTACGCCTTTGTATTTGTTTGTTATCAAATGCTTGCCATTATAGTATCAGATTAATTTCCCATGCGTAACATGTTCAAAAAACATTTACTATTTATTGTTCGCCCGATCAGACAACCAGAATTAATCAAAAATTCGTGATACTAATTTAATTGGATTGTCTACGTTTTTTAAACGAAATACTTTAATTTTTACATTAGTAACAAGTCTGGTTTTGCCATGGTGCAATAATAAGAGTTGCAAGTTTATCCTGTGCAATAAGCACGAATCAACTGGACGACATGAAATCAGTTATCATGCAAGAATAAACATAAACAAAAGAAAATTATACGCAATAAATTACACATTTATCCGAAACTAGAGATACTAAGCAAATTCATAATAAGTTACAAAGTTCTAGATTTTTATAGTGAATTAGTTTTTTTACGCAAACTTTGTCATAGAAATTACATAAGCTATAGAGAAGTTAATCCCGATCGACAATAAATCTTGTAAAATCAATTTTCGACGTAATACACGGTTCGTGTAAATGCAATTTTTATTATTGAACCTAGGATATTTTAAGAATCGTGTTTTTATTTGTATATTGCTCAATAGTTTATATTTGTAATGATGTGTTATCTGTTGTATCATTTTTTATAAGAAATAGAAAATGTTGCTGCATTTTAAAAAATCACATGTTCTTCGTCTTGTGCCTCCGCAATCTCTGCATAACAAGTGTCACGTTTCAATGACAACGAGGAAGGTACATTCCAAACAAGGAACGTGTATCGACTGATTTTTCTCCCACGTGTGTTGCTTCTCTATACAATACGATCCTCCGCATCTGCATGGATAAGCCAACATATCTTTGTTACCGTCCATCTCTTCCATTTCGTTAATCGATATTTTCGCATATATCAAAACATTCTCCAGATCCAATTCCTCTTGCCTTTGTACAGCATCGTACTCCTCTCTCGATTTCGGGTCACGCAAAGTGTGCCAGGCTTCCAGAACACGTTGAAGCTTGTTACTATCGGATTCGGACGTATTTTTGTCCGGATGAAACTTGAGAGCTAACGCGTGATATGCACGTTTTATATCTTCGGCTGTCGATTCCTTGGTACAACCAAGTATATCATAATAATTCATCAAACTCATCATCTTGGATCGTGACACTACGTATGTACGAACATTGCTAACGCGAGGTCTCCTGTACGGGTTAACATCACTGCGGGTCGCGAGCGTACTAATTCTACTGTCTTGTTCCAATTCTTTAATGTCTCTCTACGATCAGCAACCACGACGCGATAATAGCTCCATCTGGTGCCATGACTACTGTCATTCAACATACATAACGAAGGCGACGAACCCCTCCGCCTGAACTTAAACGTAATACAATTTAATTCACACTAGAGATTTTTACTGAAATTTTTATTAAAATTTCAATTTTTAGTAATCAGTAAATGTAATCAACATTTTTATACATTTTCTTGGCACTAATATTGCACCTTACAATTTTTTACACGTAAATATATGACTTTGATAAGTTGCTTGTTCGTTTTATTAAGAATAAATTTCGTTCGTTAATTGAAACGTAAAATTGTACTTGTCACAATAGAAGAATCACTTTTATTAATTCTTTGCAATTAAGTTTTTCCATTGAACAAAGCAGTATTTGAAAGTAATTCAAAATATGAAATATTTAGTTTTTAAATGAAAATCGAGTAATAAAAAATACAAAATATAATTTTTTCGTAAAACAAAATGTAAATTAAATTTAATGAAAAATTAATCATTCGTTTTAATTATAAAAAATAAACGAGAAAACATGACGTAAAGCTTTAGTTTACTAAATAGCAATATTAGTAATATTTTTATTATTACTATTAAATTAAAAACTTCACTTGAGATAAGATTTATTTAAATTTTATTTCAAGTCAGTTTCATTTGCTTTTTTTATAAGAAGTTCAAAATCAATTTTTATTAAATTGAACACGTTGCTTTGAAGCTTCCAAACAAGAATACATTCATCTTGTTTCAAAATCTTTTAAATTGCTCAATTTTATTTACAAGTGTTTTGCTTAAAATTACGAAGTACATAGATTCGCTACAAGAATTGTAAGTATCACAATAAAAACCAATATGACACGAGACGTAACATGATGTTATTAAAAAATCTTGTTAACTTCTTCAAGGATCATCATCGAATTAATGATTACGATAAACATTGAAACCTGAAAATTGCCAACGTCTTTCCATGTTCGCCCCGATTCCGAACAAGTCTTGTTTAAAGACTTGAGGAAAGCGTTGCATCAGTGCTTCCACTTCGTTTGGTTTGATACCTGGCTCCATTTTTTGCAAATAGGACCATAAATAATCTACACTCGCACCAAACGGGTGAATATGTAAAAAGGTTGCTATTAATCCTATAATTACAGAAAAAGAAATCTATCAGATTGCAGACAATGCGTTCGAAACAGTTGGTAATTCACAACGATGATTTACAAAATGAAAACTACCTATTAGTTTGGCATCTTTCTGGGTGATTTGTACGAAGCTAGACGTTAAAACTAATTGCTTCGGAGTTCGAGGTTCCTCATTGACGTCATCATCTTTATCCAACGTTATGATCTCGCTTTCACGAGGTTCTTCTTTTTTCGTAGCGTTCAATTTCACCGTTAAATCTTTGATTTTCTGATCATCTTGCGCTTGTTGTTTCCTCGACTGCATTAACTGTTCCTGCATCCCTTTCAGAGTTTGTTGTAACATCTTCATCTGCTTATCCTTTGCATCTATTTCACTTTTCGTTTCAGATTTCAGCAGATCTACCTACAAGATATAAAAATATATTCTTATTTTTCTTACACCTTCTTTCTTTCTTTCTTTCTTTCTTTCTTTCTTTCTTTCTCTGCCTCTTTAACTTCAGATGACGATTTTCTCGCGCTGCAAGTTAAACGACAGATCAAAGTTTCCCCATACTTCGTTTTTATATGCCTCCAATTGACACCGAAGACTATCGTTCTCTTCCTTCAATATTTGCAATCTTTCGACATCATCGTGTGCATCGGACTGATTGCGCGTCTTTTTCCGTTGCGGTTCCTCTTCTGAATCCGAAACTTCCATCTCTCCTTCACCTTCCATTAAAGATTCTTCCAGCTGTACCGCTTTAATTTCCTATTGCAACGAAAAATCACGACTGAGTTTATTCCCACTCAAATTTATCAACAAAGCAACATCAAAAAACATGCCTATATATACATATGTATGTGTATATATATACGTATATAAAATGTATATATATATGTACATGTACATATGTATGTATATATCTGTTTTTTTTTTAATATATCACTATAAGTAAAAAGTCGACAGAATTCTTTTCAACTTCAATTTTACATAGCACACGACTATCTCTCAAAATCTAATGTATTTCAAAAAAAAATGCATTTCTGTAATACAAAGATCGATTTAAACATTTTATACACATAGATAATCTTTATAGTAAATGACTTTTTAGTTTATTTTTTTTTTTTTTGATAAATATAGACGTTTCTAGAAATCACCTGAAAGGTGTTTACATCCAAGGGAAATTTTATAAAATAATTTATATAAAAAATGAACAAACAAATAAATAAGATATACATGATATGCCTTTACGTATACGTAAGTGTATGTATGTGTGTGTGTGTGTGTGGGTATGTCTGTGTGTGTGTGTGTGTCACGATCCAAGCATACCTATCTTTAAAATACATAAAAATAAATAAATTCATGTCGAGTATATAATATCTATGTCTTCACTTTTTTCATATTTTTCGTGCGTATTAGCATAAGATGAGGAATCCGCTTTAATAAGATTATATTTTAGATTAGAAAATTGTTGATTGCTTTCGTTGTTACCTGTTTCAAACTCCAGTCAATGGTACCTGGCCAATTCAAATGAAAAAAAGCTATTTTCTTTTTCTTTTACCTTTCACGTTCCATCATAATTTCCAAATGTTTAAACATCAATTATATACCGTTTGTTGTACAGAGTACGTCTGACCAAACGCAGTGAAGTCATTCATACTCTTTGATCGCTACTTACCTTCCTTTTTGAAAAAATGTGTTTGCAAAACGCGCGTGTGCCTGGCGTATGGATGAACGTGCATTCGCATAAAGAAGCGCTTTGTGACTCGTAAGACTTTGTCGATGATTACTGTCGTCTAATTGTAAAGAAAGTAACGTACTGGACACGGGCTACTAACATGGGAATGCAAATACATACCGAGGATTGTTTCTTCCACATTTCGATGTTTTTCCGTTGAGCCTTTGTGAAGTGATCCCAGACCTTCTTGTGGCTGGCCGCAGTAAAGACGCGTTCAATCTGACTGACTGTTGATGACATGGTCGCATGTTGCATACAAAAACACAACAAATCTTCTGTTGTATACCCTGCTTTAAACTCTACATTCGTGTTGATCTAATACGTAACTCTCGTTAAAAAAAAAATCATCTATGTTCATACCACGCGTGATACCATACAATTTACATACACTTTTCAATATATTATTCTTTGCAATATTCAATCACAAGTGTCACAACTACCCTTCCCAATAACTTTTCTCTATATCATTCAGATTCGAACGTTTCCTTCTAATTTTAACATTATCCAAATACCTATCACCTTTCACTTTCCTTTCTTCGAAGAAATTTTCTATGCAGCGAGTTAAGCAATAATGTCATGAAACTACTTATCCGAGAACAATATTATCAGAAACTGCTTTCACCATCGATCAGGGATCCTTAACGAAGATCTTGCAATTCGGCTGCCAATCAGTCATTTCAATGGATCACGATTAGTGCTCGTTTTCTTGGAAAGAAAATTTGCACTATTTTCCTAACAACTTACAACATGTAGAGGCTTCCAACGTTAAAACGATGATCTTACGCTACGATTCCACGTGTTTTATTTTCCATTGAACGATACGCTAAACTGTTCGCCGACTGTTTGTATTATAATCATATTCGTACAAAAACCGAGACAGATTAATAAATCATATTGAGAATCGTAGCATAACGTCATCTCCGCAACGAATATTTATAGCCCATCACCCTTAATCCTTAGCATTGCAAGCATGCAATTTTTAGGTACACTATGTTTCTATAAAATGAATTTTTATAGTATTTGTGCTCTTTTGTTCAATCATCAGAGCCTAGAATCAGAAGACAGGATATCTTCACCCACCTTATTTTCTCCTACTGTCTTTGATCCTTCTATCGAGTTGTCCCGATCGTGCATCGACCACAATACACTCGTTACATAATAAATTTCTTACAACATATTCGATGTTCTGATCTCAATAAAGATGAAATTTTTCCATAACCGAGATTCGATACAAAACGATCGACGATGCAATTTTCAACGTTGAAAATTTCATTTAGTTTCATGTATTCACCTTTGAAAATGTCAGAGTCTTTAATATCAAAAGTGACGTACCTTTTTTTTTTAATTACATCTTACATTCTACATTCGTTGTAACGAATATAATAAATTAGCCGACACGTAGTAGCCAAGAATTTACCTAATGCACAAATATACAAAAAGTACGTACTTCTGTTATTACAAGATACGCGAAATTCTGACCCAATCGTATTTTGCCATTTCTCGTATCGAATACTCAAAGAATTTGAGAACCCTTACTTTATGGTAAAAAGAACTTACCAGATAAAGCAATATGTATGTAGATTTGCTCTTGTGTACATAAATAATGTACAGTAGTACAGAGCTATGTTATAGAAAAAAAAAATATATATATATATAAACGTATATATAGATTATATAAACATACATTGTATTAAGAGCCCTTGCATCCTTCCTTTCATGAGTTCCTTCGCTTTCTGAAGTTCCTCTTCGTATGCGACTTTTTCTGTGAGTAATCTTCGAACGTGAGAATTCGTTGACTGGATCATTGAGTAAAAGGTATTTGCGTTGCGTTTGGTACAGTCTCCACGCTCCAGCCATGTTACGACAACCTGGAATGATTTAATGCGCTTGTTTTGTAACGTGACAGAACGCGTTTTCTGGAATTCAAAAGTTTTAGTCTACAAGAACGCTTAACAACTAGTACAATATTTTATATAACAAATAGCATACTTTACATACTTGCACTGCTTTCATAAACGTATCGTCCTGCTTAATTTTCTCGCAAATATTCGATGCTTCGTGGTCTGTGTAATGCACTACTGGAGGAGGACTAGAGGGCGCCCTTTGCCTTTCTTTTTCAACTCTTTCCCTGTGACGTTGTTCTCTTTGTAGTTGACGTTGTCTACACTCCCACTCGTATTGATCATCTCTAGCCTATATTTTTTAACACAGCACAAGTATTTTTTAACAGATTAATATTTCATATTTATTTAATTTTTTCTACGTTGAACAATATTTAGTACTATGTAACAACCTGAGCAAAATCCACATGAAGCCTGCCTGTGTTTGCAGGGTCGCCACTAGATCCTATTCTAACTCTGTATCCAGATAAATAAATCGCCGCATCAACACTACTTTCCAGTACAAAACGTATATGACAAAAGTTTTTTTTAGAGAGTCGCAGAGTGGTTATCTCTCCACACCTTTCGAATATTTCTTGAATAATTGTTTCTGTGATATTCTCCGGCAAACCTGTGTGACGATATTTAGAAGAAATTATAAGAACCAGTTCGCAATAATTTTAAATTTATATGCAACATACAACGGGAAATACCTCCAACAAAAATTGTTCTGCATCCTGGAGGCCGCTCGCGGGTTGTTGGCGGTGGAGCGTTTGGATTTGGTGGGAACAGTGTACAACTTTTACAATGTATAATTTCTTTGGTACCTTGCGGTGTCGTTGGTGGAGGAGGTAAAGCACCACTCATAATTTGGGCAGCGTCGTTCATTATTTGTTCGGGTCCTAATATTTGTGCACCTATCATACTACCGTCATGTGACATCATTCCCATACTCATGGGTCCATAGCTATGCGTATGCCCCATATGCGGTCCAAGTGTCATTTCACTCATCATAGGTCCCATTGGTCCCATTGGACCCATTCCCATCACTGGATATCCTACACCCATACCCCAAACTCCTGTCGTCTGTTCCATTTGCGTTCCCAAATTTGTGGTATTACCAGTATTTGATGATGAAATTTCATTGCTATTCGAATTGTTATTATGATTATTATTGTTACTGCTAGAATTTATACTGTTTCGATCATCCGATCTTCGTTCCTCTCTTCTATCTCTCTCATTTCTATCTTCTCTCCTTTCTCTGTCTCGCTCCCTTCGATCACTCCGATCACTTCTGGATCTATTGAAAAAAATAATATACAATAATTCATAAGTAAATAATATACATAATTCATCGTACAATACATTACAACAAAATGTAATACATATACAATTAAATTATAAAGCGGTAACAGGTTAGGGAACAACCTTCTATTGTCTCGATTATCTCTATTATCTCTGTTTTCTCTTTCTCGTCGAATGTCACTTTTCTCATTTCTCTTATCGCTGCTATCCTCAGAAGTTTCTCTAACTACTGGTGGTTGATTTTTATTTGTACTAAATTCTAATGGAGAGTCGTTCATTCCAGGCAGTGGTATCGGTGGAGGTATAGGAGGAAATCCTTGGCCCGCTAATTCCATGAAACTTTGTGGGCCTGCAATTGGAGCAAGAGGCCCCATTGGTCCTATACCTAAAGACACACATGATATTCTAAATATCCCGACAAACGACGTAAAACGTGAAAAACTAACATGAAATACATGGTTATGATATTCAAGCATACCCATTGGTGGCATAGCGGCCGCTGGTACACCCGGAAAATTATAAGCCATCTTCCTTTAAACCTTTCTCAACGCTGCAACTATTGCTCAAGGAATTGCAAGTAGAAAAGAGACCGAAGGAAACGAGTTGTACTTCTTCGGAATTTTAGATCATCTCGTTGCAAACTCTGAATCCAATATGGCAGAACGAGAGATGTAACCTCCTTAGTTTTGTACTCCTCGATCGGTTCATCTCTTCGACAATTCCAGTGTAAATTAACTTCGCCTCATGAGGGACAACGAGTGTACCAAAATTGTTGGTACAAACGTGATTTTGGTACCTTACAGAAAGAAGCACGTCGAAAGGCTGGTATAGTTTTACCCGTTATCGATTGCCGACATCAATTGCGTTGACAGAAATATCCGCCATTTTTAAATCGATCTCTTCCTGAAGCAATTGGGAAATTAATATAACACACTTGTTCTTTAATAACATCTAATTCAATACTATCGATAATATACGTATCGTTTTCAGGTACCATGAGTGGATGAAATCAGAAGAATTACGGTATTTTACTGGCTCAGAGATTTTAACATTGGCAGAGGAGTTTCAAATGCAAAAACGATGGCATCAGGACCAGGACAGTGAGTAACTTTGTTTTTAAAGTACACGAGCAATTGCGTCAACGCAATAATATATATATATATATTTTTATTTGTTCTAGAATGTACTTTCATTATTTTGGATAAATCTATTTTCACTCAAACCAAGAATGAGATAGGTATAATCATTGTTTAATGGTAGTATGTTCAGCATTATTTCTTTTGTTACACACAGACGTCAATGAATTTTAGAAGCTATGATTGGGGATACAAATTTGTTTTTTAACGAGTCAGATCAACCAAATATCGCAGAAGTTGAAATCATGATAGCAGATGTTACTTACAGAAGAAGAAAAAGAGGTTGGGAAGCGATAATTCTAATGTTGCTCTATGGTACATGCATTGTGCTGTTTCTTTCTTAATTCATGCCTTCTTTTTCATCTGTATAAAACATAGTTTCTTTTATTTTTAAATTAGGAATCAACAAATTAAATATCACGAAATATATTGCAAAAATCAAATTCGACAACGAGAAAAGTATAAATATGTTTGAAAAACTAAAGTTTCAAAAGGTAATCTTTTCCTTAAATTATTCGTTTGATAATATTTTATTGTCAGTATGTTTAAAATAGGTACAAAAAAGCCAAATTTTTCAAGAGTATACTTTTGAGAAAGTAATAGATAAAGATTGGATAGACTGGTTATATTCTGAGGCTAGTATGGATATAACTACTTACGAAGAACATGATAAGGAGAGGGAGAAAGAGAAAGAAAATAACCCTGTCCATGATTTGTAATATACTTGGTGCAAAATCAGTAATTATTACATATTTTTTGATATCTTTCTTATACCATGAGTTATTAGATCATAAAATTCTACAAATGTTCGAAATTACGATATGTACAACTAACTTCTACATCATTTTATGACATTAAGTGCTCTCCGTATCATAGTTATTGACACAACTAAAACGTGATTGGTTCTGATTGCCTCTAAGTGATCATAGTTGATCATACATGCACTTACACACTTGGTGCACGCTACGGCGAAGAGTTGTTTCGGACGTAAAGTTTTTTTTGTATTCGATAATTAATCAAAAATTTATTTAATAATATATTTGATATAATCAAAGATACATGTAAGTAATTAACATTGTACAAATTGTTATTCTTTTATCGTTCATTTATATTACGTTTGCTATTATTAACGTAAACAAAATTTGCTCAATAATAACGGAAGAAATATAATATTATTTTAAAATAAATTAATTACTTTGAATTAATTATTGATTATTTAAGATGAAAGATTCTGTAGCATGAATTATAATTATAGTAAATTGTATAAATATTTGTTTTCCTATATTATTTCTTTACAATTTTATACAAATATAAAGAAAATATTTTCATATTGCATAATTCACTTGTATATGTACATAGTATAATTGTTATTACTTGAAAAGTATATATAAATACTGTAATTGTTACTTAATTAATTTCAATAGAAATTTACAAACAGAATATTCAAACAGAAATTGATGATAATTGATGATAATAAAAGATAGTAATAGAGTGAAAGAAGTTTAATTTTGTGAATTTCCTTCTTGGGTGTGTGCAACCACAATTTACACAATTGTAGAATACATTCTTATCATTGTAGAATAGAAAAGTATACAATATACAATATAAAAAAAAATTTGTAAATAAACAGGTTGTATAATAACTTGAAATGAATATTAAAAGTACATAAAAGAATTAAAATGTATACAAAGAAAGAATGTTCTATATCACAATCATAAAGATGTTTTTCAATGTATAAATTTAAATACATATGAATAGATAATAGATATATAGACATATATAGATTTGAAATAAAGTTCAAGCATTGTTCAAAATAAAAATAAATAACAGTTTTATTTGAGAAAATCATGAAATCTTTCACTTTAAAACAATCAATTTTTACATTTGTTTTGCAAGATATCTATAAATTTTTCATCAGGTTCCTACACTGCTATTGCATTTGTAGGAATTTAAAAATATTTTTCTTATTTTATTACTTGTAAAAACGTACCTCAGTCATTTTGTTCTACTTACATCCTACATCTTCCAATGTACGTACATATCTCTGGCAGTTATATTTAAATAGTGTAAATATAATAATTATTTAATTATATATTCATTTTATACATATATACACAAGTATTCATTTTTTTAATTGTACTGTTGGAACTGTCAACCTCGTTGTTATATACATAACTTTACTTGACAAATTAGTGGATTCTAATATATTTTTGTTTTTTAATTTATCAAATTATAGAATGCACAATTTTTTTGTTTTAATTGCATACTACTTTCAAGTCTTACATTGAATAAGTGTTGTTTGATATGTTTCCGTGATATTTTATGAATTTTCAAGCTCGTTTCTTTCAAAACCAAGATTGCGGAGGAAAAGTTTTTATACCAAACTTTTTGTTTATTTTTGTTTATTCATGTAAAGTTACCTGCGGTTATACTACTACTTGATGACCTGTCCTGTATTTGCTAATTCAACTCCTAATTATCTGTTCTATCAGAAATTTCAGAAATTCTATCGTAGTTGTACGTGTAACGAATTAATTTCAGATAATCGGAGTTAAAAACTCGTAGATTTTCGCAATCATGTTTCTGTCTAAGGTAATTCAAAAGTTAAAAAGTTCTGCGCAGAAAAGACCGCTACTCTTCAATTCAGTGATATACGGTTCTTTTTATACCGGCGCCGAATTTGCACAACAAACTTATAGCAAAATATTCAAGGTAATTATACCTTTTTCTACAATTAAGGTATACGATTGTCATGATCAAAATTTCGCGGAAAAATTGGAAACATTACTCGAAATTAGTAGAAATCAATCAAAAAGTTATTGTACTCCGTTTTCTTATTATTATGCTTACATATTTTTTTGCGATCAAGTAGGATGATAGAGTAATGAAAGGATTTCTTACATAAAATAAAAAAACAAAATAACTACGGAAAGTAGTATAGCAGTGTAATAGTACTGTAAAAATGTACATATGTATGTATAATTTCGTTGATATTTTTAATTGATCAATTGTTCCGATTGTAGTTTCCGTTATCGTCGTCTTCGTTATCAGTAAACGGCGAGGAGACGGACACCTCTAAAACTGAGAAACCGCTGTTTGTTTGGATAAAAAAATTTGATCAAATGCTGGGTTTATTGAACGAAAATGATTGGACGCAATCGAGAAGTTATAATTGGCCTCAACTTAAGCGATATGCTATTTATGGTTGTTTCATTGCAGGACCAGTGCTGCACGGATGGTACCAAATATTTTATTTTTTTATGACGCTTTATATGATTTATCTATTTTTATCATCTATCGCTTATCATATTATGCTTTTATCACAAAATAGTGAGGCACTTTATGTACGTATATAATTACATATATACTTATATACACGTGCAATTATGTTTGCAACGAATGAAACACGAAAGTTATTAATAATTACAATATTATCGAACGACTGAATTTCTCTTGATTTCACACAAATATATTTTTCTTTAAAATTCGGAAACATTTAAAATAAATAAAAATATAAATAATAACAATAACAATTTCGACGACGATATTAAAAATTAGACCATGTGGTATTGGAGAGTTAAACAAAAAATTATACATATAATTAATTTTACATCGGTATGCAAAAAAATGCCATTAAACAATTGGTTGGTTTTGGTAATATCTGGCTTGATCTTTCGTAGATGTTTGTTATTATAAGTATCAACGTGGAATGAACTATCCATTGAATAACGATTGCACGATTATATTCATCGGCTTGCTGATCTTCTTATCTATCGACTTTTTACTTTCGGCGAGCTTGCTCTGTTATGCTATTTGCATTGCCTATATTGTATTTGTTGATACTAATGTCATGAATCATAAATCACAAATTTTTTGATAGTATCAAAAATTGCTAATTGATCATTTTTCCCCATGACATTTATTCGTTAACAATCGGAAATCGACTGAAAATTAATCAAATCGTTCAATACTGTTTCCATCAGGTACAAATGGTTGGATATGTTTTATAAAGGCAAAACTGTAAAAATTGTTGTCACAAAACTTTTGGTCGACCAATTTATTCTTACACCACCATTAATTACGCTGTTTTTTATCAGTTTGTATTTAATTTTTCTGTGTATCACATATATGTACATATATGTCTTTGATTCTTAGAATACAGCTATATATTTTGTTACCATATTTGTTAATGTTTTAGGTATGAGCTTGATGGAGGGTAAATCAAACGCGTTCGATGAATGTAAAGCAAAATTTTTGCAAACGTTCAAGGTAATTATTTTATTTATAACATTCAACAGATTTTTGTTTCCACTCCAATTTTGTTTGTTCTTTTACTTCTAGACTTCGTGTATGTATTGGTTACCAGTTCAATTTTTAAATTTTCTACTAGTACCGCCAGTATTACGAGTCACTTTTGTCAGTATTGCAGCTTTTTGTTGGGCCAACATACTCTGTTATTTAAAAAGTACACCTGTATCCACATGCTGTGATAATCAAATAAAATATTGATTTCTTGCCATCCATTAATATCTTTGTTTCGGCATATTGAAGTTCGTCAAAAGCTCAGTATAATAATGAACGTGCCATATTTGATTTAATATGTTTAATAAACAACATAGGCATTTATCAAAGAATAGTGAATTCAACACAAATTTTTATTTAATGATCTAAATGTCTTTAATTTTTGCATGTAAGATTCAAAATTCAATATTTATCTCTTTAATATTCGTAGTAAATATATTAGGTTCGGAAATGGAAAATCATAATCAGTTGCACTATGATAAGTAAATCGATAGAATATTCTATTGTTATGCTATAAATTTTAATGAACGAAATTAAAGATTGCTGTATAATATAATGATTACAGTATACAATATGTTTATCTTAAAAATAAAGATTGCCAATTTTAATTTAGATAAATCAAATTTAATTCATTTTTATAAATTTCATCTAAATTCAGCGTATATACGTATATAATTGTGCACAACTTATATACACACATAATAGAATCCTCTAGAAAAACAATTTCGTTTATGATCAATTTAACAAATAATTGACACACTAATTGGTATTATGAAGAGAAAATTCTAAAGGAAGAAACTCTTATTATTTCGATGTATGAATATAATTTCTATTGATAAAGAGATGTTATTCGAATATTACTTTAAATATTTTAAATATTCAATTACAAAACAAGATTTATCAATCAAGAAAAGTGATTTACTATCATTAAATATTTTAATGATACAATATTCTGTAAAAATATTACTTTTCATTTTTAAGATATTTTTATTACCGCAATTTGCATGTTTAAACGCATATATACATGAATGTATTCATGACACATATACGTAAGTATGTAAAACGTAATAGTTTTTTCATTCAATGCAGTCTTATTTAAATAAAACTTGATTATTATACAAATTTATGGATTTTTTTGAAAAAAAGCTTATTTCATGTTCAAGGCAATGAAAAGTTATAAACATTTTATGTTTCTGTAATAAATATTATTCATGTAAATGGTATAACCATTTATTATATATTTATTATATATATATAAATATATATAATATATATATGTATATATTTTAGCAACACAATATGTATATGTGTACTATTATGTACGTAGAATTTGATTGACTTAGCTTATATTATTTTTACTGTGATTGTATAAAAGAATGCATAAAAGGATAGGCCATAGAAGTTTACTACTTCCATTATACTATTTATGATTTTATGCTTATTTTGGAAATCTAAATGAGTTGATAACCATCACAGAACAGAAAAATACTGCAAATAATATTGAATTCAAGTATTAAACAGAATTTAAACAGTCAAATATTCATTATGTCTACTTTCATTACTTTTTTCACACATTACATTATTATACAATGTTTACTTTAAATTTCTAGAAACAATATTATGTCGTCTGTAAATAATTTCGTAAATTCTTCATTAATTAAGAAATAAATATTGCATAGTAATATTATTAAGTAAAAATTGTTAATAGCAATATTATTAAGTAAAAATTGTTCATAATGTAGTATACAATACTGTCAACTTGGTTCGACAGCAAGCATTTTATGATGAAAGTATCTTCAAAGAGTATATGAACTTTGTTATATTTATATTATTTTCATATCATATCATCAGAGAGAACCATTTATCTGATATATTTGGTTCATTTGGATTTGTTATTTGACCGTATTAAACTTTCTAAATCTATTAGTAATGACCATATGAGAATATTAAAAATTACTTTGTGTTTACTTAAAAGATATTTTTTTTTATAACGCTATTATATGTATAAGATATAACGTGTGTTTTTAATGAATAAATATGTGTACGGGATTCGATAGCATTGTGCGATTACAAAACATTATCTATTCGGATCGATTGATCTACTTCCTTAACAGTCTTAATAGAACAACTTAATTGGTTCATCTAATATTCACTTTTAACAATTAGGAAAGGCACCTAAGAGGGATCCAGCCCTACCTTGTAGAAGAAAATATATTCATTGTTCCACTTGCTGTGCGTTTTCTTATAAGACGTGCTGCCACTATAAACATTTAATTAAAAGCATCGTTATTCAATGTCTTTAACTTCGCTTTCTTTCGATCTTTTTCCTTATTTCAATAATTGCACTTACCAGTTGCATCTTGCGGAGTGAGCGGTTTATCTATCACTTTTTGAATTACATTCATCCATTGTGATCTATCATCATCACTTTGAGCAGAAAGAAGATAGGTCCTATCTGGCGTTTCAAGAGTAAATGAAAACCCCTGATCTCTCGCACCTGGAGGTACTCCTGGTTTTACTGCAAAACCATCTGAACTATGACCCAAGAAAATTTCACCTTTTGGATGTGCATCCTTTGAATTGAGACAAAATAGATTTATCGATTATCTTTTAATATACGAGTTTCTATTAAATAAATATACGCACCATGGGATCATCATGATACATCAATTTTCGTCCATCTAATGTGAACCATCGTTTCTTGTAGGCATCTGTATATCTAGGTCCAGTTTTCCATAAAAATCCTTCACGTGGAAAATCTCTAGTTAGTTGTGAAAGTAATTCCGCCTCTGTTGCTCCTGGATATGCAACTTGCAAACGATGTAGCTTGGCACATCGTATTGCCAAATACCAATTTGTGATTACTTCTGGGTCCTCATGATATACATAGATATGTCTTGTGGTACCATCTTTCATAAAAGAAATTTGTAGACTGTTTTGGTTACAAGTTTTGGGAGGAGCAAAAGCTACGTTTAATTCAGATATTCTAAGGACAGCTTTGGGTTCCTTGAAATACAATATAACATAATATAATAGAGCTAGCACATGCCAAATATTAAATAAACATTTATAATGAATATTTTGTAAACCTTATTTTCTTTAACATGATACTTAAGAGTATCTTCTGCCTCACAAAGAACAAATTTTCTAGGATGATATCGCGAATCTTCTTTACCACGTTTCATCAAAAATCCTTCCATAAATCCTGAAACATAATGATTTTGCCTTTCTGGATGACAAAACTCTTCCCTTTCATATTTCGCTCTTATCCATTGCTCTACCAGTACTCTGTTGATTGAAAAACATGACTTATAAAGTGTATTTATTTTCAATTTAATGTTTCAAATATATGTATGACAACATACTGTGGTGCATCTGGGTTTGGTCTGCGATAACATGGAGGTACACGTTCTTCATAATGAAGCCTAGCTGCGATATTACCCACTTCTCTAATTCTGTTTACTTGAGAATCTTCCCACCTGTCCAGCTTTAAATGTTTAACTTTAGAAATATGTGCACCCATTGATCTATGTATACCCGCGCACCTTGTGCACACAAATATCCCTATGTTATAAGAAGCCCATTCTGGATCTGGAATTTAATTCCAATTAATCTTATGAAAATGTTTTTTGATTTTCTAATATAGTTATAATTTACTCAAACATACGCACACATAAATACTCGTGACTATGAAAGCAATTCTAACAAACAACAAGGAAATATGACATATCGATACGAAAACACATATTTTTATAATGACAATAGCTAGTTGTTCATACCATACTAGCTATAGATATCATCGCAGAAAGATGCATAGCAAGAGAGGTAAATAAACATAAGAAGTAACACAATCTAGATGCATGAAATCTCTTTATTACTACATACAATCATGTTTGTTACCAAATGAACTGTTACCAAATATTGCAGCAATACCTTTAACGTTTTTACATAAAAAACATTCTAAGATCTTAAGATTCTTTAAAACAAATACAATGTCGTCTATTTTAAATATAATTCGTACGAAAATCTACCAACATACGAAACCATGAAATATAAACATAAAATGTTTGCTGAATTGGAAATAATATCAGCTCGAAATAACGATGTTGTACAAAGTAATGTTGTTCAAAGCAAGTTGTAGCAAAGTGAACGTAAACGAAAACAACGATTCTAACATCGTCCTTTCTGACATTAGAATTATAATTGAATTATTTTGGGATTTTATTATGAATAAAGATAGGAAAATAAAGTTTCATATGCGATCAGCGAATAGTTTGTAATACATTAAAATAAATCTTCTGTAACATCTTTTATATTGTGGTACGGTAATGCTTCTTAGAAAGCCCACTCACTTTTTGTCCCACAATCCGCACATAAATTATTCCCAGGCTTTTTGAGGAGTTCTGCTAACAATTTCTCGTTTAGGTCCGCCATCTTAAAACACTGACAAATAGCAAATGTGTATATGCAAAGATTACTCGATACGAAGAAGGTTAACTCGCTAAAAGGATTCTCTACGATTAACCCATAACGATATGATCAGACTTATGTTGATTTAATTTTCTCACTGTAATAAAATAAGAAATCCTTGCTTCTCAGCTTGAAGTTTACTTTCACATCGCATGCGTGTTTCGTATTGCTTTCGCATTGCACACGTCAATTACTTTAATCATTCTGTTCCGTCACGTACCACTTCTAATAAGTAGCGAAACATAAAAATTTGTAGAAAGCAAATTATAAAATTCATTGTAAATTTTTTTTTTTATTAATTCAAATCAAATTGGAAAAAGTATTCGCTTTTTAGAATTACTTTTCGTACAAAAAGTTATTCCGTCAGTAAGCTGTATCATCAACTATTACATAAATATACGTATATACTTACATGTGTTAATTATTACTACATTTCTTAACTGTTTTGAATTATCTAAATGAAGTAATATTTCAGAACAAAGTGCAACTATACCGAGTTTAATTATTCAATTTCATCCAAATATGTTTTACATATTTATATGCTTAATTATGAAATTTAATAATTATAAAAATTATATTGTTAAACATGATACAGTCTGGAGAAATAAGCCTTTAATCATGTGAATAATTACGTGGCGATCTCACAAAACCGCGTTTTTACAATTATCCAACAGATTGAATCATTTTTTATTATCAACACAGTAGAGATAATCAGATATGTGATTTATTTTAATGTCAGGCAAATTAATAAATGAACATATGTTTTTTATTCTTAGATATATGTATTGTCTAGTAACGAATTGATTTGATTCTATGGAATTTTAATCACTTTACTATGTAATTATCAGAACATGTTTTGTGTGAACATTGCGATACATTTATATATTGAATCACGCGCATATTGAATCTTTATTAAACAAACAGAATGCTCAAAGTAAAATTGAAGAAAAATATTACATGTAGTAATATTTATTGTAATATGTATATGTGTAAATGTATATATGTTCAGTATATATATTCAATATTTATAAATTTACAATTATGAGAATTATTAAAAATAATTTCATTAATATACATATATACTTACTCATTCTACTTATAATATGTATATATATATATACACGTAATTACAAGAATTTCCAATTTTGAAAATTGACGTACATTTATACATTCATTGTAGATATTTTTCAATTGATGAAATTACGTGCTTAATTTAAACAAGAGAATATATTAAAATAGCGCAATACGATGAAACATTTTGGAATCGTTTATTATACATTAAAGTCAGTGTAAAACAAAATTAACCTTTTCAGTAAATTAATTCGTATTATTTTAATTGTAAATAACAAATACCATAAAAACTGTAGTTATTAAAATTTTAAATATGTAGAATAGTAACATACGCATGTAAGAAAATGTATATACATATATACACACACGTGTAATTAGTTTTGATAAGACTCATAAACAGATGATTCAAATGTTCAATATTTTTTGTCGACAAAATCATTAAAATAATTAATATTAAATTTATTTACATATTCATAATTAACATTTTTGTAATATTTATTATTCTACTTGTAGCATACGCATATAGCACGTAGCATGTAGAATGATCAAACGTAGAAAATACAAAGAGAAAAAGGCAAAAGATAAAAGCGAAACTGGGAAAGAAATGTAACGTTGATTCTGGTGATGGAGTGATTTATCGTTTGTGCAGGGCCACCGAGTGTAATAAGCGACGCGTTCTACCAGTAGCTAACCAATTTGATTCATTAATAGGTCGACCTGCATGACCCAAAGTGTCGGACGCTGCTAAACGAATTAATTTATCTACGTTCTTAGTGCGAATACGCAATATGTGTACCTTTTTCAGACAGAAACAAAACTCCGTTTATTCTAAACTGTGATTATTTTTATCCGTGAGTTATCTCACCCAGTTGTACGCACAACGTTGTTCTACATCGAATTAAAAACAATGCAACCTGAAAATTTCTTCACAATGTAGAAGGATCTTTTCTATCAATTTTGTTTATAAAACTGCGTAAAATGAAGGTAATTAAAATTTGAATAAAAAAAAAAAAGAAAAACGGATATTTTCCAAATGAAAGGTAATTTGAGCACAAACGGTATAAAAATATAAATATATAAATACATTAAATGTGTATATAAATAACTTTCTAAATATGTACATTCTCAAGAAAAAAACCCGGCATAATCAGCCTCGATATAATTTTTCGTCGTTTGTTAAAATCGATGGAAAATTGCTACAGCATATTGTTGCATAAAAAATTTATTACAATAATGTATAAATTTTATGATATATCTTTTGAAGTTTTCTTTTCGATATATTATTACATAGCGTAATTGGATATGGGTATATCTTATACGTGGATAATCTATGAAAATAAAGTTTACACTGCATACGAAAACATGGTATGTTTTATATTTTGTTTTGTATTTATTTTCCAATGTTCGCAACATTATGTTGTTAATATTTTTCAGCGATTTAAAATTATAGAAATGTTTCTTTGAATGTTATTATAATATTTTTCCTACATAATTTTCGCGAAAAAACTAAATTTTTTAAAAACAGATTTTTATTTTGTATTAATAGACAGAAAGAACAGTTTCCTAAGTTATTTTTAATTATAAAAATTTATAGGTATACATTCTTTTTTTTTTTTTTTGAACGACATTTAATTAAATCACTAAATTATTGCATTAAATTTTGTACTGTTTTAATGCTCCAATTATAATTATATAATAAGAAATAAAAAGTGACAAAATATTTTTATAATTTGATAAATAATTACAATTTTTATGTGAATTCTTATGGAAGATTTCTTTTCTTCTTACGAATATAAATCTTATTTATTTATTACTTGAGAAACATTAACATTATTAAAGAACAAAATTTTAAGACAGTTGAATTATTAATTGCACTAAATTTGTAAATCAATAATTTAACTATATTTTAAACTTAATAACAATTCATTATAATAATAAAAGTATTTATACTGTATATTAAAGTTCAGTTAAAGTTATCAATTAATTAACGTTTTTTGAAAAGGATCAATTGGATTTTCAGATGCAGTGGTTTGCCATAATGATGTGTTTATATGCTGGGGTAGCAAGTGCAAGAACAGAAGAAGATCAACAGACATCCTCTTCAACTTCAATTATTGGGATCTCTGATGGTCTTTTAGAACATTGTTTTTATCGGCAGTCCAGTGAATGTCCTGACGTTAAGATAACTCAATGTTCTTGCAAGAAAATTGTCCTAACTCATAATAATCCCGAGGATAACGCCGTATTTTGTTGCAATTTAAATGTTCAAAACTTTGAATCAGAACTTTCCTGCGCAGGTTCGTATAAATTTGACAAATTGACAAATGAAATACTGTCATTGTACAGAAGATACATTGATCACAAGTCTGGCAACGTTTCAATTATTATAGGATTTCCATCAAACATATCGTACATACATATAAGAAATGCAACATTGGATATATTCAATGTAAGTGAAATTCGATGGAGAAGATTAAAGTCACTTGCAATTACCGATGGCAAGATTAATAGAGTGAAAGGACAATTTCGAATGATGACACCAACAGTTTGCTTGAATCTTTCAAACAATGCCCTTATTGAGGTAGAGAACAATTCGCTTACCCGTTTAGCTCAACTCACTACTTTGGACTTGTCATATAATAATCTTACACATTTGCCAGCTTTAAATACAATGAATGGCCGTGAATTTTGGCTTGATATTTCAGGCAAGTAGAAACTAAGCAATATTTCAATATCAACATTTTACAGATTTAAATATGTATGATTTTTTATATTTAGGAACTAACACACTCTGGTGTCATGACATTTACCAATATATTAATAAAACAGGGGAAAAACAAATTAATTTTAATCATGAAAATGAAACTGTGTGTTCAGCTAGTAAAACTTGGCATTGGTTCAATACTACGGAACAGGTTCCATTAAAACAAGTTCGATATCTCAGTTTGGTAATTATTTCAAGACAAAAATTATATTTAATAAAACTATATACATCTGCAATATCATGCAATATAAATAACAATTTAATTAACACTTTGAACTAATATGTATTATCTGAATCTTGTCTTGCAGTTGCAAACAGAATGTCCAAAAGGAGATACATGGCAATGTCAGTGCAACTTTAGAAGATTGGATATTGTCGAAGGTAAACCACCGACTTTAGCGGTAAATGTAGATTGTAGTGGAATTCAAATTACCGAATTACCTGAAAAATTACCTCGCAATACTATAGCGCTGAATGTATCATACAATAATGTACGTAAATTTTATATTTAGGCCAAGTATAAAATATCTTTAATTAATTGTTATTTGCTAATATTTATTTTATTAATTAAAATTGAAATTTAATTGCATAAAATATATCATAAAAATAATATTTTTATTATATTATATTGGTAAGTAAAATATTATTATTATTATTTATTGTTATTACAGATCACTGCATTAGATGATTTAAGTACCAATCCATGTTATGAAGATATAAGAGAGTTTTATGCCGACTATAACAATATATCATCTATAAACAAACTAGAAGGTTCCAAGTTTTTAGATAACTATGCTTTACTAAGTTTGCGATATAACAAAATTAAATCTGTAAGTAAAATTAAAACAATTTTGGTTAGTTGTATATAAGAGTATTTCAATATTATGTGTATTTTAAATGTGCAGCTTCCAACGTATATTTTAAGTCCTAATACTCATGACAAAAGTTTTATCAGTTCACGATTAGTAAAACTTGGAGGAAATGAATTACATTGTGATTGTAACACGGCTAAGTACCTAAAGGTAATATTTAGAATATAATTTGGATTTATAAAATAAGTTGATATTTATTTTCTAATGTTTAATATTTTAACTCAGGTATGGCTACAAACTCGTATATTGGATTCTGATGAAGTATTGTGTGAAAATGTGAAGGAAAAAGTCGTTGACTTAGAACCTTCAAAAATGTGCGTTTATCCTGGTGATTGGACAGATTATATTTATTACATTATTGCTACAGAAGTTATACTTTTAATAAGTCTAATAGCTAAGGTATCTTATGATTATTGGATTTTTAAAACATTAGGCTATCTTCCTTGGCCAGCAAATAAAATGCCAAAACTACCTTGTGATTGGCTATGTGAGACGTAATACTTTTTTTGTATTTCATTTGTAATATATATTTTACTGAAAGAAATTAATTTTAATACTTTTACATCTCAATACTTGAACAGTAAAAAATATTAAGTTTTCGTATTTCATTAAATATACATGTTTTGCGTATATACACAAATATAATATGAAAAATGTTAACTAAACGGTTATTCTCAATTATATATTCTACAAAAATATATAACTATTCAAATCGTAAATATATATCCAATCAAATACAACTATGCAGACTCAAAATTTTATATAGCAATCTGAATTAGTGTCTTGATTTTTAAATGATATTCAAAAATATAATATAAAAGTCAAGTATATTTAAGTTTATAATAGTATAATTGTCAATAAGTATTTACAGTTCTTAATTAATAACCACTTTTTATCAAAAGCAATTTATTTTAATGAATACTCTTCAGTGAATCTTGAAATATATTTTTGTATAAATAAGTCCATACAAGATGCATATCAGATATATAAATTTAAATATTGCCTATGTGTAATAAAAATGTGATATTTTCTATTAAATACATATTGTCTTATTATTTTATAATGAAAATATATTGATTAAGAATATTGTTAATAATATATGCGTATGTATATAATCAATAATTATCCTAATATATTTATTTGCTTAATAATTTATTTCTTGATAAATATTACAAAGTTAATAACTTCAAAGTTATTAAGTTTTTGAATTTGAAGGATTTTGAAATTATATTTTCATTACTTTCTAAAATTATATTTTATTTTACATTTATCTGTTTTTCTTTTTTTAAAACAATGATCATGCATCAATTAACATGCTTACATAACATTACGTACGTATAAAAATTATTACTTTTACTTACAATTTATTCCAATATTTTTAATTCCTTTTTTATAAAAATAAAACTATTTCTTTATTCATTCTACTTTTTTCTTTAAATTGTATCTCCTATTTTTTTATTATTCTTTATTAATTTTTTAATCTTTTCTTTCTCCACCTTTTAACTCCTGTTTCTTTCCTTTTATATTTTTTCTATAACAAGCAAATAAAGAATAATAATTATGAGAAACAATGTTTCAATTATTAGATATTTACTAGAAAAAAGTACAACTGTACTATACCTCATTTTTTTTCTATCACGTTTGAATGTAGGTACGGTTGAGATCTTCGCTCTAACAGGAGCTTTGCGTTCTTGCTTTCGTCTTTCCATTTTATTATATTTTTTCATGGATAACATATAATCAGGAACATTACATCCAGACTCTCGCATAATAGTCGCTATACTAAAATATAAAAAATTATTTGTACTTATATTTTTAATATACTTTAATATACTATGTATTTTGGTATTATATTTTAAAACCTTTACCTTCTCAAATTTGTAGTATCTTGTTCAGTAAAAAAGGTAATTGCTTTTCCTCTATGTCCAGCTCTACCAGTACGACCTATTTAAAACAGGATGTGTTAAGAGTTTGGAGTTTTTGTGATATGTAATCTGTTTATTAAATTTCGAAATACATACCGATTCTATGAACATAAGAAATGGCAGATGGTGGAAAATCGTAATTTATAACAAGATTTACACCTTTAAAATCAATACCTCTTGCCATTAATTCTGTACATATTAAAACCCATATTTTTCCTTCTCTAAAGCAACGTACAACACTATCTCTCTAAAAAAAAGAGAAATGTGTTTGATAGTATTTGATTAATAAGTTATCATATATGTAAAATATACCTGCATTTGTGTTCTATCAGCGTGAATAACGTCCACGTTGACTCCGTCATAGATAAGTTCGTTAAATAACTCTTGTGCTCTTTCCTTACTTTGTACGAATATCAACACAGGGGGCAATACTCCCTTTATTAAAAGCAATAATTTATTAAAATAGATTTGATATATTAATATGTATATCAATAAATAAACGTAGTACCTTTTGAATAATATTTCTTAGTGCCATGAGTTTTCCTCTTTCTGTGCTAACAAATAACAATTCTTGTTCTACTAAGTTCGTTGCGGCATTCCTATTAAAAAATATAATATCAGTAATTATTTGTTAAAAAAAACAAATTTTTATATATATAAAGAAAGAAAATCAAACCTGTGTCCAACAGTAATTGTTATAAGACCTTTTAGATTATGTCTACACCATTTAGACACTACAGAAGTATTAGTTGCACTAAACATTCCTTTATGTAAATTTTCATTTGTACATGACTTTAAAATTGTTTCCAATTGGTTTCTGAAGCATCTTGTTCCATCTTCAAAAAGTTTATCTACTTCATCCACAATTAGCCACTCCACACTACATAATTTTTAATACCTTATGCATTATATATAATTTTAATAAGATTAAAATATAGTAAAATATTTAAATTATATTATGTTACTTTATTTTTATTACTTGCTAAAAGAAATAGCTGGTGGATCCTGAGTCAACAAATATATTATTCTTTTTGGTGTAGTGACTAATATATCTGCAACAAATGAAAATACATTTACACATTAAATTATTTTGTTCATAATTTTCTTTACAATTTATACTAACCAAACTTCTGTGAACTCTTTGGTCCATATTTGTTTAATGCTTGATTTATTTTACTTATGATATGAACTCTAAAATCATATCCTTCACTAAGACGCAAGCATTCTCTATATGTTTGTTTTGCTAATTCCCTTGTTGGACTTAATATAACGGCTCTGAATCCTTTTCGTTTTGGTCCACCTAGGTGATGAATTATGGGTACCAGAAATGCAGCTGTTTTTCCAGATCCAGTTGGAGCACACGCTAATATTTGTCTGCCCTAATTCAGTGACAAGATCAATGTTTTACTTTTGGCTAAAACACTGGTGCAGATAAAATTTCAATAATAAATGTGACAATCTTACTTGTAACATGGCAGGTATAGCTTGCATTTGAATTGGAGTGGGACATTCATAACCACAATTTATAATATTGTTTATTAATTTGCTAGATACATCATAAGTTGATAACTCACTAAATTCTGTGATAGGTTTAGGTATACGATTGCCCGTAACACTTATGCGATGTTGATTACGGAGTTGGTTGATCTAAAAAAAAAAAATATAATATATTAAAGCAAAATCCTTTATATTAATATATAATATATTATACATAATATGTAATATATTAATTACAATAATTTTATATTAATAAAACATTGAGAACCTTTTCTTTTTCTAACTTTAATCGTTTCTCCTCAGTGAAAGGTACTTTACACCTTTTATTCTGACTTTTAGACACAGGCATTCCCTCGAGCAATATCGGCTCATTAATATTATCAGTTTCTTTTTCGATGTCATTATGTTTTCTTTTTCCACATAACGTTGAATGATTTATACTGTTAAAGACTTCAATAACTCGTTTTTTATCATTAAGCTCATTCTCAGGTTGCCTATTGACAAGCTGTACGAAATAAAATGGTTATGCCATTAAAATTTGTTTAAGATAGTTAAAATTTTAGTTAAAAAAAGAAAAAAACAATACCTGAAATCTTTCCGCATCAACTTGAAAACGTTTTTTATCGAATTTTACGCCGGTAGACAGCTTTCGAAAAAGTTCATACGCATCCATTTTTCTTGATTGTAGCGACTTGTGCTTCCTTAAGTACGAAATTTGAACACTGACAAACACAAACCGCACGTGGTTATGCGCCTACCGTCGAAATCCCAGCATGCGAAACACCGTTAAGATGGGTTGTGACTGTTCAGCCTAGCGGTTAATTACAAGTGTTCTGGAGTTTTTAGAGGTCGCTGCCATCAAGCCCTACTGACGAATCTAGGCAGCGACTCTGAGATAAAACGCACAATTTTTTCACCTACCCAAATCCTTTGTTCCATTATCATCAGCAACCCCTCATTGATTGTATCTAAACACCAATTTGATCATATTTGTAGAATCACGATCGTACATAAACTCCTCATTATTCAAAAAGATCAGATTCGATAATATGAGAAACGTGAGTAAATATTTATAGCAGTGTCCATAACAATGAGATCATATCCTATGATTAATCAATGTCAATGATACGACACATGACACGAGTTTTGAATCTGAACTATTAACGTCGGTATGTATGTAAAACAGGTTGTCGACAGAACAACGACTCCATCTACTGCTATCCACATGCGTACATACTTATTCCTGCCTATTGGCTAAATCGTAAACAACAGTCAAAGTCAAGTTAATGTTTTCATAAGCATGGAAAAAGAATGGATAAATGATCAATGAAATTTTTGTTCTTAAAAGTTTATCGCGATATACTATCATCGATACATTGATATCCATGGACTGTACGAATAAACTGGAGATGCATATCCACTTTTTATTTATTTAAATAACGTTAAATATATTCAACAATCGTCTTCTAATGTTCGCGTTACGATTGGATAGAATGTTTATTAAAAAATACAAAGTTACAGTAAGTACGTGAAATGTAATGAATCTTCATAAACAAATTTGTTAAATAAATCAATCTTTAAGAGACATGTTACAATAAAGGAAATTGTTACATTACATTGCGTTTGCAAATTATATATGCATGTATTGAAATAAATAAATTTTCAGTGATGTATTGTTATTTATTTATTTACGTGCTATTGTACAGATGATGATATATCAGAAGATTGGTATATGTAAACAAATAAATAATCAAATTAATACGGTATAATTTTATATACATGCGTATACATATTCGAGCATGCAGTCCCAAACTTTAATTTACTTTTGATATTTTATTCCATTTTTGTTTTTGAATCATACTAGCAAACTATCATTTAATTACCTTGTTCACATCTTTAAGTAATAAACAGAATGTTATCTTTATAATATTAATGATATTGATATATTGCCATTAATAATATTGTCTTTATCAATGTGAAATCTTTATTAATATGAAAATTCATTTCATTTGTTCTCTTCAGCATCCTAATTTCCTTTTAATAAGTTTTCTTCGAATAGCAGCTGTTTCCTTTGAGTATACATTTACTGTTACTTCTAGCAGATGTATTTAAAAAGTTAAAAATATGGAGGGTCATTCGTATGTTTCATGTATCAAGATTAATGGAGTTCCTATTTTACCACCAATGGTATGCACATCAATTATATCATGTTATACATAATTTTTATTTTAAATTAATTTTGCAATAAAATCTATCTTTTTCAGATAACTAAAGATATTAAACAAGAAATATCCATTTACAGAGAAAGTGCGATAAACATAGAAAAGAAATTGTACATTTCACGTATTGGTAAACAATGTAATGATACAGGAGAAGTTGCAGGAGAATTAAAGGATACAAAATCTAGAAAAGGTGTTCATGGTTCAAGAGAGAATTCAAGAGAGACTACTTTTGAATACAAAGATAATAATTATAATGAAACTAATGTTACAGATACAAATGATGTTCCAATGGAAACTTTCAAAAAGCTTTCTAACGAAAATTTAGAGAAATCTTTGCAGTCTAGCAAAGATTCAAACTTGAGATATAAGCCTAAAAATCAGTTAAATTTAACTACCGATACCGTTTCAAGATCAAAATCAAGTCTCAATACTGATCATTTGAATGAAGCAGCTTCAATAAAATCTAGTACAGAAACGATATCAGGTATTTGGAAACCAGAAGTGCCTAAGACATTAAATGTTATTCCATTGACACTGAATAATGTTACCTACAATGGAAATGAAGATTTTCCAGAGAGTAATTTAGATAATACAAGAAACACTCCTAAACTAGTACGTCAAGGTTCCTATGTGTTAGAAACTCCAAGTCCAATATTATTGGCACACATGCAAATGGAGTTAGCTAATTCAACTTATGTTCCATGTTCAGAATATGTTCCAACATCGTGCGGAAATGCAAATCGACGAAAAGAATGGACTGTCGCGCAAGCTAAAATTGAATGGGAGTATGAAACTAAAAGCAAAGAATCTGGTCCTACAAGAAACTCTAATTCCAATGTTGATCATAAAATGTGCAAATCCATTTCCGCGCAAGCAAAATCTGAATCTTCCATTGTACTATGTCCGTCGACAAAATCTGTCGATTGTATTCAAACAATGTTAGCTAAAGAGCATATTGATAATAGCGATATACAAGTTAATCAAGATAAAAAACATGTTGCGAATAATAATAATGGGAACGAACAAAGACTACAATCATGGAATAAATATAACAGTTCCTGCACTTTTGATCCAGTATGTAAACTCGGTTGTTCTTTAGAAGATCTAAACGAGCAAAACAACATCTCTACGACTAATAATTTAATGGCAAAACTTTCGAGAGATACAGATATACAAAACTCTATTTCCAAATTAAAGTCTACTGCCGCGTCTGATAAACTTTTAACAGTTTACAAAAAGGTACAGGAAATACATAAGAAGCAAATGGCTGAATTAATGTTTCGCCAACACAGAGAGCAAACATTACTTCAAAAAGAATTTGAAAATCAACAGTTTCTTTTGTTAACTGAGATCAAAAAGTCCTTTCCAGAAATTTCAGTTTCTTTGCTTTCTGAGAATACTCTGTCTCCTGTTTTCAATGAAATTACTACTCATCACGATAAGTTTTTTGAGAATAACAATGAAAACAATGTGCAAAATGTTACAGGATTGAAAAATAACTTAGAGCAAGAGAATGGAATTGAGCATTCACAAGATAATATAAAAATAGCTTCATGTCCGTTGAATTATATTTATCCTGAAATGAATTATGATAATATTCCTTGTTCTACTAGATATTCACGTACGGCTCAGTCAGTGGAAACTGAACTATCGTCTGATGTTAATAATTCTGTGAAGAACATAAAAAGAAGAGATACTGAGATGCAATTAAATGACGTAGAAAATTATAAAGAAAGATTATTGAAAAAAAGTGAAACAAATAAACGTTCAAACGTTAGTCGAGAATTATTTCCTTTGGATAGTAAAACTACGCATGTACCAATCCCTGATAGAACAATATATGAGACTAAACATGTAGGCGTTACATACATATTCTGTATTTAGATTTTCATTTGAAGAGTGATGAAAATTACGAAATTATTCTTGTGTTACAGATTAAAGCAGCAAATGTAATAAACGCATACGCAAGAGGCTATTTAGTTCGTAGAATGATGCGAACTGAACGTGTGATTGCTTTAAAAAACACATATAAAGAAGCTTTGCATTGCATGCTTAAACTTCACGTTGATGCACCTCTTAATCGTTCAGAATTTAATTTCTTACATCGGCTTCAATTACAGGTAATGTCTCGGTAGGCAAGTATATTTAAGCATTTAACAAAAAAGTATTATTTAATATAATCCCTTTTATAATATTATTAAAGAATTTATTATCTTCCACCGTCGTAGAATTTGAAGAAAAAAATTTTCCCTTTTCATTTATATTATTCGACGGTGATCAAACCAAAAAATTAGATGACGAGCAAACATTAATTTTATCGTTATTTTAATAAGTTATAAAACATTTTGAAAACAAAAGATATTCATCAGAATTTTATAATTTTCAAAAGTGCGACGCAGCCTCTATGAATATAGTGGAGTTGTTCGCCCAAAATCCCCAGAAAAGAATGCAAGTAATAGCGCAAGATCGTGAAATTAAACAATCTCGCATAGAACGTCCAACATCAGCAAGATCTTATTCGTTTGCAACTCAGCGGACTTTAGCCAGGAAAAAACTAAAGGAGTATGACTCTGCATAATAAAATTTACTGTTTTTTTTCTTTTTTTTTGCAGAAATTTTTATGAATTCTTTGTAATGTAGAAAGTTATGTTATTGAAAAATAAATTGTCTCATTATTTGCTATTACACACTTGTGTTAAATGAATTTGCTTTATCAGTAAACGTAATTAGTACATAGTATGTACATTTTACGTTGTAGAAATAATTTTTATCTTCAACATATAGATATTCTTCAGATTCAAGCTTTCTTTTATAACAAATAGAGGTTCTGAAATAATCATATTTTTATATTAGCATCCTACGCTGTTGCTCAAACTGCCAGCCAACAATAATACATAAGTTTTCAATTATTTATTGTTTTTCTGCTGGTAGGATGGAAGAATATCAACCAACTTCGTTTGTTCGTTCATGTTCATCTAGATCTAGATGTCAAACTTGGACTTCAGATATTAAGGACAGGCTCATTTCCTCAAATATTTTATGTAAGTTATTTCCATTTCTGAGTGAATATTCACTTAGATTTGTATTTTCGTTGCAATCTCAGTTCAATGCTCAGCTTGTTGCTACAATTGACACGATTGCTTCATCAATAATTTGTGATTTGCAGGTCAGACCATTAAAAGGAGTACCAGCGCAGGGACTGTGCGAAAACCATGGCGGTAAAATAATACAACAGTGCCTTCTATTATTGATTTAATATATGTACATTGCGTTAAAAATATGTAAACCAATTCCACGTTGTGCCTGAATTTTTTAATAAATTTGTTTTATATAAGACTGACTTTCGTATTCGCATAGATTGTTTATGCGGTAAACATTATGAGTTTAACGAAACAGGCAGTTTGTGTCTGATTTTAAATATAAAATTAAAATTTACGAACGTGCAAGAAGGAGAACGCATTGGTAAATCGATAATAGAAGTACGCGTGATAATATTTTACAGAAAATTTGAGTCATTCAACTGCTGGTGCGCGCACGTATACGCAGGCGCGTGCGCACACGTACAGCCGCTCTATGACGGGCGAATACAGATCAGTGTGCAATAACCAGGAGAATATTTTGGCTTATTTTGTGACAGTTTCACATGGAAAATTAAATCGTAGCAGCTTGTTTTCAGAATAATTATGCTTGCAGCAATTGTGATTGAGTACTAACGAGAGAACCATGTGTGACAATGTGAATAACAATCCGTTCGCTGGGTTGTTTTCAACTATCAACGATGCCGTGTCATTCTCCTCTCAGAGTCAGGCAATTATCAACGAAAGTAACAGAATTAGTTACGTTACGCAACTTGAGGACGAGAACGTTGACAATGCTGTGGGGGCGAAAAATTTTCAAAGTTCCAAAGACTCGGGAATCGACGATCAGGTTAATCGTCTTCTCAGCGATGTGCTTGGAATAACGTTACACAGATCAGAAGCAAACGTGCACCAAAAACAGAGATTGGTTTTCGTCAATGTCGACACAGTCGAGCAGGCAATTTTCGAACGGTTAATGTCATCTGACCTCGAGTCTAAATTAATACCAACAGAAGATTCTCAGCAGATTTTCACCGATCCTCATACAACGGAGAAGCAAGTACTACCTTATCTGTTTGAGAGTTATTGTCGATTGCAACAGTATCAAAACGAGCCTGAATTGTCTGATGTCCTTTGTAAAATAAGTCAGGTTATATTGCAAAATGCAAGCGTTGCGCTACAGGAGTCAGAATTGTTTGAAGAGCAAGAGGTACATCAATGTTTAGTAACTCGTGCTTTACAAAACTGAAAATATCAAAAGACTAAGCCAACTGATGTCATTCAATTCCTTTTTTGTTTTTCGCAGATTCACAAGCAGTTTATTACGTTGTGTATAGATGAAACTGGGCCCAAGCTAGAATTTATACTATTTGTGAACGGTATTGTGTCAGAATTACAAAATGAAAATGAAAAGAATGCAACAGATGCAATAGCTGCATCTTTCAATCCTATTCTTGATATTATTTACAAAGAAGCGGCACAAAGTAATCTTGTTCTTTTTCGTCAATATTGGTTTACTATATTAAATCTTTTTTCCTCGATAGAGCCCTTAGCCAAATTAGTTATTGATCATAGTACTCCTAGAAACAATCAAGGCCGGGCATACGCAGATACATTATTAGGTGCGCTTTTCAGCTTGAGCTGTTTACCAAAAACAATAGAAGAGCCATTCTATTTTTTTGAGAAACCACTGCAACAGGCAAGTACCGTGGAAAAAATAAAAAAAATAAAAAAGAGATAAATTACATGTAGTACAATGTTTATATATATTCCGTATCATAGACTTCAGCTACTGTTGAAGGAAACATTTGGACAGCCTTAGATGCATTAAATGAGTCATTGCAAAAGGTCTTTCACTTATTGTTAAAGTGTTCAAAGGAGGTTCGTCATTTAACATTACAATGGATAGGCAATTGTCTTCATTCTAATGCAAATAGAGGAAAAATTTGGAATGCTCAGAACGATGTTAGTTTCAGTTCAATGTTGTGTGTTTCTGATGGTTTTATGTTGAATTTAGGAAATATGCTATTGCGTCTTTGTCAACCATTTTGCATTAAACAAAACGATTCCAAAGTGCCTAAAATTGATCCAACATACTGCGCTGTAGATGTGAGTTTACAAAAAAAAGATGGCTTATAATTAAGATCATTGGGTTTGATTTTTAACAATATTCTACTTTATAAAAATATTAATTGTTTAGATTAATGATCAAGATGAATGTGCAAATCCAAGTATACATTTAAAAGGGATGTCCTCGGAAACTTGTTTGATACCAATGTCAGAAGGTGGTGCAAGACCTGTTGCAAAAGCATTTGGATTTACTACTGAATGCTTCTTTTTAACTCATAGAGCGTTAGACCTTGGATATAGAGTAGTGTTAGACAAACTTTTAAGGTTTGGCTCTCAAATTTTTCTGTCCTATTCAATTAATATTTCTAATAAAAAAGTTAATAATTAAAATAATTATATTTTGAACTTTAGAACAAACCAGGATTTAGTAAGAATACAAAGAGTGTATCAAGATGCACAGAATGGTGGCAGATCTGAAGTATTTGAAATAATAACGCAACGCATGGAAGAAGAAATGACCAAGTATATATTTGTGATTCTTAAGAATAAAAGAAAAATATTTCGTTTTCCATCACATAAAATATTTGTGTCGTATGGTTTATTACGTACAATTTATATTTTGAATTTCACAGGTATCTGTCTCTAAGAGCAAGCCTTTTAGTACCAGATATGTTGAAACTCTTAGCAAAATTTCATGCAACAACAGCATTTTGGTTAGTACAAGTATACTTGAATGATGTAAAGATCGGAGAAAATGCAGAAAATGATTACATTCCAAAGGAATGTAAAGAAGTGACGTTTCCTTTGCCAGAAACTGTTCCAGATACTCTGAGGTATTTTTTAAATATTTAACTTTGTTTTTTTCGACTATATTAATAACTGCAATTGAAATTTAACAATAACTTTATTTTACTACATAGATGCATTCCTGAATTTGTAGTAGAAAATACTATTAGATTTTTGTATTTATTACGCCGTTTAAATCCAAATGTTTTTGAAGAACAAGGGCCATCTTTCTTGACACCTGTGCTGACGGAGGTGAGCTAATAAAAATACATTAAAAAAGTAAAAATATGTGAAATTTAGTAAAATAATTGTCTATACGACGCCAGATCATAGTATTAATGGAGTCTCAACAACGTTTATATAATCCTCATTTACGTGCTCGTTTGGCGGAAGGCTTAGAGGCTCTTTTACCTACAAGCGATGAAACTATGAACCCTGTAACACCAAGCTTAGGAACATTCCATAGAGAACAATTATTTATTACACATCCATATAGGCAATATGTATGTAATATGGTTCCTAAACTAAGAATATTTCTTTTTTCTCGTGGAATATAACTTTATTTTATCATGCGTTATACATTTAGATTGTTCCGAATTTACTTAAAGTGTTTGTGAGCATTGAAATGACTGGGCAAAGTGTGCAATTTGAACAAAAGTTTAATTATCGGAGACCAATGTATGTTGTCATGGAGTATTTGTGGAAATTACCAGAACATCGTAATAATTTCATGTAAGCAAAGAACAAAAATAATATATTTTCTCAGTTTTAACGCTTATACTATTTATATATACCATTTATGTTTTATAATGACAGTACAATTTATATTAACGATGATGTTATATAACAATAATTTCGTCGGAATAATTCTATAATTTAATATTTATTTATACAGTTCTTTGGCAGAAGAGGCAGAAGCCAATATGGAAGCAGCTCAACCTCCATTATTTTTGCGTTTTATAAATCTTTTAATGAATGATGCAGTTTTCCTATTAGATGAAGCACTCTCAAGTATGGCTCAATTAAAACAACTGATTCAAGCAAGGTATTCAATTTGAGTATTAAGTACGTAATTAATTGAGTATTAAGTATGTAATTCTAGTTTACAAGCTTTTATAGATTTTATATTTAATAAATAAACTTAATGAAATATAATTTCAATCAAAAGGGAGAGTGGAGAATGGAACCTGTTACCACAACATGAACGTGATCAACAGGCTCATTATCTCTTACATCTTGGAATGATTGCTCGATTTGACAATATATTGGGCAGAAAAACTATATACACATTAAAAATGTTAACTACAGAAATAAAATCTATCTTTTGTCATCCAACAATGGTGGATCGTATTGCTTCAATGCTTAATTATTTGTTACTCCAATTGGTTGGGCCAAATAAAAAAAATTTGAAGGTAACGATTAAAATTTAATTATTAAATATTTTTATCTAAACCCTACAATAAATTTAATTTATCATTTAAATTTTAGGTTAGTGGTCAGAAAGAATATGCGTTCAATCCAGCAAATTTAGTATTAAATATATGCGAAATTTATATAAATCTTAGTCAAAATGAATCTTTTACGCTTGCTGTTTCACAAGACGGTCGTTCATACAGTCCAGAACTTTTCAAATTGGCTGATAATGTTCTTGGTATGTATTATATTACTATCGTTAGAGTATACAGTAACACACTTAGTATATCATTTTTATAAAATGAAATTTCAGTTCGTATTGGTGGCGTGGGTATATTAGGCGATTTAGATCAATTTGCAAAAAATGTCGAGGCAGCTGCAAGTCATAAGAAGGAGGAAGACGAAATTTTAATCGATGCTCCCGATGAATTTCTTGATCCAATTATGTCTACTTTGATGACAGATCCTGTTGTTCTCCCATCATCAAGGATAACTATAGATCGTCAAACCATTGCAAGGTTAATATTTCTTTGCTATTACGATTATTTTTTACAATTTTTAAAATACAGTGTATTTGATTCTGTATTTCTATTATTAATCCTGTTTAGGCACTTATTAAGCGATCAGACCGATCCGTTCAACCGATCTCCTCTTACCATGGACATGGTAAAATCAAATGTTGAACTTCAGCGTAGGGTACAAGAATGGATACAACAAAAAAAGCAGGAGAAAACGAGGAGTTGCCATTGATTACCAAAGAATGAAACATAATCAGTAAATTACAAAGTATAATTTTCACGTCTAATATTTTTCAAATGTTTTAATGAAAATTTAATTTTCATGATTTCAGGTAATGAATATGAGAAAATATGATTAATGAACAAACCTGATGTTTTACGTTATTTGATTTAAATTTCGTTGTTTCATAACTTACAGAGAAGTATATATTTTTCTATATGAATCCTCGTAGATATGTACAGATACAAATTGTGTGCTGTAATTATCATCATCCTGTCAGATTTTTAATATTGCATTTCATGCAAATTGTCTCGTAACAGCGTACATAACAATATAAGCATAGAGTTAAACGTTGTTGTTATATAATATTACGCGTTATTAAATTTCTTTCGTTCAGTTTGAACGCAGTAAATATTATCGATGAATTTGGAATAAAGTTAACTTCTGTCATTCGAATGAACTTATATATATTGTGTAATAGTATCATGTTTTATTGATATACATGATTAACGTTAATTTTTTAACAGAGTACTAATAAAAAATTAGTACTGGTAAAACTTTGATTCTCTATTACGTGGTTGTTAAAATTTTTCAAGTGTCACAATATTTATAAGCATTATATTGTTTACAGAATAGTGACAAGTTCATTAAAATCAGTAACATACCACAGTGATTGTTGTTTGACATTCTCTCTGATTACATTTCCACCGTATCCTGCGTATCGAGAAAATATTAAATATTAAAACAAACTAAGAATTAAGGTGATTAAAAGATATACCTATGAACAAATCTGCTACTGAAGTAGTTTCTAAATCTGTCACTCCATCACCAATATGAACAACAGTCTTTATTCCTTTTTCATTTTTGAGATGTTCAATTACTTTTGCTTTACCACCATTTGCCGCGGTAGGTTGATCTTCGTCAAAGCCTGCATATTCCCCTGCAAATGATTATTTCATAAAATATCTAGGTATGTTATATCAAATTGTTAAAAACACCGGTATAAATAAACAGCAACCTGTGTAATAGAATTTAAGTCTGTTCGCGAAAACATTTTCTAATGGAATGTCAAGAAACGCAGCAACCGGTGCAATTAAAGAACGAAATCCGCCCGATATCAAAAACACCTGCTTTCCACGAGTTTGTAGAGCTGTCGTCAAAGTCCTGAAATTTCCGCAATGTTCAATTGTAATGATTTCTTGCCAACTTAAAAATTATTTCTTACTTGATTCCGGGCGAGAGTTTCAACGGGCGGGAAGCCAGGAATTGCTCTATCTGTGTAAAGCTTGGTTTTATAATGTTCAACCTTTCCGTCAAAGACTGTCGAAACGTCAGATCTCCCTGCATTGCCCGATTTGTTCTGAAAGTCATTTTCAACGATGTACATACGTACGCATACACGTAGATGTTTTTGTTTATGTCAAAGCGATCATCGGCAAATAATGGGAGGAGATGCTTTTCAAAGTTGAAAGTATAGAAGTTTAAGAAAGGTATAGTAACTCACAGGGCAAGTACGTCGTTTTCTTTTTTACAAAATTTTGCAAGTTCATCAATTCCTTCTTCTTGTATCACAGTCGAATCGACGTCGAAAGTGATGGCATCCGCATTCTTCCATATCAATTGTAATCTATCTAAATTGGCCATTTATTCCGTACAACTCGGTAAATAGTTCACCATAAATTACAAAATTTCACCGTCACTGCGTATCAAACTATATTAATAATCAGAACTTGTCTTTTTCTAAAAGTTATGCCATTAAACAAAGATATCTATGTACATGTAAGTTATACGTACACGCGTGTGTGTAATTACTTATTGTACATACGTACTTGTGTCGTTGGTCAATTTTGATTATTGATAACTGATAGCAAATATATACGAAGTTTATTACGATATTTATTTACAAAATTCTTTATTTGCAAAATAATACATTATTTGGAATATGTGTGTATGTATTTTTAGAAAATTACGAATGGCTTTCAAAGTTAAACGTCATTTATCTTATCGAATTACAATATTACCACAGAATAATTATTACGTTACGAAAATTCTTGTGAAAGAAGAAATAATATCGCGTTATATAAATCATTATATAATGAAATAGATAATGACTGTTTAAGAATTGAACGTTTTTTATTCAATTACGAGATAATAATAAGAAACCACAGGAACAGCAGGAAAAATATTCTATTATTTCTTTTGCGTTCAAACAGATACAATATACAGTATTACATAATCATTCCAAGTACGAGGACGTACGAAACAATGTGCCCACAGAATACTGTGTGGAGTGTTCCTTCGATTATATTTACGTTTTGAATTCGGATTTCGAAAACGTGACGAGAAATTCAACATTATTTGAGTGTACATTTTGATCTAATGAATAAAATTTGTAAATTTGTATCATAGACGAAGTATATGGTTAGATCTAACATGTAATGTATTTTTTTGGCCTAAGTTCGTGGGGTCTTGGGACCCCATTACCATTTTTGTATCGCATCTTGTACCGATTTAGCCAGGTTTTGCACCGCAACGCTACTAGTAATGGGAATTAGAATCAAAAGATATTGACAGTGTAGCCACACCTGGCCCGAGAATTATTTATTGAATTCACACATGAGATATATGCATATCATAGATTGTATTTCGCACGTATGGTGGAAGACACAGACAAAACATACTTCGTCAGTGGTGGAAGACGTTGCCATCTACGGATGGTTAAAACTGTTTTATTTCGCTCCAGTAGATGGCAGAATATCCTTCGTCCAAATAGCGGTGCGCGTACTTTTCGAATGAGCGGAACAGCAAAGAAGATACATCGATAGCAAGAAAAGATTGAAGAAAACATGTTGAACATCGATAGAAAAAAATAAAAGAAAATAATACGTGAAATAAATTATGATTCATACAATTATGTTTCTGTCCAAACAGAAAAATTAATATTAACTTTGACAAGAACATCCGTATCTTTTAAGCATCTATAAAGGAACGAAAGTCTTTTCGAATCAGTCATATCGATGGGTGTTAAAATAATAAAATTATTTATAAAACTTCTGTAATGACACAGTTATAATAAATAATACATATTTACAGGTCGTTTCAAATATCCCGCCGAAAATATCTCCCCCCCCCCCCCGTCTATGTGTTATACAGGACATAAAAGAACGTTGTACGTCAAATATAATCTGCTGTTAGTTCGATGTAAGTGTGTGTCAAACAAGTATATCAACGTGAGTAAAACGTACGATCTTGGCAAAGTACGAGAGCGCTATCTCCGCAATAGCGATTAACTAGTCGATTCACTGTAGCAATCAAAGTTGAGAAACCGCGCGAAACAATGCGAAACGATTGTGAAACGCGATTCGATCTTGCTCCAGTGTGATCGTTCTGTTTTCAAATATATTTCGTTCCAACGATCATCGGTAGCGTTTTGTCGACGAGCGTCGTACCTGTTAGAGGGGTTGGGAGGAAAAAAGGGGGGGGGAGAATCGCGAGGTGGTTGAGCTTGATAACCTCGATTCCAGATTTTCGGTACGCGACCAAGAAAATTCAAGTTCGACTGGATTCATCGTTGACAACGAACGAGGCAAAATGTCTGAAAATTATGAGGAGATCGTCGAGGAGGAAAATTCAGTTACAATGTTAGACGTGCTCCGGGAAGAGAATCAATTGGAGGAGGACGCGTATGCGGTTTTGGGTGCATCCGATGATAAAAATTGCACCTACAGCAAGGTTTGTTGTATCATTGTACAGACAAGTAACTCTGACCACAGGATGTATCTATTTGACATTTTCATTTTCAGGGTTACACACGACAGGCTCTCTACGCGTGCAAAACTTGTTGCCAGAAGTCAGTACGTGCAGGGGTTTGCCTTGCCTGCAGTTTTCATTGTCACGAGGGCCACGAGCTCATCGAACTGTACACTAAGAGGCATTTTAGATGCGACTGTGGCAATTCAAAGTTTGGAGGAAAAAAGTGTAATTTGGATCCTGTATGTTTCTAGATCCTCTAGGTACTCTGTCTCTTTCTGCTCGTATTGTTATACTTTGCATTGCTTCTTACAGTCAAAGGACTCAATAAATGTTGAGAACCAATATAATCATAATTTCAATGGCCTTTATTGCATTTGTCAAAGACCTTATCCGGATCCAGATAATACGCTTAATGATGAGATGTTACAGTGTATAATCTGCGAGGATTGGTATCACTCAAAGGTAATACACTCACATGCTAATTAAATATATCTTTGGACTAATTGCAATGAACATTGCTAGCATTTAGAATGTGAAAAGGAAATACCAGCAGATACTGGATACGATGAAATGATCTGTGCTGGTTGTATGAAAAAGAATGACTTCCTTTGGAATTATGCCAAGAAGTATACAGGTAATTTGAAACTTTTTATTCTGTTTATATATATATATATATATATATATATATATATATATATATATATATATATATATATATATGTTATCTATTGTTCCCCTTCCTTTTCTGAAGCCTGCTTGGGTATTCGGCATTATCTTTTTTTGTTTCGATCTCTTTCTTTATTCTATCATTTAGTGTCATTGCATATATTTTATATGCTGTGCTGAGCAATGTCACACCTCTATAGTTTTCTACCGCTTCCTGGTCCCCTCTTTTATATATGGGTGTAATTATTCCTACTCTCCATTCTTCCGGTATCCCTTCTCCTTTCCAGACCTTTTTGACTAGCTCCATCATTTTTTGCTTTGTCTCCCCTTTCATGTATCTCCATGCTTCGCTTGGTATATTATCTTCCCTCCTGCTTTTCCTTTCTTCAATTTCATCACTTACTTTTCTCTTCTGTCCTAAGGCCTGCTCAGCTTCTGTCTCCTTCTCTCTTTCCTTGTTTTCTCTTATCTCTTTCCGATCCATTTAAAAGTTCCATAAAATGCCTTTTCCATTCTTCGATTTTAATTTTTTCGCTGGCTGGCGTTCTTTCCTTTCTTCCTCTGTTGATGTAGCCAGATTTCCTTTTCTGACTTCGCTCTCTTGATTTCTTCTAATTCTTTTTCTGCCTTCTCTCTTTGTTTCCTTTCGCACATTCCTCTGAACTCCGCTCTCTCTTTCATATATATTTGTTTATCCCCTTTACCCTCCTCCATTTCTTAAGTAGTCTTTTTACTCTCTTCTTCTTGCTGCATTCTCTATTCCACCATCTCTTATCTCCTGTACCTCTGTTTCTCTTTCTTCATTTCTCTTTTGTTACTTCTTCTTCGACCGCCTGTTTTATTTCTCTCCATCTTTCTTCCACAGATTCTTGTTTGTATTCCTTCCTGCTTGTATTTTCTTATGCTTTCCTCATTCCATTTTATTTTTTCTTTCATCTCCTTTCCCTCCTTCCCTTTCCGTTTTTTATCTTGTATCCTAATTTGTTATATAGTGGCATATGATCTGATTCTATTCTTTCTAAAATTCTGAACTCTTTATTTTGTCTATTCCTTCCATGTTTACTATAGTGTAATCGATTACCGTGTAGCGCCGTGCTGCCCACGAATGTGTACTCTCCTTTTTCATCTCCCTTAACGTTTCCGTTAAGTATGTACCATCCATTCTCCTCTACTGCCCTTATCAGCTGTTCCCCCTCTCTATTGCTTCTCTTGTCTCTTGATACCCTTCTTTCCTCTTTACCATCATACATTCCACCCTTCTCTCCCGTCCTTGCATTGAAGTGCGCTCCTATCATCATTTTGATTCTTCCCTTTTACAGTTCGGAATTTATTTGTTACATCATTTTTTTTATTTTTCCCTTACAATAAACTGTCCAAATCAGCCATGTGTCTGTTCCCAGTCTTATCCTCTTCCCCATTTCTCCGCTTATTCTTTTCACTTCTTTCTTTTCCTCCTCTATTTCCTCTCTCACTCCGATTATAATCCCTCCACTTGCTCTTCCTTTTATCTTTTCTCTCTCTGCGTACTGGCATTCTCATGTGTAACCTTTCGGTAGTCTTTTCTTCATCCTTTCCCATGCCTTTTCTTTCACCCACGTTTCAGATAGTCCTACATAGTCAAATTTCTCTATAAATTCCTAGAAGTCTTTCTCTTCTTTATCAAATCCTCTCACATTCCAAAACAGCACAGTACACCCTGCCTCATCTCAGTTCTCCCTCGCTCTTTCTTCTCCTTCCAGGTATTCCTCCCACTTATTCCATTTATACCATTTTTGTTCCACACATATTTTCATATATCCAGCTGTTGCCTTTTTTCTCTCTTTCCTTTTCTCTCTTACCATCTGTCTTAGCCTGCTTTGTATTGCTTTCCTTTTTCGTCAGATCATTGTCTATGTAAACTGCGGTTTTTAGATTCTTCTTTTTGTCATCTTTTCTCTTTCCAGTCCGTCAGCTTTGTCACCACTATTTCTCTCCCTCTCTTATCTCCTATCTTCCATGCCGCTTCTATTTCTACATCCGCCTTTAAATTTTCCTTTATAAAATCTTTTGTCTCCTTCGTTGTTTCTTTCTCCCTCCTTATCGTTATATTTCGCTCCTCTTATCGTTATATTTCTTTTCCTGCTTTCCCTTTCCTTCCTTTCCTCTTTCTGCTCCAAGGTTCTTATTCTTCTTTCTAGTTGTTTTCTTTCTTTCTCCCATTCTTCTTTCTTTTTTCTTCTTTCTTCCTTCCATGTCTCTCTCTCCTCTTTTATTTCTACTCTCAACTTCGCTATCTCTTCTATATATTTCTGCATCATTTTTTCCATTGTATCCTCCCATGTTTTCTCCTTGGCACTAATCCTTTCTTTCCTTACCCTGTCCTGTTCACTCATACTTTCACCAAACGTCACTGTCTTGCTTCCTTCCTTACCGACCATAAATTTTTCCATCGTTCCTTTGTTTTTGCTTGCTCTTGTTGCCATTCTAACCTCTTTTTCTTTGCTCTTTTTACTCTTTCTTGTTTTTTCGGTCTGTTTTCCTTTTGTCTGCACCTTTTAGTTATCCTTTTGCTCCTTACTTTGCCTTTCCACATCTTCTTTTTTATTTTCGGATCGGATTTTCTATCGCTAATTCTATTTCTTTTCTCACTCCACAAACGTGACCTGTCACTTCCATTCTCAAACCAAAATTTCCTTATGTTGATAATATTTAAATATGCGTTCAACATCCATTGTGGTTGCACTTTTCTTAAGATTTTGTTGCAAAATATTAAGATACTTGTTTTTATCTAAAATTTCTTCTATAAAAACCAACTGCCTAACCTCTTTTGATGAAACGCATTCCCATATCATAATACTTCCACCGACGTGTTTTATCGTCGGACTTAAATTTATATAATTTAGTGCTTCATTTTGTTTACGTCCATTGTTGCTAAATATGTTAAATTTATTTTTATCAGCGAAAATTACATTATTCCACCAAGTTTCTTCTTTATAAACATGTTGATTTGCAAAAATTAATCTCTTCTTATGATTCGTCTTGTTTATATATGGTTTCTTACGTGCCATTCTACTATTTATCCAGCTACTTTCAACACCCGGCGGATTGTATCTACATGAACTTTCTTTCCTGTCTCTTAAAATTAACTTAGGAGCACTTAACTATTAGTAACAGTACAGTTACTATACCACTTGTATTCCGTATTTGTGTTATAATTAGTTTTTAATAAAGCTTTAAATGACCTATGTTTATAAACATCTTTTTCTTATTTAGTGCCATAGAATATACTGACAAAGTTTGAACATTAAAACCTGGGACACTCTGTATAAAGACCAGTCCTCCACTTGCTGTTTCTGTGCTCTTTTCTTTTGTTGCTGAGCTCTCAATGATTCCAAAGTTGTCAAGAGGTCGTGGTAGCCTTTCCAAATTACCAGTACATCAGGTTTCGATACAGTATAACACAGCATGCCAACTCATCTTCGATCTCTACATCCGTTAGATTAAATAAGTCTTTATACTATTAGTATTCCAGAATACCATTTCAGGTTTTGAAATGTTTTCTCTTGTTGCGGTCTCTTTGTATGCTCCTGTTTTTTCTAGTGAATTACCCTGTACGGTCCCATTGTGCCATTGCGACGTTTCTATTTGTACTAATTCTATTGCTAACTCTAGTTTCTTTGGTGTTGTAGATTTTTCTTCCTTATCTTTTTCTTTCGTTCTTCCTTGTTCACTTCACTTCTCACTTTAATTGCTTCTAATTTGTCTTCTACTTTTATCTTCATATATCTTATTGTTGCACTTTTTCTTATCCTGTCATTTCATGCATAGTAGAGAAATTCTGTAGATTGGAATGATATTTCTCTCCTTTGTAACTTATTTTGAATACTCGGGATATATTTACGGTTTTTTTTACAGTACTATATGCATTTGCCCTGTTTAAATGTAAAGTGGTAAATAAAATTGGACTTGTGTGCCAAGTATTGACGAATAAACTGTGACCTTTCCCGAGATAATCTTTATTAAGTCATTAAGTCATGGCTATATTACCGGATTTACCCAAATTTTCGTCAAAAACAGAAATTTCAGTTTCCGAACCTGAATACACTAGCATGTCTAAAATATATCCCGTTTTACAGTCGCAAGCAACGAAGGACTTTATACCAAATCGATTGCATTTAGTTGGGATGAATTGTTTAAACGATAAGCGACCTTTGAACAATAAATTTTCGTCTATACAAATATTTTGAAAAGGATAGAAGTTTTGTTTTAAGATCGGTCGAAATCTATCACTTAGTTCACGAATTTTGAACAGTTGGTCTCGACAGTTCGATTGCTAAAATGTAGGCACTGCATCAAGTTCGCAAATCTGTCCTGAGGCATGATATTATGAAAAATGTCAATTTTTATAAATTTGTCGTTTGATCAATATTCTGAATACGAAAATTTTTTTACGCGTGACATTAACATCACGGTACCCAAAAAACAATATATTTCTGCATTGTTAGTATTATACTATGAATTTATTCGTGAATTAACTTTCCAATTACGCTTTCGTTTTAAAAAACCGTGATATTCATTTGTTTTTTCCACCATGAGATTCACCAACGATTCTTGAAAAAATAATTAAAAACAATCTAGTTTCTGACATGTTGTGCAGGGCTGCTTTGCATCCAGAATCTTTTGGATCAAAATTGTGTATTTTCGGATTTAAATTCTGGGCCGACCAACAAATGTCTGTAAGTGGAACTGCCGTTGTAAATGAGTTGCTATTTATTTGGTGAGATGTTTGCAATTGCGGAACATCTTCATCTCCGTCTTCTAATTCTGAGTCAGAACTCAATAAGCGCAAAACGCGTTTTTTTCTTCGTGTAATGAAATAAATTTCTTCGGATAAGGAAGGTGTTGTATTAAGAATCTCAGCTTCTTCCTCGTCACTACTACTTATTTGTGGATATTTTCGTTTCTTTTGACCAAACTTAGGGTGTACTATATTATTTAAAAACATGTTGCGAATGGATAAAATTAAAAAACTTATGACAAATTGTAAACTTATGATAAATAAACACTTACATATGGACTAAAGGAACAGGTTAATGCCAGTCAATGCACGATGAGATTGTACGTACGAGAGCAGTGAAATTGAATTGCACAATGTGAAGACAATTGACTGAACAGTATTGAAACAAATGCCGGTAGACAGTTGCAATGTTATATAGGTCGATAAATTCCATGTTGAAGCAATTGGTATAACAGTTACAGTATTACAGTAAGAAAAACGTAAAGGGTGTATATTTTCGGCATTCGTATATTGATAGACGTGTAAGAGCGTATAGATACGCCTTCCGTGTATATGGACCGACTTGTGGCGTATATATATGCCTTTAGCATCGTCTATCGTTTCTATGTTTTCACTCGTTTCTGCAAGTGAAAAATTTTGACTGATACATAGAAGCGCAGTGCAATATATATACTTCCAATTGCGGCTAGATACAATTTCATTTCTTGGATCATCTTCTTCGCTGGATTCTTCAACTTCACTAGAATTTTATTCGGAATCGAAATCGTCATCAAAATACAGAATCTCTGATTCGTTATCACTATTCGATGCTGTGCCACCATCAGATCACATTTCATAATTTTGTGATAATCTTCCACAAAAGAAAAGGCAGAAGGTTCGTTTGCTTGTTGCTCGGACATGTCACACAAATAAATAAATAAAAACAATGAAAATAACGAAGATAACTGTTGCCGACTGGATAGAGCGTCTTCTTTGTTCGAATGCTGTTTGAAGCAGACTATCGAGTAGAAACGATATAAACTTGAGTTACTAACAATTATTTCACCGACAATGTTTTCATCGACATGATTTCCCCGACACCGCATTTCGCCGACATTGTTTATATACCGGCATATTGAAATCACCGACAAATGTTTACATCGTCTCTCGTCTCACCGATGTTATTATTGATGTTATTAAACGTCGATTCTAAGGTAAAGCAATTTAAGCTGACATTTGTACATACAAAAGATAAGTTTATTAACGTTGATTAATTAATTATTATAAATTATATATTAATTCTACTTGCGAGAAAAAACTATTAACTATGTCATTAGTTATAAATGGAATTATAAAGATACTGTGTTTGTGGGTTACAATAATGATGACTCTGATAATTATTGATATTGACTTTTTATTGTAATTCATGACCCGTGTCTAGATTCGACTCCTGCTTGTTTCGTACCACCTAAAGTCACATTTACACTCTATGACTATATATATAATTTATTAATTTTGGCCCTTAAGGCCAAGAAATAAACTTGATTTACATATATTTTTCGCGGTATATATTTGTACTTATTCTTCCACCCCTCTATTCATACATTTATTATCGTTATTACCTAACCTATTATTGCCTTATTTTACCTTTCTTCTGTTTTGCTAATTTACTTTTTTCTTAACCACTTATCTATTTTTTCACATGTGTTGTCTCCACCACTTGTTCCACGCTATACTCACATCTTTCAACTTTCTCACACTCCTTAGGTGTTCTAGCATACCATATTGAAATATGAAATGTGGCTTGTTGATTTAATCGCCGTACTCGTCTAATGCGAATTCTAACAGCTCTTGATATTTTTTCGCAGTAGCTTTTGGAGGAAACCACATTACTGGTATCCAAATGCAGTCCAAACCATTACGTTGCCTCCGCCGTAATTTTTGCTCATTTTTATTTGTTTCTCATCATCCAAATTGAGCCAATAATAGTGAAATCCGTCTGGGTCATCGAGATTAAACTTTTTCTTGTCAGACAATACCATATTTCTCCATTTCTTTGTCTATTCCATATGCTCCTTAGCAAACTTCAATCTTTCGTCTTTATGAAATTTAGTAAGAGGAAGTTTCTTTATTTTTTTTGTATATCGAAGTGTTTTACTCTCTTTTAAAACTTGTTGTACCCGTCGAACTGGAAAGTCTAATTTTCTTTCTATTTGTGATGTATTCAGCTTATTTCTACGTGTTTGTAAAATTTTCCCTTTGTCTTTTTGAGAAAGTTTCTTACGAAGGTCAATAGATTTCTTAGTGGCATATTTTTCACCTAATTGTATGAAATTATTTACAACACTTAAGAATCTATGTATAGACCCATATCTCTTAAAGCCTGTTCGTTATCATTTATTAGTTTTCTACGACCCAGTACGCTTTGGAGATGTTTGGTCGCTAGTGCGAGGTGAATGATTATTAGACTCTGGTTATTGGTTAACACGTTTATTTAATATGTTACATGAAATGGCGCGGAGTTCGTAAGGCGCGATGAATATTTCGATTCGCGGTGTATCGCGGAGTTTCTTATCCGTACTCTATGACTTCTCGAATTTCTCTCTTTTTTTCCGCAGCTTTTCGCTCCGAGGAAAACTCGTTCCCCGTCTCGGACATCCTTAATTGGCTAAACCGTTTTTGAGTTTTGACCAATTAGGTTGTCACGGAATTGCGCCGCCTACTCCTTGCGTTCTTGACGCATTTTTTCTGATGGGGCTGCAATTTCGCCGAGACCAATTTCCCCGAATTGTGGCGGTGTAGCAGGGTTTCCTCTGGGCCTCACTCACTTTTTTCAAGTGTTTTCCAGATGTTGATCTGGGTGGCCCTTAGGAATCCAAGAGTTTACGACGCTTCGCAAAAATGCTATTGAGGCTGTATATCTAAAACTATAAGTGCGAATGTCCGGACTTACGCACTGTAAAACTAACTTGGCCTTTTCAATTCAATAGCGTAAGCTCCACGTGAGTCGTAAATTCTCCTAACTTTTCTGTCTGAGAAAACGTCTTTTCTCCGACATTTGCTAGCCGCTACAACGCTTTAAAAGGATTTAGTTTGTAAACCTAATCTCAAATCAACCTAGAAATCAAAAAATGTACTTTACTTTAAAAATTGTATTTGAATTTAAAATAAAACGAGAAAAATACCGTTGAACCTAAGATTATTTCGCTGGAAATAATTTTTCGTATATTTTTCGTTTTCAATTTTTGAACAACTGAAATTTACAATTTATGCCGTTTAAATTAAAATAATTGTTATAGCACAAGTAGATAATACTGACGCGATATAGAAATAAAAATTACTGTATGTTTGCAACACTGTAGATGGAGATGCTATCAATATGCATACGAATATGAATAGCGAATGTATGATTATTTTGGTTACTGTATAAACAGTTAACCGCGAAAATTTTGAATTTTAGTTCTTCATTTTCTTACGAGGCACAGAATGCTGGTTAAAACTCGATTCGTATCCTCAGGGAGTGTGAGCGACTTCTTCGTAACTTTGGAAACGAAAGATTTCCATTTGTTGAAGTAGTCTATGATTTTGTCTGTGTGATTTTGCAGATATGTAGTGGCATGTTTCTGGCTCCATGAAGAGGCGTAGATAGCTGTGTCATCTGCATATATTGCAGTGTGTGTATTTTTTGTTGCTGGAAGGTCATTTATATATATGAGGAAAAAAAGTGGGCCGAGGATGGATCCTTGGGGTACTCCAGCAGAGGTTTCTTTAGTTGATGATTTTATTCCATTTATCGACACGAAGAATTTCCTGTTTGTTAGGTACTTTATGATCAAGATTATGATTGAGTTCGAGATGTTTGCGTCGTGTAGCTTTGTAATGAGGGCATCATGCCATACGGAGTCGAAGGCTTTTTGAATATCCAGTAGAAGGAGTTATGTTGTCCGGTTTTTGTTTCTTTCTATTATTATATGTTCTGTAACTCGTTGTAGTTGGTGGATTGATGAGTGGTTACGTCTAAATCCGAACTGATGTGGAGCAATTATATTGTTTTTGCGGAGATGGGTGATGAGGTGTTCGTATATAATTTTTTCCATCAATTTCCCAAGAATGTTAAGGAGGCTTATATAGGGCGATAGCTGGATAGTTGAGAGGCCGGTTTTCCTGGTTTGGGTATTGGGATAACTTTGGCTATTTTCCAGTCTGTAGGAAAGTATGATAGCTTAAAGCAGGCTTTGAATATATAGTATATCTGTATTTTTGGTTTTGTGGGTAGTTTTTTGAGTTTGGTTGTGGTGATTTTGTCAAGTCCTGGGGCTTTCTTATTTGGGAGTTGGTTAATGAGCAGACTGATTGTTTTGGGTGAGCAGCTTAGCGGTTGTAGATTTTTTGCTGGATATGTTGCACCAGGGGTGAGTGAGTATTGTAGGCGTTTGTGTGAATCTTTTCAAAGTTCGTGGCTAGACCTTCTGCTTTTTCTTTGTCAGTGTAGAGTAGGGTGTTGTGTGTGCTGTCCTGTATTACTGGGATTTTATTTTTCTTTCCTCCGGTGATTTTGTATGTTTGTCATAGTGTTGGATCTGTGGTTTTTATGTTAGAGAGTTTTTGTTACCATGTCTGGTTTCTGAGATTTTTGATTATTTGTTGTATCTGACTGGTGAGGGTGTTTCTGAGTAGTTCGAAATAAGGGTTTCTCGTTCTCTGATATTGTCTTCTGTAGTGATTTCTTTTTTTAATGGTGTCTGTGAGTACTGGGTCTGTGAATGTGCTGGGTTTGTTTGTTTTGTCTGTTTTTGTTGAGCTGCGATATGCATGTGCTAGATTGTTTGCAAGATTTCTGATTTCTGCGTCTATGTCTGCTTTATTCGTTAGGATTGGATTTATTTTTATTTTGTTGCACAGTTTTTTATGTTTCCCAGTCTGTACTTTCTTTGATGTTCTGTTTCCTTATTGTTTTGTGTATGTATATTTTTAGCTCTATAGGAAGGTGATTTGATGGCAGGTTGTCTATTGTCATATAAGTAGGGGATATTTGATAAGAAGATATCTATGTTTGAGGGTGTTTGTGAGTTGGGTTGTCTGTGAGTGAAGGTAGGGCTGTGTATGATTTGGTAGTTGTGCAATTCTGTGTGGTTCTTGATCGTGGTCCCATTTCTGTTTCGTTTCGTGTTGTTCCACAAGCCGTGTTTAGCGTTGAAATCTCCTCCAATGAGGAAATATCCGGACCCGTGATGGGGGATGATATTGTCGAGGTGATTTATTTTGTTGGTGGGAGGAGAATATGCTGTCCCAATGATAATTGCGGGTATGATTTTTAGTTTGACAATTAGGATTTCTATACCGGAGGGGTTTGGTTGTTGTATATCTTTTACCGGTATGTCGGTCCTGGAGGCTATTGCAACCCCTCCACTGGGTTTTTTTTTTGATTTGAGGGTGGACGATCAAGTCTACGGATATCGAAGTAGGTGAGTTTTAAGGTGGGTTGTAGCCACGTTTCGGTGATGGCTATATCTATATTGTGATCTGTTAGGAATTTTTGTAGCTCCATGGTTTTATTTCTAATACTATTGGCGTTCCATAAGGTTATTTTTAGGGTTTTATTTTGGATATCCATTTTCCAGTTCTTTTACTATTTGGATTGTTGCCTTGACTCTATCTAGGTTGTTGTTACAGTTGAAATAATATTTTTGATCAGGGTTATAATATGTAGGAAAAGATCAAGGTCTGTGGTTTTTAGTTGGTCTATTTGATCTGTGATCTCTGAGTTTCTGTTTTGTTGTGCTGGATTGTTGTAACAAGCTGATTTTAGAGCAGCTGCTTGGGCATACGATAATCCTAGTGTGTGACAGGTTTCCTGCTGGGATGTCGGTAGGTTGGAGAGTGTTTTCCCAAACAGGGGAGATGGAAATTGTTGAGGATGAGTTGCATTTTGCAGTGGTTGAGGTAGTGTTTGTGCTTTTGAAGCATAGGTGTTTTTTTTAGTCAGGTATGCTAGTAGTGCAGGACACTGGGAGTAGTTGGCAGCCTTTACAGTTAGCACATATGGGTGGGATGTCGATGGTTTTGGTGCATGATCTAGAGTCGTGAAGGCCTGCGCATTTTACGCAAATTGCTTTTTTATTGCAATTTTCCGAGGTGTGTCCATGGGCTTGACAGCGGAAGCACTGTACAACGGGTTTCCTGGATTCGTATTTTTCCCAGTAGTTTTTAATATTTTCAATGAATCGGATGTGATTTATCTGGCTGTGTATAATTGTCGTTCCGGGTGTGAATGTCTGTCTGTATATCGGGAATTTGGTATGGGTGGGAATTTCTGTGCAATGTGTGGGGTTCAGTCCCTGGTCCTTGATGCTTTTGATAATTCTATCTTCTGGTATTTTTATTAGTCCTTTTAGGACTACAGTGGTTGTTTTTTCCGTACTTATAGTGTAAGTATGGTAGTTTATGTTTTCTTTTTTGCAAATATTTTAAAATTCCGTGTAGTCTACTAAGTTGGAGAACATTATTTTTAAATTGTGAGCAGTGAATTTGTCCTGGTAGTTGTTTCTGTAATTGTCCTTTAGGGCGTCTAACAGTCTTGAGTGGTTTATTTTACCGTGTATATAAATGGGTGGGAGTTTCGGTTTTGGTAGGTTTGATATTGTTGTTTTTTCTTTCTTTTCTGTTGGTTCGTGCTTTGAGTTTTTGTCCTGACGGGGGTCATTTTTTGTTATTGTGTCATCATGTCCTCTTTCAAGGCAGTTTGCAAATATACTATATCGGTTTTGTGTCGGAATGTTGGGTTTTATGGAAACCATACCTTCTTGTTTATTGATTTTTGCTACCGGCAGCGAATCCGAGAGCGATGCTGCTCTTCTCCTCGTTGTTATTTGTGGGTTGGTTCTTCTTTGGAGTTTTTCTGTTTGGGCACCACTTGGGGGGCTCCACTTTGAAGGTGGTATCTTGTTTTGCTTTGTTTTGCGCATCTTTCTGGTGTCCAGGGTGAATTCTTTGTGAATTTTTGCCGTTTCCAACACGGTGCTGGTTACAATGTTTTGTCGCACGTGAGTTGCTGTATCTCTTATGGGCACTTTACTTTGTCACTACTTACTACTATTGCTGTGACTGAACTGTGCTCGTTCAATGCCTGTCACTAACTCAGTGCCCTATCTCGTACATTCCGTTTCTATTGGTTGCCTTTATTTACCGCTTCTCCTTCTGCAGTGAAGTTTCCTTTCAATAAGGTATAACTTGTATCATCAAAAACCATTATAAAACCCTTACTAGTTAGAGTATTAACAGATAAAAGATTTGTGCTAAGATTAGGATTGTGCATGATATTTTATTATTTTATTAATTTTATTAATTATTTTATTAGCTTCGGTCTGACCCTTTAATTTCAGTTTCACTGCGACTTCGTTTGGTAAGTATAAGTACATACTTCGGTTCTGTTGTTAAGTATAAGTACATACTTAAGTACATACCGAAATTCTATATTTTCACAAGGTTCTTTGAGTAAAAATTGCAGCACATTAATATTTCGTATGTAAATCCTTATTTTTAATAATAGCAGCACACCTTCGCGGCATAGATTCGATAAGTTTTGCACATCTACTAGTATCGATTTCCATACTTCTTGTATAGTAAATAGCTCTTCGATTTTTCAACATCAAACCACAGCGTCTTGATTGGATTGAGGTCCGGAGATTGTGCCAGCCACTTCATGACGTGAATCTTGTTATCAAAAATGTTTTGACCACTTTTGCAGAGTGTTTCGGATTATTATCCGCTTAATAGATTCATTCTTTTGGCATATATTCTTCGGCGAATGGAAGCAGTACGTTTTCTACGATATTCAGATACAAATATCGGTTCATGATACAAGTATCGGTTCCGTTATTCAATAGATAGGGCCCATATTTTTTGCCGTTATAGACCTTCATACGACCCACCACCTCCTTTCATCGTTGGTTTTATGCAATATTTTAGAAATTCTTCTCCTTTGCAACGTCTCACGTATAATTTCCCGTCAGATCCGATTAAATTTCGATTCATCCGTAAAAATTACTCTGGATCATTGCTAAGTAGTCCAGTTTAAATGTTCCTTTGCGAACGCGATTCGAATTTGACGATTTTTTTCTGATATAAGCGATTTTTTCTGGCAACACGTTCATATAATTCAAGCGTATAATTCATACGCGTTCAATAACTCAGAATAACAAGACATTAAGTCTTCGCTGGACAGTTCTGACATTTATTTTTTCTTGGAAATGAATAAAATAACTAGAATCTGCTGGCTACATCTACCTTTACATTATATTACTTTACATTATAATTAGAAACGTAACAAAACAAAACAAAAGCTAAACACGAGCTAAATAAAACTCTTGATCATGAGCATAAATTAAAAGATATCTTTGGTAGTAATATTTGGTTATGATTATATTTCATGTTTCTTTTTCTCCTCGGTCTTCTTCCTTTCAGAATTATTTTGTTCATCATCTTCAGCCCGGAACTCTTATCGTCTAGAAACTCCCCAATTCTCCATTGCTTCTCGTTAGTCTGCATTCTTTTAAGACATGGGATATAGTTTCTTTTCCTCTTTTATACGCCCTACAAGTCCTATCCCCTTCCTCTCTCCAAAAATATCCGCCTCCCAACTCATTGCCACACCTGAATCTAGCAATTAATCGAATGTTTTTCCATGTTCTTTTCCTTTTTAGATACTTTGGTCATCCTTGCGTCATCACCTTTCCATAATCACTATTGTATCTAGAATCATTTATTTTCATTCTCCTTTCTTCATATTCCTTCTCTCTTATTTTTTCCATGATCTTACTTATGACTCCGTTTGTGTTATTCTCTGCCTCTTCTTTTATTTTGTCCCTTTCATGTCTATTCAACTCGTATCTTTCTAGTATATGCTCCCTCTTCTTCTTCCATTTGTTCCTTAGTTCTTCTATCCTTTCCTTCTCTATTTCCCTGATGCATTCCGCTGCCAGTATCTTTCCCGATTTCTTCGCCTTTTCTTCGAAGTTAAACGCTCTCTTCAACGCCGTAATAGATAGTGTCTTGCAATTTCTCTTTTCTTCTACAATGATAGATAGATCTTTATTGTTTTCCCATAGGATTACAATTCCCCTTTTCATCCTCCATACTTCTTATAAAATAGAATATATATAAAATATATTATTTATAGTTATATAAAATAAGACATATTCCATAGAATAGAATAGTACACAATAAAATAACAATAATATAGAATATAATAAAATCAACATAAACAAACCATAAAGAAAAACCATAAATAACGGCCTTATATATTACATTAGAACCACTCTTATATATAATTATAGACCTTTCTTTACCAATACTCTATCTTTGGTCTCACTCTTACCATTATTACTTTGTCCTTTTCTTGCACTATTCGTCTCCTACCATTTCCTTTCTACCATACTTTGCTTCCCTCCTCCGTTTTTGCCCGTTTTGCCCTCCCATCCTCTGGGCCATTCTCGTCTCTCTCCTCCAACCAACCCTCCGATACGTGTTATTGCAGCTCCTTCTTTCTGCCCCCTATTTTTTTTACTATCTAGCCTTTTCAACCATCTTTCTTCTTGTCCTTCATCCCCCCAAATTCTTCCAACATTTACCTCCTTCCTCCTTCGTATTCCTTCCACATACCTCCCATGCTCCTTCCACATACGTCTCCTCCTCCTTCTGGCACAGTCTATGTTTTCTTTTCTCTGCAGTTATCCAGTATCTTCCTTCTTTGACTTCATTTCCCAGTCTATATCTTCTCACCCTATTTGCATTCCATTTCCCTTTTATATATCTCGGCATTCTCTGTTCCTTTATACATTTGTACCATTTGTTATATTTTGAATTTACGATTTTTTGCCACCTTTTATTTTTCTGCATTTCTTTATCACCCGGAGGGGAGAGCAGACGATATTTGCCCCTTGGCATAGACCCGCGGTTCTTGTTCCTCCTGTAACTCTATGCATGCCGGTTTCAAACGTTCCGTCGAAATGGTGGTTTCCTTGCCTTTTATATCAATTATAGAATACATTATATGAAATGTGTTTTAGTACGCGGTATGGACCCTTATACAACTGTTCCAAAGGGTGCTTTACATGGTATACTCTCACAAATACATGCGTTGTTTTAAACAAATTGTCAAAAATGAAATATGAGCGTCTGGAGTGAGGTCTCGTTGGTCTTGGTCAAATTTTCTGAATTTGTCGACGGTAAAATCTGTATCTGTTTCTGTGTCTACGAAAAATTCTCCCGGCATTCTAAGGGGTGTACCATTTCGGCCGCGGTTGTCTGTCGTGTTTTAAAACTGTTCCTTAAACCAAGCATTACTTTTGGGAATACTTCCAGCCAATTTTTGCTTTCGTGGCAAGGGATTGCCGCCTTCAGAGACCTATGTCACCTTTCGATGATTCCATTGGATGCGGGGTGATACGCAGTTGTGCGGATGTACCTGCATACAATTAATTTTGCTAATGCGTTAAATATTTGAGACTCGAATTGGGCTCCGCAGTCCGTTGTTTTTTCTTTTTTTTCATTTGGTTTTCAACCAATTGCAGCTCGAGCGTAAACTCATTGCTGCCTATGTCTTCTTCCTGAAAA